GCATACACACACACACACGACAAAAAACGGAAGTACACGAAGAAAAAGGAAGAAGAAGAAGGAAGAGGAGGGCTACGAAGAATGCATGCAAAAGTATAATTCAAGCGCAATTCATGTGTTATTCAATGCTCACAGTAGTAATTCACTTAAAGAAGAATATGAAATTAGAAGTGACTTCTTCAATTCTCAGCAAGCTTCTACTTGAAAATGAGCGCTCCTTCACTCTACCTCTCTCTTTCTCTCGCATGCTCGCTCGCTCCTTTTCTGTCTTCGTCTCATGCTCTTTATTTTTCGACATTAAGAAAATGAAAGACAGAGAGAGAGCGTGAGAAGGTCGACCTTTTTAATGGAATTTGTTTAAAAAGCAATTGAAAAATGTACTCGTCGAAATGTAAAATAAACATACATCTTTCCGTTATGGTTTCAAGTTGGTGAAATGAATTCATGGGAAATGATTTTTAATTTTTTTATTTCATCATGCATTGCATATTATATATATATATATATATATATACATATATGAAGAAGTGAGGCGAGAAGCGAACGGAGAGATATGGAGTACATGTGAATGGTTGAAATGTATAGCTTATTTTGTGATTCATGAACAAAACGGACAAAAGCGATTGAGAGGTTTAACATACGTTACGTCGACCGAACGGGTTGAGGTGTCGAAGGGGATGTGAAGGGTTGGATTGGGTTGATGTGGAATAGTGTGCAACATCCCTGAAACAAAATCCGCATGAAAAAGCAAAATGCAATTCAGCCTGCAACTGAGATTAAGTTGCTGCTGTTGCTACGTTTACTGGGCACTGTTGTTGTTGCCACTGCTGCTGCTGCCATTATATTTTCCGATTGCTCATGGAATCACTTTAAATTGATCGTTTGATACGATATTGCATAAAGTATGATGGAGCTAGAGACAGAGAAACTCTATTATTTCGTTTATTTTGCTCCCTTTCTCTGCCTTGCTCCCTATCTCATTCAACGTCTTAGGTTTCTTGAGCTGTCCGAGTTGTGAAAAGCACGATGGCACGATCAGCCTTTCTATCTTTCTATTTAAAATATGTAGCTCAATCGCTTTTACGGTGCAATGCATTTTAAATAGGCAAAAATATGGGGCCTGCACACAATTTGAAAATCGTGTTTGAATTTCTACTCTCTAATCCGCCCTGTATATTCCCTTATTCTTCGATTTTTGCCATCTCGCTTCATTTTTCCGTTCTCTGTCTTTCTCGCTCGCCCATTTCCTATCTCCACCTAACGCTTATTCCTTCATAGAAACTCATCTCCATTTCCCGTTCTCCCAATATTCAATCATCTCTATTGTCAACGCTAGTTCGTCTGCTTCCATGTGGTGAAGAGCTTTTCACAACGCCGGCTGCTTCTCTCTCCAGTCACATGCTCATAATATTGGAATAAACGAGCGCGTATTCTGTAATCGAGACGAATAAAATGAATTTTCAAAATAGCAAAGAAGAAGAAGAAGAAAGAAAGAAAGCAGAACCTTAATTCGCATCGATAAAATAAACGGCACAAATGTTTCCATTCATTCCACTTTTCCAATTCGATATCAAATTTGTTTATTTGCTTTTACGCTCGCGACAAAATGGCGGGTGGAATGGAAGAAGAAAGTAAATCGACGAACGCGTTCGCATTTCGAATTTTGAACGCGAACGAACCATGACATTTTACACACACACACACACACACTGAACGTATGCAAACTTAAATATTTCGCGAAAGCCACAGAACAAAATCGCAATTAGCATTTTCTTGCCACTACATACGCGCGCGCCCCCACCAACCAGGCAATGTTTTTCTAGCGTAACTAATGATATTATAGCAATGTGTTCCAGAAGCACGCATCAAACTTGAAAGAGACCCACTTTGAAATACGCGCATCTCACTCTCTCTCTCTCTCTCTCGCGCGCGCTCTTTCTCTTCTTATCTTCCTCTCTGTGTATGTCTTTATATTCTTTGTCGTCAGTTTATCGACGAATTTTCAGAAGAAGAACCAAAATGAAGAAGACTTATTTCGAGGCAAGACTTGTCTTCTGTTTAAAGAGTCTTGTTTTTCAATTACCAATGGAATTACTCCCACGTAGTTTCCTCTACCGAAAAAAAAGTGAGTCATCCTTTGAGCGGCTTCTGTGTGGTACAGCATAGCGCAGTGAATTTGTATCAACTGAATTCTCTCAAGTACAAAACTGAAGAATCTTCAAAATCTTATTTTCCCATTCCGTAAAAGGCTAGGGGCTTCACGCGATTTTGCAGAACGCAAACAACTCTGAAAAATAAAAATAATAGTGAATCAAACCTTCAACCGAAAAGTTGAACCACTTTTGAAGGATTTTGGTGGATAACGGTGAATATTGGAACATTTTTTGACTATACAATCTGCACAAATTTATTGGTATGCACGTCAATCTCAAATATCTATGTATATTTAATAATATTCATTAGACTGTAATGTCAAAAAATGTTCCAATATTCACCGTTATCTACCAAAATCGTTCAAATTAACGGATTTAAGGTTTGATTCACTACTATTTGCTACTATTTTTATTTTTCATACGTATACACGTAAATTTGACATATCTATGTATATTCAGTAATATTCATTTGTCGTTCACGATGAATATTGTTCAATAATACATGGATATTTCGGATTTACATGCAATACTAGGTAAAAGGGGAAAAAAAACCTACTGAATCGGAGAATGAAAAAAATGTGTATTCTGTTGAAAAATTCCATGTTTTCCATTTGTACAAGCTGACACAAATTTTACCTTTCCTTTGAGGTAAAAATTTTGGCTCGTTTTCTTGAAGGCAACATTTTTTTCCGTTTCACGAAACAAAGGCTGTAATTTTTACGTTCATGATGCATGTTGCTTGTTTTTTTTGGTACCGAAAAATATGTTCCATCCATTTTTCTACTTAGGGTGTCACCATTTGGTGCTCATACCATTAAATGTTTCCGTTAATGCGTGAGCACATCGCGACGAAGTAAACGAAACGTAGCAAATAGAAACAATCTATATGAGATACATAACAGTTATGAATTTATGACAATCATTTCACAATTTCACTTAAGTTAATATTTTCTTTTTTTCGTTGCTGTGGTTCCGAACATCAACGAAATTGTCGAAAATATATGGGACGCACACGAAAAACAGAACGATTGCAATTCGTCAGTGAATATGAGTATTGAATTGTGAAGTCATGCCGTGTATTTCATGCTGAATGGCATGCAGATAACTTTTTTTTCATACTCACATCAACTTCCAACAGAAAAAAGCAAATTCTTTTCCTATCATATCCATTTCGACTTTATTTTTTATAGCGGAAAAGCACAAATTTATGGTAAATAATAAAATTCAAAACGGCGGAGGCTCACGTAGAAAATGAACATTGGCACACGTCAAGAGTGAAGAGGATGATATGCGAAGTTAACCCTTTGATGCACAATTTTTTGTTTATGAATCATTTTGATATATGTTTTGTGCCACAATAAATAGAGAAAGACCTCATACTTAGATTTTTGAAAAATTGCGTATTTGTCGAGAAAATCGGAAAAGAGTCAAAAGTGTCAAATCACTATAAAAGCTTGAAAAAATTAAATTTCATAAAACTAATGATGCAGAAAGTTAAATTGATGTGTTTTGGTCCTACGAGTCCTAATTTGACAATTGAAAAGAATGTACAAACCCACAAGATAAGAGGAGGAAAAATGTGGAATTCTGCTATAATTTCGCATTTTTTTTACAGCAGTACATGAACAGAAAAAACTTTCCATTCAGCTAACCAATTGTAGCCTGTAAAGTATCAAATGAAAGCTAGTTCAATTCCCTACATTTGTTTACAAACAAGAATGCAAAAATATTCAGTGGTTTCATAGCTATAGCGTCTGGCGTATCTGGTTACTTAAGGAACCGGTATGTGATAAAGGGTTAATAGGGGAAGGTGCAGGGAAATCGATAGACGAAGGAGGAAAAGGAGGGAAATTGATAGGGGAAGGAGGAAGAGCAGGGAGAAATAGAGAGCAAGGGACTTTGAGATAGAGAGAGACGGAAAAATAGAGAGAGAAAAGAGAAAAGACATGTAAAAGGAAATTGAAAACGCAAACGAACGAACGCCAAACACTTGAAAAAACCTCCTCGAACCTATTATTTAATTCATGCGAATATCGCATGGCATTCACCTACTATTATTCTAAGTTTTATGCCGATTTTGATAATGCAGAAAATTAAAATAAAAGGCCTACGTATTTCCGCTTTGCTGAGGCTTCCTGCGTTCTCACACTCACTCCTCCTTTCTCATTCATTTACTCGTTGTCTCGCTCTCTCTCTCTCTCCCTCTCTTCCTTTTTCTCTTTCACTTTCACTCTTTCAATGTGAGACAGTCTTACATGCCCTTACTCCTTTTTCCTATTTTTCGGTCCGTTTCGCGTAATTGGAATGATTTTTCATCGGAAATGCGGATCGATAACGGCGAAAAAGCCGTGTGAATTATTAATATCGTTTATTATTATTTATGTGTTTATTATAATACTTAACAAATATAATTCAAACGTTGAGCAAGCAGAAGAAGAAAAAGAAGAAGAAGGAGAAGAGGAAGAAAATGAAGGCGAAGCCGATTAACAAACGGAAAAGTGATCGACAATTCTTCATTGCAATAAAATAACTTTAATGAAAAGTTAAGCCATCGAAAAATAGTAGAGCATCATGGTTGTTGCCATTTTTTTCTCTTCTCGTTGGTTATGATTAATGTTTAGCTATTTGTAGACATGGTTTTATTAAATTCAATAGAGGAGAGAAACAGAAGAAAAAGAAGTAACCGGAAAAAATGCTAATTTATATGGATTTAGTCGACAGCAACCCATTCGAAATAAATAATGCACTTAAATCTGGCATAGAAAATTGACTGATTCACCCGCGCACAAACATACACACATAAAAACTAAATGATTTCATGTCTTTGTTTTTGGTTTTTATTTGCAGCAGAAGCCACCGACGATCAGCCATTCGTTCCGAACAATGAAAAACCAACGGAATATGATCCCAATTTGTATCTGTATTCGGTAAGTATATGTTTATGAATTGAATATATGTATATCATCAGCAGGCAGAAAAATTATGTGTCAAATAAATGCTGCAATTTGCTTATTCTTCCGTTCAACGACAAATTCGAAAGAAAAGTCATAATAATTTATCATAACAAATAATTCGATTCAGTTTTTTTATTTACCCATTTTTGCTGTGATGAACAGCTATAGTTTTTTGCAACTATTTTTTACTGTTTTTGTTTTTTTGGTTCGTCGTATACTTCAGGATAAATTCAGTCGCCCATTAAAACCACATAAATGTTACAATATGCTTTTGATAGCGAACCACACGACGATGATTTTCACTTGAAAATCGATTCTGTTGGTCGGTCGGGCGGTGGTACATGCGAAACTTAAGATGATAATTTATGTGATTAAAGCGTTTAACCAATAAACCATGGACTATAAAATTCGATATGCCACCGATCTATCTACTATAAAGTGAGGGACGGGCTGCTGTGTGGTATTAAAGTCAAATATGTTTTAAAGATAGTGTCATTGGATGCGGTAAATGACGTTGTAAACAACCAAGTTTTATGTGCACAACCAGCCCGGGAGCATGGATGAGGCAGAGAGATAGGGACACAAGTGCACACATTCAAACTATCACATTATTTTTCAATGCATTTGGTCACGTTGCGTCGAACAACGGAGAATTGGTCATCTTTGTTGGTGAACGCGCAGCGCACACCCAAAGCGCGCACACCAAAAACCACATTCACTACAGTTGCAGTGCTTTTGACACATATCCAAAAGGCACACAAACAATCAACACGTATATTGACTGAATTAAAAGTTTCCGTTCTGTTTCTCTCTCTCTCTATTTTTGCATCATTTAGGATGAGCTCGACACTCGCCCACGAGCATCGACATTTGTATCGTCGTTTGTTAACTACCAAAATACAATTCCAGCCGCTACAGATCCAGATGCTAAACCTCCTCAACCTTCAGCTCGAATGGGTAAGATTCGACATTTTTCACTTTCTTTCTCGTATTGGTCTTCACTGAAAACTGTTCAGGTTTTTTTTCTTTCTTTTCCAATGATTTTTCTGACGCTTTTCGTTGTATCTTCATTTTTTGTCATTTTCGTGGTTTTTTTCGTTATCGGTTTTTCCCAATTTTGGTAGATTCGTTTCGATTCGTGTCGAGTCAACTCCGTTGACTTTATTCCTGTAGGAATTTGCATATGAATTTTCCTTCGCATGGCACATTTTCCTTGAATTTTTTTCGTTTTTTCCTAGTTTTCGTCGGTATTTTAGTTTCCTGAAAAGAAATTTTTAATCGACATTTTTACTAAAACTATTTTTTTTCGTTTTGTAAAATTTTTCTGTTTGATTTTTACGGATTTTTATCCGTTGTTCACTCGACTTTTATCATTCACAACAAACAATGTTGACTGTTCGATTTTATTCGTGTTTTTCGACATTTTTTATACATTGTCTTGTCAATTTGTCGAAAACTTTTTTTCATTTTGTTGAAAGCGTGGTTGCAAGCTCGATTCATTTGAAAATTAATAAAGTAATAATTGAAAATCCATTAAAAATTCCATTGAAATATTAAAACTGTAGTCATGCAAATTGGAAAAAGAAAGTGCATACAGCGAAGAAAAAAAAATGGTCGCAAAAAATTCGTTTGCAAACAGCTTTTTTTCTGTTCATGTTGTTGCTTTTGTTTCGATCGCGTATTTTTTTGTTGCTCTTGTTTGAACCATGCTTTATTTGTTTCACAATTTGAATTCGTATAAAATAAACATGTTTGTTTACATTTCACTCATTTTTTTCCCTCTGTTCATTCTTTTGCAGGCACTCTGGTTGGCGTATTTCTACCATGCATTCAGAACATATTTGGTGTCATTCTATTTATTCGTTTAACATGGGTCGTTGGAACGGCTGGTGCTATTTGTGGTTTCCTCATCGTTCTTTGCTGCTGTTGTGTGGTAAATACATACACTTTAATCATTCACTCTATCTCTCTCACTCGGTTGCAGTTCAATTCCGTCTATCTTTTGCCATTCCCCCTGTTGTCAGCGCATTCTCGTTCTCACCCACTTACTTTTTCTCTCTATCTCTGTCTCTGTCTCTGTATCTCCCTTTCGCACCAAAATTTATGCATATATACTTTTAATGGAAATGTTTCCGACCACTTTCAAAGGCAAAACCGGAAATTCTTTTGCAATTTTCATCCCATCCCAAGGCCAATGCTGGCGCATCCGCGCCGCACTCTCTGCATCAATGTGATTTATCAATTTAATGGGCTGTATAATTTGATAACAATTTGCTGAGATTCAATTAATGCACATATTGTGCGCTCAGTGAGGCAAAAACCATTTCCGCACCGCGGCCTCCCATCGCAACAAATCAAACGCATTTGAATGTATCGCCATTTTTTTTCCTTCTCAACCCTCCTCCGGTATATATGCAAATGGTGTGTGCAATGTGCATAGAGATGTGCATAGGGAATGAGTTGGCGTATTGAAAGGGCGAATAAGAGAGAATGGAAGATGTGAACTCTATTGATATATTCAAGTAAATCTGGTCAATTCCGTTAAGAGTACATCTCGACGATATACGATGGATAATGCACAAACAAACTTGAACAAAAAGTTGAAAAAGAAGCGAATTTTCAGTTTAAAAGGTGAACGAGAAACGAAATTCAAATATCAATGAGAGAAAGAGAATCGTTTCGAAACTAAAACAAAAATCTATACCTTCCGGGAATCAGCCCAAAGAAGTTAAATCCACCGATTTTTCTCCAAAGCATTGACGACTTTTTTTTTCTCTCAAATACAGAGTTCTGTGTCGACTATGTTGAGGAACAGACTTTTTTATCGGACTATTCATGTGCATATAGACATTGTTCGGTTCATTTAATACATTTGGTGGTCTATACTAGCTGTTTTTAGTATGTTTAAAGTTTTTTTTTCTGTGTGTGTTTAGCAGTCACTCGAAAATCTGTGAAATTTGTCACCAGTTCAAAATTGTGCTTCCAAAACTATTGGACAAATAAAACTTTTACTTGTTCGAAACATTTGGTTTAACCGAAAAATCTAAAAAGTCAAACCCTCATTCAGTGAATGCGCGTTCACTTGAGCGCTTCGGAAAGTTTAGAAAAAAAAATGTGCACAGTTTTTATGCCATGGATAGCAAAAAATGAAACAAGTTAAAAATAAAACGGTTCCAGCATTCAAATACAAAACAGTGCAAAGAGAAAGAAGAGAGAAAATCCAAACAGAATGAGTGTAGATTCTACACTGTAGAATGAAGTCATATTGGAATTACGTACGACGAATACAAAATTGAATTGGAATTTCAAATTAAATCAATGTTGAATTTTAGGCGGAGATCAAATTAGAATCCATGAACTAATTCAAATGAGAACATAGATTGAAGTGTTGAGTTATAGCTGTCAAAGTGCCAGCACCATCGATCATTACATTGGATTGGTAGTATAAGCTGACACTCTCATAGAAAACTCGTTTGATTTGTTCTACCTCTTCGAATACTCTTCATTTACAGTACTGAACGGTTGAAATTGCAGTTCAATCATTAAATGAGTTGGGAGAGAACAGCTGCACTTTTGAGCGATTTCAATTAAAAATCTAATTGGAATTTCGGAACTTTCATAAAAATGAGAATTTCGAAGCGATGAGCACAAATGAAGTGTTGTTTTTTTTTCAAAGCAAAATGAGGTACAAAGGCATCACCTTACCGTTTACTGGTTCCAGATTTGATTTTCCAATTTGATGATATTTTTCACTGAACATTGCTCAGTGGACAATGAATAAGGCAGAGTAATCAACGCAAAAATTTAAAAAAAAATCCCAAAAATTCTCAAAAAAAAGAAGAAAAAAAAAATTGAAAATATTGTTTCCGAAACAGAAAAAAAAACAAACCCGGACTAAAATTTGGATACAAACTCTTAAAAATCCAACAGAAGCGCTTACCAAGTGATTGAGTTCATCAAACTTGTTTCACTTTTCCTTCGATCAACGTATCAAATATTCAAAGTAGTAGTGACCAAATATGCGTATAAAACCATGTGGTTTTATTTCAACCGTATCAATTTTATGACGGAAATGTTGGTCATTTAAATAAAATAATGTGAGAAAATGTTGGGAAACTGTGGAAAATGCAAAGTTTTGATAATGTACAAGTTTCGATTGTAGAAACGACGGACGAGCACTAAAACCTGCCGTCATTTGGTATTGATTCGCTAAGCAGCTTTCGTAAAGCTTTGAAAGGCGACACGTCCTCTCCCTCCTCCTCTCAATTTTCGCAAAACACAAAATCAAGAAACTTTCTCTTCGTCAGCATCGTATAACATTAACTGGTTTATGAAAACTAAGCGCATTAATCCGGATTTAATGCACCGAACATGTTTCGGTCCAAAATGGCATAATAAATGTACTCTATAATAAACGGTTAAAAAATAATTCAGTTATTTGCCAAATACACCGCGTGTTTATGCTTACTCACAAAAGAAAACAAGATGTTTTGTTCCATTTTATGTTTCATTCATCCAACATTATCATCATCATCATCATCATGTAAAATTTGTATGTGTTTTCTTCTTCTTTTTTTCCACAGACAATGCTAACGGCAATTTCAATGTCGGCCATTGCTACGAATGGTGTGGTGCCGGCAGGCGGGAGCTACTTCATGATATCCAGGTAAATCATTTATGTTCATGGATTTTATCGTAATTTGGTGGCTATTAAACGATTTAAATTAGGAAATATCCGGTATAATTAGAGCTCGATATTCGGGATACCCCATTTGTTAATCGATCAGAATCAATTTTTGAGGTGTTTGTGTGTGTAGTGTGCTAGGGGGTAGACACAACATTTAAAACTTGATTTTTTTTAGATCTTTTCAAATCTGTAGGAATCTCAAATCTCGAGCAAATTCAAATACTTTTGAATCTCTATGAAACCTTATGAATCTTCTCAAATCAAAATGGCTGACTTGTCAAAAAGGTCAAACAAATCACTAAGATTTTTACAAATCTTTTCAAATCCCTTCAAATCTCAATGAATCTTCACGAATCTGAACACCTCTACACAAAATCAATTTAGTATTTTGAAAAACGAACGTATCTCAGATCTTGTGTCTATCCCCTAGGTAGTGTGTGTTGTTTTGTGGGTTGCGAACTATCGAATGATATGCACGAAAATTCACACAAACTCAGCTAGCAAATGCAACAATCAATCAATTGGATTCATTTGTGGCGTATGTCAAGCCAATCAAATGAAATTGAAGCAAACAGTAGTTCTCTCATGTTTTTCGGTGAATAACACGTGCTACAGCATAACAATTGCGGTTGATATTCAGCTGTCATTTTCGCCATACGAATCGATTTTGTATCAGAAAATTGCATTTGGTTAATAATGAAAGCAGCGGAAAATTGTTGCTTCTCCCTCGGATTATTATGGGTGTCAGTGGTGTAACAAGCAAAGGTCCTGCATCTAAGCGTCTGACAGCTCACTTCTAGCGCTACGAGACAAGTGTCAAAAGTTGTGACACAGATCGTTCAATGTATTATTGAATCTTTTTTATTTTGTTAATAAAGTACACAAAAAAAAATAAAAATGTCACGAATGTGCAAAATTGATTTTTGTGAGAGCTTGGCACGTCATAAACATCAATTTTATAAGTAAAAAATGTTTCTTTCATTACGGAACATTGTTGATGCGTTCAATTTGTCGCGTTCATGAGTGCGTCTAACGACGCAAATAATTGAAATGAACTTCACTGAATGCGCTCATCGCAAATTCGTGTTTTACTTTGTTTTGTTAGTGTGGTGCAGGGGTTGTGGTAACAAGTTTTCTTTTTGGAAGGGTTGGTTTCCAATTTTCCACAAGTATTAGCAAAAAATGCAAAGGAGATCTCCTGAGGATACTAAAAGCCTTTTGAAACAATGTGATCCAACGTACGGTTTAGGTTTACGGTAGAGAAGTTTAAGGTATATGTACGGTAACTAGAGGGTTAAGTTCATTTTTGGCCTTTCTTATTTCTATATCTAAATCAGTTTGTCTCTTTCATGAATGTGAGATCATTATTATTTCCAGTTCCATCTCTTCTGTCTTTGAATTAAAAACTAATCCAAATCTTTTGTTCAATGAATTTTCTTCTTTTAACATATTGGCCAAATATCTTATATTCTTACCATTTCCGTAACAGAGTGGTTCAACACCACTTATTTACTTATCTTGCTTTATTTTTCGCGCTAATACAATTTATGGCTATTGTTTTGTCGAATTTATTAGAGAAAATGTTGCATGATGAGCTGTAGTAGTGTTGTTGACGCCAAAAGGTACCTTTTGTGTTGATATTGATGCTTATATTCTGTTTAGTTTCTGTGTTATCAGTTTTGTATGATGAATTTCGAATATTTTTGTGCGGTGAATTTTTCTGCTCTTCTCCTCTTCGCTTGGTTCTTCATGTCTTCATGATCATAGTGACTGCGGTTTTTTTTCTTTGCTCGATTTTGTTGTCACTTTTGAATTTAGCCTTTCAACTGTCTTCAGCACAAAATGTATCTCGAATTTTAAACTACGTGTTTTGAATGGGGTTTGTTTGTTTCTCGACTCAAAAATTCTTCTTCTGGGAAAAAAGAACAGAACTTTTCACGCAAGATTTTTTCATCTCACTTGATTTACATATTTATTAACTGATTTCTTTATCTTTCTGACATCATTTGCAAAAGTCTTAGTTTTGAGGTTAAATTTTTTATTTTTTCTACGTTTACGTAAATTCAGCAGTCTTATGTAGACTTCTATTATTTTTTATTGTGTTTAGCATTTCTTCGTTTCTTTCTAGAAAATCCAACTCTACACATTGTATTCTTTTTATTTTTTTTCTCTTTCAACTCACTTATATCAATGATTCGTTAGTCCATCTTGCTTCACTTGCTGTTCGAATCAAACTGATTGTTCTTTTACGTATGCATTCTATATACAATTTTTGGTTTATGTATCCGATTTGGTCGTATGTGCCCCAAATTGATTTTTGCAGAAAAGATAAGTCATAAATGAACCGTTGTGACAAACAAATTCCCTCAGAATATTTTAGTTTCAAAGTGCAACATGAAATTTTTTAAAATGAAAATATAGAGTTTACAACAAAAACTCCATATAAAAAAACTTTATGTTGCACTTTAAAACTGAAATATTCTGAGGGAATTTGTTTGTCGCAATGGTTTAAATATTGAAAATTCATGATTTGTTCGTTCTCCGTATGTTGTCGATTATTGAGTTGTCTAGCATTCTGACATCATGTTACCAAATCATTAATTTTATGCACTAGACACTATTATCTCGTCGATTTTAATTGGAATTTTAATTGGAATTTTAAATGCATTTACCATTTGCGGTTTTGATTTGTTATGCGTGTTTATTTTTAGGGGCATTTTACACTGCAAATGAAGCTCGTTTTGCGAATGGGCGAATGGCTTCGCATGCAGATAAAAACATTCGCATTTCGCAGTCTCGAAAAAAACTTTCATGTGAATTAGAGAATTTTTCAAATAACAGTCCGTACGCGTGTTTTGAAAAACGCGTCAGACTGTGTTAATGGACATTGGGCACACTACGAATTATTCGCATAGAGAGAGAGCATCATTAATATTAGGGAATCTATAATGAATTGATTGTTTTGTTTATTGTTCGAAACGATGAATCAAAATGGTGATAATGTATTTCGTACGAAGCTGATTGAATGTTCCGATAAGACTGTCAGTGTGTGTGTGTGTGTCTGTGTGTGAGTGTGGGACTGAGGGTATTTACAGAAGATTTAAATGAGTCCTCTTCAATTTCCATACAGACGATTAATTTTGAATCGGATCTCAGTGCAACACAATCGAACAACAGCATTCATTCATTCCGGAACAGCGCTCGAAAACTAAACCCAGTGTGTGGGTTGATTAATTAGAATTTAAATCAACAATGATTAGGTCAAAATTCAAGTGATAAACGCTATCGCATCAATATTCATTAGAAGATTAAATACTCAATGGAGTCAATTGCATGGGATTTATCAACAAATCCGGTTATAGTTTTTGAGCCACCGAACGAGATAAATTAAAGACTTTGTGAGGAGAAACACATTTACAGTGGATTTTCAATTGAATTTTATGGAAAATGACGAAATTTGGCAATTTGTTAGCCAACAATTGGCCAATTAGTTGAAAATTGGAGGACAAATATTTGGAAAAGGGTAAATGAAGAAGGAAACGAGAGAGAGAGAGAGAGAGAGAGAGAGACAAGGAGAGAAAAATGGCAAAGCAAATATCACATAACAGAAAGGGGATGAGAGAGAAATGATGGAAAGAAGTGGAAGGAGTGAAAGAGACTCTCTTTAAGAGAAAGAGTGAGTGAGAGAGAGAGAGAGAGAGAGAGAGAGAGAGAGAGAGAATGCGAGAGAGGACGGAAAAGAATGAAAGAGGCAAAGAACAAAGGACAAAAAGAGAACAAAATACAAGTCAAAGCAGGCGAAGAAGACGTCAGAGACAAAAAACACATGAAAAACCAAAAAAAGAAATCCATCAACGAATGAAAAAAGGCATCTTTTCCAAAGAGCATTTTCATTTCCAGTCGAAAATAAACAAAAAAACGCTGGAATTTGTGTGCGCGAAAGACTCAAGCGAAGATTTATGATATAGTTCTGGTAATTTGTAGCCATTCAGGTCGGTAAATTCCATTCAGATTCGGAATTTCAGAAAAACCTGTCAAAATATCGTGTTTTTATCGATCGAAAACATCAGCATATATTTCTTCTCCTCTCTTGGTCCAAACTCAATTCATGCAAATCCAATGCTGCGACCTTTTCTACACTGTGTTTGTTGTCTTCTCGGTTGCTTTTTCAATTCGCTCTTTCTCTGTCCGCAACAAAAACCAACCCACCCACCACCGCTTCTAAATGATAAATAGTTTCAACGATTTCCACTCAAATGGCCGATATTTATGCGCCGAAATTTTCGCATTCAAACGGTATTCATATGGCTCATATATGGGCTACTCTGTAGCAACAGATTTCTTTTGCACTTCAATCTCCAATTTCTATTCATTTTCGATTCAATCATTCGTTCTCGTTCATCGTACTATTTCACTTCCTTGTCTTTTTCTGCTTCGTTCTGCCATTGGTCACTCTCTCTCCCCCTCTCTGTATGTGTGTGTGTGTTTGTGTGTGTGTTCCATCATCACATATTCAATGTGCCATCATGAGCGCATTTCCACGTACATATTTTGCTTGAATATAAATAATTTATTAATGATTCGGGTGAAATTGAGCAAACCGCACCGCATAAAAGCTCAATGGATGGTCGGGGCTTTTACGGTTTTATTTCGATGATGAAAAGAGTGAATGAGCAAGAGAGAGAGAGAGAGAGAGAGTGAGAGAGGGAGAGTGAGAGTGAAAGAGAGAAAATTCGTGTTACATGGTCGTGCAAATCGATTTTTTCGCCCATTATACGGAACTTGAATGGGCCACATGGGACAGACCTAATGCAACACATACAATATTAACGCATTTTTACTCACTCTCGCTAACTCGGCCGTTCGCCTCATTCTCATCTGCTTCTGTCACTTTGATCCTCATTCAATTTGCTTCACTTTCTCCCTTTCACTCGTTTCACTTTGTGGCTATCAGCCAAACTTTGTGCCTAATCCTTTGGAATAATATACATACTGGCGCCGGCTAATCGATACACATTCCCATTATATTTAATGTCATGTCAACTGTCGTTCGTCTGAAGCAACAATGCCATGTTGATGTTCAAGGGCAGCGTACACGCGCTCGCTCGCTCGCTTTAAACTGGCCATTTACCTTTTTAGCCATTTTCATTCGGACGTGTCCTATTTTTTTTCCGCCGTTGCAAAGCTGAGATTCATCAAATCATAAGGCGTGTATCCATAAAACATTCAATGCAGAGCACTATAAAAATGCGGTTGCATTACCACATATTTACCGTTCATAAATGATGGCCGTGTTTGGTTTTCACACGCTTTATTTCTATGCAAACAATTTGGTTTCGTCGCGTTTATTTTGCACATACACACACTCACCCACACTGATGGCCGTTTGATTGCATTTGTCGATGATAAATTGTCATTCATACAAATAAACATATAAGACAAGCCAATGTCAATACCGCAACACGGGAGGGTTTGAAGTGAAAACAACCGTGAAAAACAAAAATCCAAAATACATAATTTAATCGGAAAATAAATATGGGATATATATGAGCATTCAATCCCAAGCGTACAATTCGAATGCGACCAATTAATGTGGACACATTTTTAAAAAAATCATTTTTTTCATTTTGTTTTTGTTGCGTTTTTCCGCACAGATCGCTGGGACCTGAATTCGGTGGTGCGGTCGGGCTACTATTTTATACGGGCACAACACTGGCAGCGGCTATGTACATTGTTGGTGCCGTTGAAATTGTACTGGTAAGTTTAAAAACACAATAGTAAACAAGATTTTGTGGCTGGTATGCATACAAACGAATTATTCGGGGCGATATCATTCATATTTGGCCAACAACAACCACTGTTGAACACTTTTTGGGCAATGAAAACCACTTTTGAACGAGCAATTTCCGACACTGACGACATAAAACCAAACCAGTAAGAGATTTTACTGAAATCAGAGAGAAAATGAACGAAAATTAAATGTTTTGGATTAAAAATGATGGCGAAGATAGGAAGACTCACGGAATTTCGGATTAAAATAAGAACGAGCACGCGAGAAAATCGACTAAAATGTGACCAAAAATTAACGCTGTTTTCAACTCATTTTCTTTACACAGACGTATATGGCACCATTTGCGGCGATATTTGTTGATATAGATGATCCAGAAAGTGCGATGTACAACAATTTTCGTGTCTATGGTACATTTCTACTCTACTTCATGGGTATGTCGGCTCAAAATTATCCAAAATAAAAATTGAAATCTATTCCAAATGTTATTGGCGAAACAGGAGAAAAAAAATTCTTTGTTCTCTTTTCAAAATGCATTTCATTTCGTCGTGTGTATTATACACGCTGAGCTTGTATTTAAGACAGCAAAACTTGGAATGAATATGCATTCGCAAATTAAATGCGCTTCGAGATCAAAAGCGATTATGTCGATTATTTGAAAGAATTTTTTTTTTCATTGTTCGTCATGTGTGTGCACTGCACATACTCGTGTGTATATGTCACACATTAATAAAAAAAAACCGTTTGTGCTATTTTCTATCGTTGCAGGAACCATTGTGTTTATTGGCGTAAAGTTTGTGAATAAATTTGCTGCCGTTGCATTAGCGTGTGTTATTTGTTCCATAATTGCCGTGTATGTCGGTATTTTTGATAATTTTTATGGCAACGAGAAACTTTAGTAAGTATTCATTCGACTTGTTTTTTGTTATTGTTGTTGTTGGTTTTTGATTTTCTAAACAGAATACTATAATCACTTCGATTGCTTTTCAATTGTGAACTTTTCAAATGCTATACCCAAATCAATAGTCTCTTGATGTCGATAGACAAAGTTTGTATTATTTTTTTACTCCTCTCATCGGAATAACATTGCGGACAAAACAAAACTAATGCACTCAGTTATTCGATTAAGTTCAATATATATTGGAAATACGATGGCATGCCATTGGGGTACTTTAGTATTTGACATACTTTCACTTATGCGTCAATTCATTCGGAGTTTGGAATATGCGTCAAAATCAATCGTCTCACTTCACTTGACTGAGTTTTTTTTCTTCTTCTTTCTCCTACTTTTCTCATTCTCGATGTCTTTTCATTATTTCTACAAAATTGTTATTGTTTCTCTATCCAATTATGACATTTCAATGACATTCAGACAATTCGACGCGATGCTTCACCGTTTTTTTTTCTATTTTCCTCTAAATTTTTTTTCCAAGTCCTTGACAACTTTAGCCTAGACTTTAGCTTTCCACTAAATTTGATTTATTGTAAATTGGTTTAGTTTCAGTTCGCTGGGCTGAGACTCGGTTGGGAGAGGGGAAAAAAAATTCATGACTATTGAAAAATTGTCGACATTTTACGATACTTACAATTTGAATTTAATTGCTTATCGAGAAATTTAGATGTCAAACCAAGCTAGAAGTCTAGTCTATTCATTTCATTTCAGTTTTTCATTCTCATTTATTGATTTTGTTTTCTGATCGTTTCAAACCAATTGATTCTCCGGTGTTTTACTGAGGCTTAGGAAATGATAATCTGACAATGAATCAATGAATTGACATTTTGTGGAATGACGATTTAATACGTTTCTATTAGTGAGCGACGCTCACTGAGCATATAAGAAGAATTTGAGTAGCATCGTTTTTTTCGGAATCACAATATGTAATGTATACGATCCTATGCTTTGACGTTTGTCACAATATAAGCGCCACCAAGGGTGGAATTCTAAGTCATTCCACCAAAATCGTTCGGAATTATTTTTTTCGTACATAAGCCATATTGGAGTGAAAGAGAGAGATTCCACTATTTTTCAGCATTCCACCGGAATTATTCCGATAACTCAAGGAAGAGTGGAATGTGTGAGAAATAATTCCGGTGGAACGCTGGAATCTCTCTCTTTCACTCCAATATGGTCTTATGTACGAAAAAAATAATTCCGAATGATTTTGGTGGAATGACTTAGAATTCCAGCCCAAGTCTATGGAAAATGAACTATGCAATACTATATGGAATGATGATGTTGATCGTTTGAACGTTTTCCGAGCGTTCAAATTGAATACATTGGACTTATACGAACAAAAGAATCATGGCACAGATGGCGCTTTATTTTATGCATTCCATTTACATTGTGATTCCGGTTTTTTTTTCTCGGTCAAACGAGAAATAGAAGCGGAAGGATCACTTTTTGATAGAAGTGAAGAAAGTTCTTCTTTGAAGAGAAGAGAGATTTGAAATCTCAACAACGGTGAAGATAGGTTTTTACACCACTCTGAACTTCAGGAAAAGAAAAAAAATTCTTTCCCCAAGATGGTTTTCCAAGAGCGAAATATGAAAATCAATCCAATAATAATTTATTAGTAATTTACTTACCAATTTTTGCTCTATCAACACTTATGCCTCGTTGGTTTATTTGCTTTTCTTTTCTATAGCATGTGCGTACTTGGAAAACGATTGCTCAAAGACATGAAGTTAGAAGACTGCCACAAAACGGTAGGAGGATTCTTGCATAATACATACTGTAACGCAACTACCAGATTATGTGATCCATACTACGAGAGTAAGTGTTTTAATTGATAAATGCACATTTTATTAAATCATTGTTTCCTTTGAATTTGAATTGTTCCCTTCGAGTTCACGAACAATTCGGGTTCTACATACTAGAAATTATTTTTGCTGTGCCATTGAACATGAGTGCAGAAGATAGGGAAAAGAATTACGGCACATTTTTGAATATTCCGAATTGGCATTTCACACTTCGCATTGCTTTTTTCACAAGAAGTTTCATCAAAATGAATGGTGATTATTATTGGTATGTGATTTTAACCTTGATTTGAACGTTTTGAAGAAAAAAAATAAGAGAAAAAAAATTCAATTTTTCGTTGAAATTCACCAAAATCTAAGACGACGAAACCGTTTTAGAAACGTCAAAATTGCAAACTTTCCTTTAAATTTGTTTAGAAAAAACTCAAATTTACCCAAATTCGTCTTCAAATTTACCAAAAATGGTCAAAGTTTGCTGAAAATTGAGGAAGATACCACGTTTGGACCCATCGGTTTCCTTGTCAATTGTTCATTTGTATCAAAGTTTTGCGAGAAAAAAGTCAACGTTAACAAAATTTGAAGCGAATGTGATTTTTGCCGCTCCGATTCTGAACTTCGAAGGCATGGAATAAAATTCATATTCTACTTAAAACAGAACGAAACAGTAGACAATTTGTGTCACAATAAAGACAATGAAGCAAAAAAATAAATCCAAAACAATCTCTAACAATAAATGGACCAATCAAAAATCAATGAATGTTTCTCAATGAATAGCAAACAATGTGACGGTTGTGAAAGGCATCAAAGGTTTGGCGAGTGGTGTATTCTTCGATAATCTTGGCGATTCATTTCTCGAAGTGAGTAAATTCTCTCTTTAAACTCTATATATGTCTACCTTAAAAATATATAATAAGTATGATGTCATTGGTTGCATTGAATGTGTTCTCGTTTTATTCTCTCCATCAAATACATGCGCCCTTAATTCGAATTGAAAATGCATAAATGCAGAAATTCCAATTCATTGCGTACGGAAAAAATCCAAAAGATTATGAGCGTATGTCACAGTCTTACAACCAAATTTATGCGGATATCACGACATCGTTTACCATTTTGATAGGAATTTTCTTCCCATCAGTGACTGGTAAGTGTGTTTTGGATCTAAAACTGTGGAAACTTAAGAACTCTGTTGTCTTACTATGTTAAGATGTTGGTATGTATGTTGTAAATTTCTAAAACAAAATGTGCAACACTCGCATTTCTAGGTATAATGGCTGGATCGAATCGTTCTGGTGATTTGGCTGATGCACAGAAGAGCATTCCGATTGGAACGATTTGTGCAATATTGACCACAAGTACTGTGTATTTATCTTCCGTCCTTCTCTTTGCTGGCACTGTTGACAATCTGTTACTTCGTGATAAGTACGTCGCATTTCACGTCCATCCAATTTCGATTTTACTCTCGCTCATCGCAGTGGAGATTATGTGTTAAGCCGAGTGTTTTTTTTTCTTTTATAGATTTGGAGCATCAATTGGTGGTCGATTGGTTGTGGCAAACATGGCTTGGCCCAATGAATGGGTCATATTGGTGGGCTCATTTTTGTCAACACTTGGTGCTGGTTTGCAAAGTTTAACCGGTGCACCGAGACTGCTACAAGCGATTGCCAGAGATGATGTGATACCATTTTTAGCGCCATTTGCCGTATCGTCAAAACGCGGCGAACCAACCAGAGCACTTATCCTAACGCTGGCCATTTGTCAATGTGGCATTTTGCTTGGTAAACATTTCATTTTCACAAACAGCCATTCTTTTTTCTCTGTTCTATTCGGTTCATGCAATTTGATTAATCTATATTTTGTCGTTTCGAGGCGGGAGCATTTTCCCAATTTCGTTTTTGTTTTCTCTCTCTCTCTCTCTCTCTCTCTCTCTCTCGTGTCGATTCATTCGATTGAAAGAGATAGAGAGGGCGAGCGAAACAAATATGAGAAATAAACGGTTTTTGTGTTTGTGTATTTCCGTAGGTAATGTCGATATATTGGCTCCGTTGTTGTCCATGTTCTTTTTGATGTGCTATGGATTCGTGAACTTGGCCTGTGCCGTACAAACGCTGTTACGAACACCAAATTGGCGACCTCGTTTCAAATTCTACCATTGGTCATTGTCGTTGTTTGGCCTATGCTTGTGCATTTCCATAATGTTCATGACTTCTTGGTATATGGCACTGCTGGCGATGACAATGGCCGTTATTATTTATAAATACATCGAATATCGAGGGTAATTTCTTTTCGTTTCGTGCTTTTTATCGTTTACAAATACACAATCAATCATACTGCACGTAGCATGACCATTTGCTATGATGGTTGTTGGTTTATTTGTGCTCGCGGTACAATTTGTATTTTATTGCAAACGATATGTTCCAATCCATAGATATACATTTAATTAGGATAATCATTTTTATTGTCGTTTTTCTTTCCATTTTCCTTCGTTTTGGTCACCGATTTCGGTACACGATACAGAGCCGAAAAGGAATGGGGTGATGGTATTCGGGGAATGTCATTAACCGCAGCTCGATATGCTCTACTTCGTTTGGAAGAGGCTGAACCGCACACCAAGAATTGGCGACCACAAATTTTGATACTGGTTAAACCGACCGAAGAAAATCTACCAAAATATCGAAAACTATTTTCGTTTGCATCGCAACTGAAAGCGGGCAAAGGATTAACGGTGTGCGTGTCAGTTGTCAATGGTGAGTACACAAAGAAGTCAAACAAAGCGGCCGAAACAAAGCAAAATATTCGACGTATTATGGAAGAAGAGAAAGTCAAGGGATTCGTTGAAGTTCTTGTCGCTCGCAACACCGTCGATGGTCTGTCCTCAATGTAAGCATTATTTTTTGCATCAACACTGGCTTTTTAGCACAAAAATTAAAGAGGTTTTCTAAGTTTTTTCATCATTTCATCAGAATTGTCGGAGTAGATCGATTTGAGCGTGGGCCTGTTTATGATTTTTATGAAGAACAATTTAAAAATGGTCAATTTTCTCTCATTTTTTCTTAATGACATATTTTAATTAATGATAAGAAAAGTGAGAATTACGGTGTAAAAGTATTGAAATTTAAGTAAAATCGATGAAATGATGAAAAAAAAACCAACAAAACGACTAATTTCCAATGTTTCCTATTACCAAAACAATCCAATTATTCGAAAATGCATTCATTATCAACTTACTTTTTTCCGTCTGCAGTGTTCAAACGAGTGGTTTGGGTGGCTTAAAACCAAACACAGTAATTCTGGGATGGCCATACGGATGGCGTCAAAGTGAGCACGATCGCACATGGAAGTCATTCTTGGAAACGTGCCGTGTGTGCGCCGCATCGCGAATGGCACTCGTCATTCCGAAAGGCATCAACTTCTTCCCCGATTCCACTGAAAAGGTAAAATTTTGTCAAAATCAAAATGCAACCGGACGAGACTATCGTAGTGTCTCTTTTTCTCTCTGTTTTTTTTGCGGTCGGCCTATTCCCGTCATTTTTATTTCTTCCCTCCCCTCTTTTATTCTTCTTCTACCCTCCTTTACCTTCTTTTTCTTTCCGTTTCAATTTCTCCCTTCCTCTCCCTACTTCATTTCTACCCTTTCTTTCCTTCCTCTCTTCCTTTCTCTCTTCTTACCATTTTTCCTACCTGCCTCAATCTCCTCACTTATCTACCGCCATTCAATATTTGGTTCAACCTCTTCACCTTGTCGTTTCCACTCTGTGCGTCAGAGAATAAAAGAGAGACGGGGCGAGACTAAGAGATTCGACAGAGTGCGATGAATATTGAATAATTCAATCAAAATCTTTGGTGTGTGTGTTTTCTTTTAAATTCCAATTTCAGATTAGGGGCTACATTGATATTTGGTGGATTGTACACGATGGTGGTTTGTTAATGTTGTTGCCATTCCTGTTGAAACAGCATCGCACGTGGAAAAATTGTAGAATGCGCATCTTTACCGTTGCCCAAATGGAAGACAATTCGATTCAAATGAAGAAAGACCTCAAAATGTTCCTCTATCATTTGCGCATAGAAGCCGAAGTTGAAGTCGTTGAAATGGTGAGTGCTTTTTTTATCGTTTCAATTTTTTAAATATCACGCAGCGTGCACTTTTCACACCTGCTATTCCATATAGTCCTTCCTCAATCTATCGTCGTTGTCGATTGGTTGGTCGATCGGCTTGTGCTCAATACTTTAATAACAAAAAAAATCAACTTCGGTGTATGTTTTCATTTCCAGATGAATAGTGATATATCGGCTTACACGTACGAACGAACACTCATGATGGAACAACGAAATCAAATGCTTCGAGAGCTGCGCTTGAATAAGAAAGAGAGCCTTGGTGTGGTAAGTTTGTGTCCATTGTATTCAACAATATCGAATTTGATTAGTGAAGCTGTTCGTAAAATGAAATCAAACGAATAAAATGTCGAAGAATGCAAAAAATGATTTTGAGAAAAACGAACGATGATGGTGTGGCGAAAATTCGTCTATCTCTCGTTCGCCAAAGCATTATATCTATCGATGAAAAGCAAAGCAGCAGTCTTTTAGCTTAGGTGAAAAATAGTCGACAGCATACACACACACACACACATATAGGGTTGTGTTTTAATGATTCATGGGCGGAAAATATGTGCATTTTAACGTATGTATGTGTCGGTTGAGCATTCTCACTTCGCTGCCACCAACGTTGCATTTGCAATTGCTCCGCTCATGGAATGTTCAATTCACCACCAAACTGAACAATCGTTTATTTTCCGTTGTTGTTGTTATTGTCTCTGTGTTTGCTGAAGGACATTGGAAATAGAGAGACAGAAAAGTGGAGAGAAGAAAAAATGACACCATGATGACACAACAAATATGCATTAAAATGCAGCATCAATAAGCGTAGTCACGGTGTGAATAACAACGATGAAGAAAAAAAAACATACAGACAGCAATCCCGACAGTAATCACTTTTCCAATGGCCTTCGCCACAAATACACACACAACAAAGAGAGAGAAAAGCGTACAACGTTTACTCAACATTTTCATCAACGCCAGTGAATTAACAACCAACAGCACCGATAAAAAAAACAAAAAACAAAAAATAAAAATCAAATACAGTACGCCCCCGCAAATTAGAAATGAAATGTCCCGAGACCATTTCCAATTTGCGGAGTTTTCTAATTTCTGAGGTTTTTTCAATTTCATCCAAAAACGGTGTATCAAATTAAAAACTGATTAGGGGGGAATGATTTGCTCAATTGAAAACGATATATTGAACACTGTTCAATCAAGAATTGTATGTAAATACATGCAGTTATTTTAGTTATTATAAATATATAGTCTGTTAGTTTATTTTACTGGATAAACTACTCCTCGGAACAAACAGAAATAAATGATGACCGGCTGTTCTTATTATATCAAAACGTTAGCATTCTATATAAACGTCGAAAATCTCAAGCCGATCTGCTAATATAGTTATTCAACGAAATGGAAAAGACTTTCATTACGTTTTTTCATTAAAAATGAAGTAAATTTCCCTTTGTCTTGAATGAAATGATTCGGAAACCCCGTGAATTAGAAATGAACCCCGGAAATTAGAAATTTTCCATACAAATTTTCAAACCTGAAATTCATTTCTAATTTCTGAGGTTTTCTAATTCTCGGGTTTCTAATTTGCGGGGGCGCACTGTAAACAAGTCAACAAATGAGTAAATCCGTAAATGAATTCACTAAAGTCATCATTTTTCTCTTTCTCTCTTTCTCTCCCCGATATTTTTTTTTATATACCTTCTGTTCTCTTCTCTTTTTTTTCTCGTATATGTACACACACCCACACAAAACACAAAATAAAAACTCATCTCTGCATATCGAATTTACGAAACAAAAATAACTGACAAAAAAAATCGTCAACAACCAAATGAATCTGCTTTTAATTTGTTAATCTTCTTGTGAATCTCTCGGGGTGGATGAAAATATTATTGTACAAAAAAAAAACACATTGAATAACCACATAAACACAACATCAACATACTTCCAAAATGCATTCCACCGACCAAAAAAAAACAAAACCGTAACAAAATCCGAAAATAAAAACGAAAAAAAAAATGATTACCTCAAAACCAGGTGCAAGCCTTGGTGGACTTCAGCGAAGCAAGCGGAGAGGATAGTCCATTGGTAAATTCTCTAATTTTCATAAACCGACCAATTTTCATCATCCATTTGTTTTTAGTATATTCCAAACCAAAAGCCAAACAAAAATACTTAGAAAATATAAACACATTTTGTTTTGCTACCATCTCTTCTCTTCTTCTTCTTTATTTTTCCGTTATTTCCTCCATATACAAATATAAATCCATACATGTGTTGTTGTTTATATTTGATTCATAGCTCTTCTTTTATTGTCCATTCTCTAGTCCGAATGAAAAAAAAAAATAGAAAAAAAACCGAGAGTTGTGTGCGGTTTTTAATCATCATCATCATCATCATCATCGTTAGAGAAACGTACCCACATATTCAAATCGATGTGATTTTTTTTTTGTTAGTTTTCATACCGTTTTTTGTTAGCTCTTCATTTTGCTTGGATGTTGAATTTTGATTTCCACTATTCATCCCCACACGTGTCAAACAGCTCGCCTTTATATATCGTTCGCTAGCCATTCATTTCGTTTCAAAAATAGCCATGATTTTTTTGACAACCCCTTTCCTACTCGTTGTTTTTTCTTCTCTCTTTAGTTCAAATAGCCAAATCTATTTGTTTAGCGTGCGCGCACGTGTGCGCACGCGTTTTGTGTGTGTGTACATTTCCTTTTGCAATCAAAATGCACTTTAGAAAATTGAACATTTGCATTTGCTCTTTCTCTCTGTGTCAGTGGCTTTTTCGTTCAATTTTTTCTCTTTGGTTCATGTGTATTTTTTTTTTTTTTTGATTTCGTTCAAGTCGCAAATGCCATCACAGTCCAGTCATACCGATAAAATGGTAATTTATTCCAGGTTAACCACCGGAAATTACAATCAATTCTTGCGTGAAATTGCACATACTTACCCTTTTTCCCTTGGCTTACTACTGCCATGCCAGAGGGAACAAAATGTATGCTCAATTCGATGGAATGAAAGCAAAAAATTCCGCAAACAAAACGAATTGAAATGCATTTTGATGAAAAAAATTTGCCATTTGCGACAAAATATTATTGAAGCGTGATTTTTTTTGCCATTCGCTTTGATGTGAATAACTAAAATTGAATGGGTTTTCTTTCGGAATTTGGTTTACATTTTTTTTTTCGTTTAACAATTTTTTTCTGTTGTGTTTCAATTTGCCTGGAAAACGCCAGAGAAAAAGGAACGGTTATACTGTTTACTGCTGCTTTTGTCATTTTCAGTGTATGCTCGTTGAGTTTGGTTCCTTTTCGCCGGTGCTGCATCACCACTGGTGATATCAAGCTTCTTTCATGCTTTTCTATTGCTATCACGAAAAATGGTTTTAGTTAAAGAGCAAAAAAAGGTTTTTTTTTTAAGTAAATAATCTCGGTTGTTGTATAAAATTTGCAATCTTCAATAGTACGCGCGTGGGAAACTATTGAGTCAACTCATTCCTCACTTGTTATTTGTTACTTGAATAATAAATCGCTTCAACAGTATCAATTTGACTAACCTTCTAATGGAATACTCAAAATTTTTAGATGCATATTTGAAGAAATGTAAATTGGAGTAAATTATTGAAAATTGAAATGAGTCTGAAGCTTAAACTGCTGTGAGCAGTCGTTACACTTCATTTCGATGCGTAGTTGAGTATTGAACAAGTTTTTCTTGTAGTAGTGCATCATATTTGTATGGGGTTTTGAAAATCCATTAAGATTTAGTTTTCGGAAACGTATCATCATAATTTTCATAATTTTCCAAAGGCTCTACTCGATAGCCTCAAAGTTGAATACTTGATTTAACTTTTAGTAAGTAGAAGAATGACTTCAAGAGTTCGATTACGTTCAAAATCGATTCGTTTCTGTTCAAATCTGCAATTTTTCATTGATCGCCAATTCCAAAATCTAAAATCCGAATGCCTGTAGAAGTAGAAAAATGACGTTGTGTTTTCGTTACTCCAGGTTTGAATGGGTTAAGTCGTGATAAAAAATTTAAGAGAACTCCCAAACTTGGTGTCTCTACCGTAAAGAAATTTTGAGCTTAAAATTACACAACAATTTTAAAATGTTGAGCCTCACAGCGAAAATTTAAGCCCCATAGCGTCAGCTCCGCTCAGCATCAGAACATGTACAAACACTTTAAAGGGCAATTGAAATTTAATGCATTCTCATTTATTATTTATGTCATAGACCAATTTTTGTGTGTAAAATGATGATCAAACATGTCACAATTAATTCAGATGTATCTTTCACTCGAAGTCGGTTGAAAAAAAAGGGGGGGGGGGGGTCGGTTGAAGTTTGATTATAAGTTGCATTTCATCAACTTCAAAGTTATTGCAATCGACATAACTTTGAGCAAATCCGGGTACAATTTAAGAGCAAAATACATTTTACCTACAGCTAAAGCGATCAATAGCCGAACTCGAACGATAAAGTGCATCAGAGAGGTTCAAAGAGTTGAACCGTTTTGTTGATGCTATTGATATGAGATCGGCAATTTAGGTGCTTTTCAAATCGAGTCGTTGGCACACATTTCATGAACCGTTTTATAGTTGCCTTTGAAGCGGTGTGTTGCTTTGGCAAAAAGCCTAATTGAATATCCTTTGCTTTACACTATGCAAACAATGTCCATGCTGTTTGTGTGTGTATGTCTTCTTGGTGATTTTTGTGCATGTTAATTTTCGACCGAAACCATTCTCAAATCAGCTCTCGTCCAAAGTGACCTCGAACAAAGCAAGTTCGATTGAAGCACATCAGCTGAAGTGGTTTGACCAAAAGCACATCATTTTAGCAAACAGACACACAGTTGCTCAAAAACGAGAATGGATAACAAAACGGACTCGAACTGCAAACTGTATCATTCTGTGTATTATAGTTTGTTGACGACTATGTCTTAATCCGACCGCTTGATTTTACATGCAGGCATATACACTTAACGAGAGGCGAGAGGCGAGAGAGATTGAGCCGAACGGCAATTGAATTTTCCACTTCATTTCTTTTTATTGTTCACTGTCCCTCTCTTACTGTCGTCCAACCCCTGGCAAAAAATCCTTATATAATGCCAAAAACTATGTCTTTGACTTTGGTTTGATCGTTGGGAGGGAGGTTAATGATTGGATGGAAATCATGTAATGATGTAATTTTTGTAATTTTGGTGGATTTCTTTTGATTTGCCACATGCCACCACCGCCGTCGCCGCTACCCGACTCGATGTCGCCTGCAAAACTTTTCACTGCTCATTTCTTTTCCTTTTGGACGACATTTGTTTCTCAAATCGCATATAAAAAGAAACAAACGATGGTTAGGGTTTGGGCTATGTCTCGTTAATCAATGAAAGACGTTAGCTCTCTTTTGTTCGGCACGGCCAATTCAATTGGTCAAATTCCATGTTTCAGCAACTACTTTTTTTTTGTTTCGGTGGTTGTTAGCTCCCACAAAACGCACGCACCTTTTAATTCGATTGCAAATTTTATTCACGCCTTCACAACTTTTTTTTCGTTTGCGATTTATTTTAGTGTTTCTTCTATTTTTGTTGCGTGTGCACAATTCATATGACATATTTTTCGACCGTCATCCAATTCATGTCGTAATCATTCTACTTTGATATCATCACTTGACCAAAATCCCCGAATATTCCAACAAAATGAACAAGAAAAATGAAACATTCATTGTCAGCGAAATAAATTTGTCGGCAATGCACGGTTTAGCCCGGTTATTTTCAGTATAGCTGCACGCGCGGTGACCGCGACACCAGCGACGGAAAAGCTCCATGAAATAACTGAAACATTGTCCGCCCATTTTATAACATGTATATTGCCATGCACAGCTCTTGAACACTTTTCGACTACATTTTCTCGTGGCCACGAGCAAGTATCAAGCACATCATCATCATCATCATCATCGAATTGAAAGAGAAAATAACTTGTGTGCAGAGAGAAAAAGAGAGAGAAAAACCGATTCGTTCTTTTTTTCTTGATGCCATTCAAACAAAGTTGCATACTCAAAAAAATTCCAAGTGAAAATTGCCTTTTTTTGGTTATGCATAGACACACACGTACACAAAACGAGGAATTGTATGAGTCGCTTTTTTGTGCCATTCCAATAAATCACACCTCTTAAGCCTTATAGCCGAGCACCGAAACACTTTTTGAGGATTTTCGGCCCGGCGAAACATCGATTTTGTTGTGTCTTCTTGCAACAAACCACACACACACAAAATTACATAAATTGTAAATAAGAATGACGATTTTTCGGGACATATTTTACGCTTCATATCATGCTCGGTGGTGGAGTGCTGCTTCATTTTGAAATGAAACATTTTAAGCTATTTTTTGTTTGTTTGAAACACATGTTCAGCAGTTCGGAAATTCCAAATTGGAATGAGTCGGATTTAGCTTCATTTTTTGGAAAAACCAGTATATCGATGCCCCGGCATATACTCACAGCCTTTAACCGCCTTTCGAATCCATTGCTCGCAGTGTTTTTGAACATTTTTCTTAACATTTACAGAGTTTTTTTCTTTGTCTTTGGATATTTTTTTGCATTTAATTGTTCTGTTTGAGAAATATTCGTCTTATTATCAATCGTCTCATTACTAAATCGTCGATACCCATCGGTTTTTTTCTTTAAAAAACTCATTTTTCTGCCGTTGTTACCAACTTTCCATCATTTTTTCATTCGATTCGAAGAATAAAAAATTAAATTCGAAACAAAATTGAGTGAGAAACACGACTGTTTGCTCTTAAAAGCTCGTTATTATTGCGCATGAAATGCACTTCATTGAATCTCTCTCTCTCTCTCTCTCTCTCTGTCTCATTTTCGGTGAAATGTATTAATTTTCTCCGTTTATAAATGGATCGAAATGCACTGTTTGTTTCTATCTTAATCTCAATTCAACCATTTGACTTGCATTAATTTTTGATTACGTTGTGTAAAATCAAATGAAAATCGACGTAAACTTTACCATTTTCGATGATCCTTCACATCGAAATTCCGTTCAAGCGTTTTCGTATGCAAATCGAATGATAATGTGTTCTGAATGGGTAAATTTGGGCCATTCAGACATTCGAAATTGAGTTGACCAAAGCGTTAAATAGCAAAACGTAATGTTTAAACAGAGAAATAGTGAAAATATTTTCTCATTTATAATCCGAACTATTGCTTTCTCGAGAATGCTAAGTAGATTTAATTCAACACCAATATTTAAAGACAAACAGTGGATGGGGATGGGGATGGAGTGGTTACAGCAAATAAAACGCCACAAAACGAAGTTATCCCGTCGATGAATTTCCAGTGGAAAAACTTTTGACTCAATTCAATCAATAATAAACTTGACTTGAACCACTTTTGCCCATGATACATAGTTTCTCTTTTCTGTTCTTCTCTTCGCAACTTCTTCGAACAAAGAGAGAAAGAGAGAGAGAGAGAGAGAGAGAGAAAGAAAGAGAGCGATTCATGGCGTTGAAAAATCGATATTTCCCATTTGCATTGTATGAATAACGAAAAAATTGCTCACTCATCATTTTCACCCATATTTTGCAAAAAACTTGAAAAGTCATTCAAATTCACTCAACTCCAAACGGGCAAAAACAACACAGCGCTCGTATTGAAAGGCCGTTCTCAACTAGTATCGAAAAAATATAGCTAAAATCCATGTTTTTTCATCTCCGTGGAGAGAAACAGATTTGTCTCATGAAAATTACGTGTTCCACCTTGAAGCTCATCATTTCAAGTGAGATAATTTGTGTTCATCAGCAAAAAAAAACGAAGAGGAAACATCATGACTCATACACAACACATCCATATCATGTATTTAGATATATATCAAATCAAAATAACATGTGTATCATTTGATTCCCTTGGCAACACTTCTACCTCGCCCCTCGATGAAATAAACAATGCGAAACGCATCAGTCATCATTCATATTTTATTCATCGTGTTCGATCTGTACCTCATCCCCCGGAATGGTTTTCGAAATTCCAATACTTTAATTTTTGATTGCCGTAGTCAGTGTTTTACGTGAGCTCAATTTTAATTTGGACGAGAAAAATTGAAACCTTTATCCCCTCACCCCACAACCCGAAGAAAACACCAAAATGTCTGTTGTTGAATGAATATCTTGATGTTCGTGTTCATTGTTGATTTAAGCGCTTCTATAGAAGTGTTATATAGATAGAGTTATGTTCAGTAGGATAGACAAAGAGCATTGAATATGGGAATCCCATTTGATGAAGCGATCAAATTTTGTTGCTCTTGGTCATGGAATAACATTTTCGGCTGAAGTTTGAATGCATTTAGTTCGATTAAAATTGATTGATGACTTTTCACTTGAAGTGTTTGGCCCGTATTGATGCAATTGAAAATGGTTCAAATTCATTTGCAAACCGACCAGTTGGCATTCGTTTAATTGCTTTTATAGGAAAAGCGCTTGAAAGCAAAAAAAATGGAAAAGCGTGTGCAAATAAATTTCATGATGGAAGCAGATTCTTCGATTGATGAGTGTTTGAGTAGTTTAAAATTTTGCGCCTTTCCATAGTGACTTTGTGGCAAATTTCAGCAGTGCATATTTGAATGATGAAATATTCGGACTGAAAAATTAGAGAAATAAAAATCGAAGAGAAAAATCGAATCCCATAAGAAAAAACCATGGAGAGTTAGGTCGGATCGAAATGCCATATAATCATACAAAAAATCATCGAGTGCCATATAAAATCATCATATTTTTGAGAGGGTCGAAGAGTCTTCGACTGGAGGACAAAACGAAAATTTCGTGTTAAAATAAAAAATTGCTTATCCATAGTAACTGCAATTGCCAGCATGAAACACATACTGTAGACATAGGACAGTCATACAGCGAATATGAAGACAGCTATTTGTTAACATTCTCGTGTTGTTGTTTCTTTTTTCCCGTCCATTCTTCTTCTTGCGCTCTCAAATAAAATAGCGGCATTATTTCCCTCGTTTGTTTTGTCTAGTTCTTTTTCTTCTGTTCCCGTTTGATTTGGTTTTGGATTCGTTTGGAAAATCATGCATACGGGATGTATTCGATAGTTTCTTGCTAAGGTTTCTCGCTCATGATATGTGTTGGACTAAGTAATCTCTATTATCGCAAATCAAACAAAGGCAATATCCGATCAAAAGGAAAATCTCTTTTTCGCCCTGCTCTCTCTCTCTCTCTCTCTCTCTCTCTCTCTCAATCTCTCTCTGTTCCTCTTGCACATTTCTCCCAGAAGGTAGACGACTTTTCTATTTGTCGTCTCCTTTGCTTCGCTTTCCGTTATCTCTCATGAGTGTAAGAGCTCTATTTTTAAATATCTGGCACACCTACTACAGACACACACTCGCTTTCACTCACTCACTCACTCGTTTTGCCACTCAAAAAGGAAGCATCCGCACCAAGCACACACACACACAATTCAACTCAAACAATTTCAGCAAACATCTTGTGTGTTGTTATCTTGTTATTGCTTCGCATCAATGAAGCAGCACTGATTTGATGGAAACATACGCATTTGCTTTCGCTTTCACAATGCAGTGCATACACACCTACACACACACTCTGGTAGAGAGTGGAATTCTTGAATCAAAATTTTAAAAAATCTCTGCATTATACATATAAAAAATATGCTAAATTCCCGAAATCCATAAATCGCTTCTCAATTCTAACCATAAGCTTTGGCTTTTGTGCGTGTAATTTTCTCAACCACTCGCTCTTTCCCCCACACACACACAAACACACAAGCATTACGTTTGCCAAACACACATAATAATGCTTTCAATCAGTGCGTCGAACCAACACAGAGCATCCAAACTATCGACTTCATATCGTCTGTGTATTGATTTTATTCATCCATTTCCGTTTCATCTCATTTTTATTTTCTGCATGAGAATCAAATCTGTTTTAGAGTCTCTTATGTTTAGAGATTGACAGAGAGTCTTAATGTGACAGTGTTGTTTACCGAAAATTGAACATATCCTTTGGTTTTAGCAACAGAAATATAAAACACATTTCCCAGTCAAATCAATCCGATCATGTCTCGATATTTGATTGGCTTTTGTTTCGTTGATTTCGTTGTTATCTTCTTTTCTCCCCAAATTTGAATGAATCTGCGTTTTAGCTTTACATTTCCATTTCCGCTTCATGCGTTAATCCTGATTTTCTGGTTTTTTCTTTCTTTCTTAAAACTTTTGATTTTTTTCTGTACGTTCGATTTTTGATTGGTTTTTCGTTACATATTTTGTTTTGAAATTTTACCGTTTTTTTTTCTCTTCTGCATGTATTAAGCGCACATGTATTGCTGGATTTGACTCACTCATTTTTTTTTCTTTGCTATCTTTTCTCTCTCTCTCTCTCTCTCTCTGGTTTGATTTTTAGGTACAAACTATAGTCGACCATCATCATGCCAGCGATCAAAAACAAGCCACCAAAGTTCGCTTCTCCGAACCAGGCGACGAAAAAGACGTTCACGATGATGATGGAAAAGTAAGTTGCTTTTTTGTTTACACTCTGTTTTAGTGTAGTTTTAGTAAAAATTGCATTCTTTTCGTTGGTAATTTATTCAATTCCAGGGAGTTTTTTGTGAATATCATTATGTTTGATTTTTTTTTTGATTGAGGTTCACCATAGAATTTGCTTAAGATTTGCATCGAATTTGCTTAAAAAAAGAAAAAGATCAGTAGAAAGTTCAGAGACAATGATCAGTAGAATGAACGATCAAAATTATTATTCTAAGTTGAGATAAAAAATCGTTTTATTTATTCATTTCAAACCTTTGTTTGCTTTAAAATCGTCATCCATTGAACAAAATAATTTCAATCACAACAGTCTACGTGTTATTTGTATATAAACCCAATCAATAACACAAAAAAACCATTCATTTTTTCCATCCAAAGGAACATGACACAAACAAAGAGGCCACCGAAAAAGGTTCAGTTGAATATGACACCGAGAAAGAAGCAGCCGACAACGGTGAAAAAGACTCGGACAGCAACAATCTAAGCAATCATTCGTCGCCAAATAAATCCGCACATAATGCTAGCGAACTTAATGAAAAAGACGAATTGAAATTGTCGATGGACGCATCCAATGACAAAGATTCAGACAAGCAATCTGACAATGAAGAGAATCCAAAACAAAGCATAAAACCGTACGTTGAACAAAAAATTAAATATCTCTTTTATTTGCTTCGTTATGTCCATTTGGGAAGAAATTTTTGAAGAAAAATGTTCTTTGTGTGTCCTTTTTCGTATTTTTATGTGATGATTCAATTAGGTCATTTACGGCACTGCACGTTATATGCCGCCTAAACGTTTATCCATTCCATTTATTTTAAATGTTCGGCCCATTTTCGATCAGATGATGAATTTCTAGTCATTTCAATGTATGAAAAATGCATCATCTGAAAAAAACATTGGGTCGAAAACTCGAAAGTCACTTTTTCCATCAAAGCCAATTCAGTTTATATAACACTTTATTCAAATTCACTTCAGGACATTCAAATATGTTGATGAAAACATTGAAAATTTTTTCTTTTTCCCAATATTATTCATTTCTCCTACATTCAAACAGAGACGAAGACAATGTGCGTCGTATGCACACGGCAGTCAAATTGAATGAAGTTATTGTAAACAAATCACACGATGCCCAATTGGTGATTTTGAATTTGCCCGGACCGCCAAAAGACACACGATTAGAGCGAGAAAGCAACTGTAAGTATCATAAATCTAGTTTTTTCGGCACTAATTCTTTGAATTTTAGATGTAATTGTTTGAATTTGATGATGAATCAAACGAATTGCTCCCTGAAAAAGATCAAAGTTTGATCTCACAATGTTATTATCGGTGGTCCAGTCCATGTGAAAGACGAAGCATATCTATTTTACCCTTTCCATGGTTAAAAGACCGCGAATTTTCGATTATGTTTGAATTGAATTTCGTTTCTTTTCCATACAGACATGGAATTCTTAGAGGTGCTAACCGAAGGCCTAGAACGTGTTCTGATGGTGCGAGGCGGTGGCCGAGAAGTGATCACCATTTATTCTTAAGTTGACGTGGTATCGCCGTGTCGCGCAACAAAACGAAAGTGGGGAAATTGAGGAAAAAATCAAACAACAACAAAAAAAACACTAGGAAAGAGTAAACAAAAGAAGGAAAATAAAGTAGTATGAAAATGCGTAAACCGTGCGCGCACGAGACAACATAGAAGGAAATAAACATTTGAACAGTTAACGTCGAACTAACAATTTATATACACATATACATATGTGGGCCGCGAGCCGTACATGCCAAATCCAACTAAACAAACAAACAAAAAAATCAACTAACCAAAGTATAATTATTTTTAACTTTCCTTTCAAAAAACACACACATACAAACAACAACAACAACAAAAACATTTTTAAATTAAACAAATTTAAAAAGAATAAAAAAAATGGAGAAAACAAGCAGTCTTTTGCTTTGTACAAAAAAAAAGTGAATAAACAAATGATTTAAAAAGAAAGAAAGAAAAAAAATATATTTAAAATAAACAAAAATCTGTCAAACGTATGTCTGTCGCTTCGACAGTGAGTCTAATTGAAAACAACAACAACAAACAACAATATTTTAGCGTGCATCTCAAACAAACAACAAACATTTAGCAAATTGAATTTAATTAAACAAAAGTTTAGCTCTAGTAAAAACAAAACAAAAAGTATAAAGCATATTTAAAGCAAAGAATAAACAAAAAAATATTTAGGAAAATTATTGAATTAAATCAAACACACACAACAGAGGAAGTTTAGCAAAAAAAAAATGAAGTAAATAAATGAATGAGAAAGTCGGGCGTAACAGAGAACCAGAGAGAAATATAGAAAAAGAGTGAGAATATTTCAAGTCATGGAGATACAGTTCGTGCCCTCACGGTAGAGTTATTTCGCGAGAAATAATGTATGAGGCCAGGATCGCTAGGACACACACTCACACACACACACACACACACACACGCACTAGTAAACATTTTCGATTACTAAAAATTATTTCTCTACATATCTACGCGCGTCCCCCCTCGCATGTTCTTCATAGGCAAGTTTTAATTTCCCAATTTTGGCCACCCATTCCCATCTGGGAATTAACACAACTTCTGATTGCTCATTGAATGTTAACAAGAAACAAGGATTTAAAAAAAAATCAAGTGAAATATACCTCATTAGTTTTCAAAATGGAATGATTTTCGTTTCGGTGTAGCACGAATGACCATTAGTTATTTTTCTGCAACAAAAAATCGTTTGTTTTTCGTTTTTTTTTCCTAAATAAATGTGTTTTGATGAATCAAAAACAAAACAGGAGGAGAATTAAAAGTGGAAGAAGATTTAGAGTAAATTACAAAAAAAACTTAACTGTGTACTGTGAGCGCACGCAATAACATAACCCGTTAAAGTACACGCGCGCACCGAATAAATGAACAAAACCATATTACTTAATTTGTCCTGTGCCACTTAGTAAATGAATGTGATTAAGGGGCTCGAGGGAGCCAGGTCACTTGGACTGGGGCAAACCATTTATGCTGATGATGGTGAACGCTATACGTAGACCCTAAGAGACACAAGAAATTTATTCAATTTTTAAACGTCGCCATCAGTAAACACACCGTTACTCATCACTCGCTGCCGTCTCATCACATTCATTTACTGAGTTTTTGCGTGCGCACATTTCTTTTTTATACTAAAACCAATGATATGATGTTCGAATAAGTTAACCAAACAAAAAAAAATATATTTTTTAAATTTTAAGCAAATTTCCTCCACAACAAAAGAAAAAAACGAGTTAGTCGAACAAATAATTTTAGTTATCTGAAATGTTTATGGGTCAGATGTGACAAAAAAAACAACAAACAAACGTATATTATTATATATTTAATATAGTATACAATTCACAGCTAACAATTAACACACAAGCACACATACTTGCATGCAATACAATATGGTACAATCGAGCAATTGAAACACTCCAAGAACACTTGGTTGAGACCAGAAGAGAAAAAAAACCAAAAAATCAAAGAATTCTGTTGCTCCAGTTTTAGGTGAGGTATGAATGATTAAAATATTCATATGATGTTGGCAGCTGTCGATTATTTCGTCTACTTCATTCAACTGTTTTTTCCTATTTCGAAACGAATTTTACGCGACGCTGTGATATCATCACCAAAACACTTTACCGGAATGTTACACATCCGTACTGTAGTGTTCGGAATGTTTTAGTCATTCGACCGGTCAAGGTCTGACCGATGCCCAAGCTTGAGCGACCATCAACAACGTGTTTATATTTTGCGTCGAATTGCATTACTCACCGAAATTCAGCCGAAAATACAATTGTATGTGTAATCAAAGTCTATTTAAAAACGAAACTAGATCCAGTTGTGTGAAAATCGATGACTTCAGATTGGAACGCAACATTTCGGACCATTTTTTTTCTATGAGCATGAGTTTGACTTTTCCAGGATTGACGACCTCTGTTTCATAAAGGTTTTGTTTCTATTTTCCCGTCCCAGGTTTTGGGAATAAGATTGAATTTTGACATTTTAAATCTAATGTTTGAATTTGGTAGCTGCACTTGTCTACCAGTATTCTTCATGGTGATTCAAGGCAATTGAATTCAGTCCCTTGCAAGAAAAGACGGGTACGAAAAGAGGTTAATATTTTTAACCAAATGCCATAGTTTGGAGAATGAACAACGGTAAGATGCTGAAAGACATGGAATGATCACGCACACTGATTATGATATTGAATCGCATTTTAACACACACACACTCTTTAAATAACCGATCCTCTAGAAATCTATGAATTTTTTCATTCATTTTTCCACCACATTTACCTTGTCTGCAAAATTGTGTTTTACTGCAAACAAAACTCAAATCCAGTTATCCATTGAATACTTAACCAATTCTAACCCGTAGCAATAGGCATTGTTCATTCGATCGTTGGTTCGTTCATAACAATACTCATATTTTGTAGCCATCGTCGTTAAGCCGTAGTCAGTTTGAAGCCGAACAATTACTCCGAGTGATAATAAGCAGAAATTCCAAATAAAAATTGACTTACGAAAAAACGCTATTGTTTTGGCAGCTGTAAATGATTTTCAATGGCTGCGTAGCGAGCATGCTCTTACCTAATTATCTATTGATAATGGCATTTCAGACTAGGCTTAATTCGAAACACGATATTTTCAAATGAAATCAAGGATTTGGAAGAAATATGCGGAATTGACTTCAATAAACGCATTCGAAAAACTTGGAAATTAAATGACTTCGATAGAAGATTTGGACAGAAATGTGAAATCAGGCTTCGAAAAACATTGGATTCCAATCATTAGAAACCGGCTTGAAGTAAGAATTTTCAATGGCGCTGAACAAAATCAAGGCGCTAGTTTAAGATTATTTGAAAAATGCAGTGAAAATGTTCTGCAAATTCTAGCTCAGCACGCCCATTTCGTGTGTAAAAGTATTTCCTTCTGAGCTTGTATATATGGAGCAATTCCACATTCGATGTTTCCAAAGTAGGAAGCTGGTAAGGTGTCTCCTGTACTTACCTATTATGTTCTTGTTCCAACAGTCATTGGATCCATGCTCTGGGCCATTTCAGTGCTCTATGGATCGAAGCCTATTAGATTCTGACCCCAAATTTTTCAGATCGAACTATTGAATATGAACGTAATTCATGGGAAAACGAACGATGTTTACAACAATTGAGAACCTATTCAGAATAAAAATTCGTCGAAAACCAAAACTTCAGAAATATTTTGCTACGAAAACCAAATCCATTGTCGATGGAAAATGTTCATCGATTCGATGGGACAATACCAACATAAAACACCGTAATAACTCTGACTATTTCTTCTACTCTACGTAGATATACCGTTGATATTTTTTGCCAAACCCATACACATGCAAAAAATGGTTTAGTGTTGGTAGTGATAAATCGTAATTTAACCCCGTTTGCTATTGTCGAATGTATAATGGTTTGTTTTTTTGTTTGGTGTGTTGTTGAATAAAACATATAAATTAATCGATTGGTCAATGGTCCTTCAGTTGTGTGTTTGTGTTTATATCTGACAATGGCAATGATATTCAGTCAGAATGCATTTTTCATCGTGTCTACAAAAAAAAGCAACAAAACAACAACGGTCATCCTGAAAAGAAATTAAAACTCGTCCTTGTCACATAAATTGTGCGCGTTGAAGTATTGTCGTGGTTGCACAAGTGTGAATGTGTTGGTATTTTTGGAATATAAATTGCATCGAGAAAAAAAAACTCCATTGCCCAAAGTGGATATTCATTAATATTTCAATCAAATATTCCATCAACTAATTATATTGTATCGGTCGATTCGATAACTCGCTCTCTCCCTCTCCCTCGACAGAATCGCACCGAAATTCCATTAAATATTGAACAATGAGAGCCATCAATTATTATATTGTGCAATTAACATTCACAGTGTGTTTGTGTGTCTGTTTGTGTATGCTGTCGATTCGACAAATTGTCGTTGAGCAGTGCACACAATTGTGATTGGGTCAGCTTTTGTATTTATGAGCCGAGGATACTGAGCACGGCTGGTCAATGCAATTTATCAACACGAACAAAATGCACTTTAAAGTGAATTTATTCATGCAATTATCTATCTATGTGCACTCGAAAATGAGTTTTATGCTCGAAAGGAGCTCATTTAGATAAACGATACCAGCTTTGTTGACTCTGTACCATACGCATATTGTGTGAACATGAGAGGGTCAACATTTTCAACAATGTGATGATTGAAGAAGAATGGAAGGAGAGAGAGAGAGAATGTCTTTGACTCTTTTCAGACAATTCTTCTTTAAGGTGTTTTCGGAAATCGGAAGATTTCCTCCAGAGGGAATCGTTTCCTTTTTACATTGCAATGCCTCACTTTGAAATTTGTTTGGAAGCAAATCTTCAAGGACTTTCTGTCTAATTCGCTTTTAGGAGGATTATTTCGCACGAAATTCTTCGCCTATTTGGATTGGTCGAAGATATGCAATCGAAAAATTTGATGAAGATAGAGATATGCAATTCAAATTAGAAGAAGAAAACCGAAATTCAAAAAAGAATCTTAAGTTGCCTTCTATTTGTTCGAACCCGTCTATTAATAAAACCCTTTTTGTTCAAACTCTTTTGTTTGGGTTCTCTCATGTTCACAATGTGAACTTCACATCATAGAGTTTGAACCAGAAATAGAGCACTTTTTTTGTTCTAAACTGTTGTTTGTTATCCTATTCTAAACGCTGTTTAGACCATGGTCTAAGTGAGTTGCAACTCTCGCGAGTATCTCAAAATTAGACGATCTTCAAAAGGGGTAAAAAAAAAAATTGGATTATTGAAAAAAAAATAGTTCCGGATCAATTTCAAACGAGGTTCAAAACTTGAAATTCCAAAATATTGCAACCGATTTGTAAGAATCGTTTCGATTCACACAACTAAAGTTGATACAATCCAATACCAAATACCAGCCATAAAACCGTTGCTGCAAGAGCATATACCACTAGCCCCACCTTGTGGCACCGATAGTAAAATCCTGTGTGTTACAATGCATTTTTCAACACATTACAATCGGTGCCACCAGGATCTCCTGTGGTATATTGCTGTTGCAGCAACCTTGTGCAAGCCACACTCATCTCACCGCGACCACACTCACTGAATTGTCACACACACAACATTTTGAATGCCTTCCAAAGCGACAAAACACTTTGCATCGATACATGGCGGCAAAGTAAGAAACAAAACAAATATCTCGTGCACACAAATAGAAACGAATGTATTGGAAATAGAAATGTGTGGTATTAAATGAATTAAAAAAACACAATTTCAGATAAATAAGAATGACTTATGTAGAAACTACAACATCAACAAAATAAAGAAAAAAAAACTGTTTGATTTATAAAGAATTTTATCGATATAGTGTTATAAGAACAATTAAATAGGAGTCTATTTACAAATAAAAGAAGAAACTTTAGGAGCAACTAATCCTAATCGATTGGAAAATATAGTGAAAAAAAATGAAATCAATTGCATTCGAATGTTACCTGATTAAAAACAAACAAGAGAATTAAAACAAAAAACAAAATGAAACTTAAAACTATATATAGATTTACACTCACATGACAAATGGATATATTAAAAAAAAAAAAAAACAGAAGAGAAATACATGTTATTGACGAAATGAACAATCTACCGACAAATGGAACAAACCAGAGAAATTATTTAGCAAAGAAAGAAAAAAATGAAAAAAAAGGGAAATTATTTATCTTTTTTTTAGGTCATAAAGACAAGAATATGTTAAAAACTATATATGAACTTCTATTGATTTGTTTTTACTGTCGTTTTTACACACAACACACGCGGTTTTTCAATTTCTATTTCTGTTAAAATGCTGTTATGTGTTGTTTGGCCCAGTTTGAGCTCTTTGTGCGGACCAATGTTGACAGTGTATTTCACATTTAGCCAAAATGATGTTATTTTTTTTCTTCTTCTTGGGGGCGAACGGGCGCAAAATGCCATAATGGCTTTGAGACACGAGTATATGTGTTTTATGTTGCGTCAAAAGCTTACGAGAAAATGAATGAGGCAGCAAAATGTGTAAATGAGTGGGGCCACCTCTTATTATTGGCCCATTGGGAGGCTGGAAATGCTGGAAAACATAAGTTGACCATTTACGAGATAGAGAGATGACGTGATGATACACAGTATTTTCAATACACACATACGCATCAACAGTATGATGGTTGTTATGTTTTTACCGTGTAAAATGGTCCAATTCCATCCGCACTGTGGATGAAATGAAATCCTCATTATCAATTCCAAAACACGTTCCACCGTCGTCGTCGTTGTTATCGTAACCAAGGGAAAAAGTACTTTATTTCTAACCACCCTACTCCTCCCTAACGAAAAGACGCATCTTCGGCATGACGACCAATATCTTTTTGGGGACTTGAAACTTTGCATTTATTTTGCAAAATAACACAGCAGCTATATCACGCAGCGGACGCATAAGATCGTTTCGCACGCCAGTTGTTATAGTCTCTATCTCGTTCGACAGAACGAAAAAAAAGAAGTAAAACACAGCCACAAAGCTATACACAATCGAAAACGGAGGTAATTTTAAATTATGATTTTTCCACCAGAGAAAAATAGAATATTTCCACTGAGAGCGAGACGTGTTTGTTTTTTTCTCAGGCCAAATTGGATGTTGGCCTTGTTTCCCTATACACACTCATACACAACAAAAACAACATACCAAACTTCCGCATTGACAAAGACATTTGGGCACGCAAACAATGGAGGAGACGAAAAAAGAATTGAAAATAATCGCCTATAAGAACAAAAAAAAATGCATTTGTTTTTCTTCGACAAGAGAAAAAAAAAACAAAAACAAAGAAAAAAAACCAACAAAAAGTGATATGTTAACGGAAGCAGATTTTTTTAATGGAGACATGAAAGAGAAAGAAAGAGAGAGAAAAAGCGACAGTAGTTTCTATCTAAATGTTAAATTTTCTTGAGAGATTTAATTCAAAATGAACAACCACACCATTATTTACACTATATTAAAACGAAAAATCGAATCGGAAAATGAATTAAGAAATTTAAAAAGACACAAAATAGATCGTAAACAATCGAATAAAATCAAACTTTAACTATTTAACAAAACAAAACAAAACTGAACTAATATATAGATATATATATATATATATTTAGAAGAAACGAAAGGAATGAAGCGAATATATAATTATAGCCTGTGTAGTGTAACACACATTGACCCAATGTGAAATGTGAATACGTTGTGTTTGCTTTCGAAAGTTCCGTTGCATGCCATCGGCTAATTTGCCGTTGTGCAGACACAACGCTTCAAAATTGTGCCAACACTTTGCCAATCAATTTCGAAATGCATTCAATGTTGCCCCCATTCGGACACCAACCAAACACGGAATCCATTCATTTGGTGGTCAATGTTTGTGTCTCTTGTGTGCATGTGTGTTTGTGGCGGTTGGTTGAGCTATTCAACATTGGAAATTGTTTGGTTGAATTGTTTCGAGACACAAGCAATACACCAACTCCATACATACACCACACCACACCACACCACACAACACCACACAGCAATCTATCAAAGAACGCCCCTGCAGCGACTGTTACTTAAACAAATTGTGCATGTAAAGAGAACAACAAACAACAACAAAATGTTAAGCAAATTTACTTGAAATATTATTTTATCAATAATTTTATATATTATAGTTGAATGAAAGATGATGAGATAGAAGAAGAGCAAAGTTTGGCGAGAAAAAAGAAACAGTGAGAAAGTGTTCAATCGTCTGGTCAAGCCCGTGCAATTTTTATTCTCAATCCCTCACACAGCATTGTTTAACTTTATCACCCCCCCCCACCTCCCCTTCCCCCCCACCCAAACTCTCCACATCACATTATCGAGAATTCTATAGACCGCAACCAGCGTGAAAACAAACAGAAGAATGAGAAATACAATTCGACTGCAAACGATTTGTGTGAAGCGAAATGCAAAAAAGTGTGAGAGCTTTTATTTTGCACGATAATTTAGAATTAAATATCAATCAGAATTCATAAATGCACCACACAAACACACACGCACACAGTGATGAATCTCAACGGAATGGAATATCAACTCCGTCATGCACACGATATACTGGAAATGAAGTTCAATCGTGTTGAAATTGAGTTAAATTGACAGCTATCAACGGGAAATACCGCAAATTCATCGCATTTTGCCAATAAATCTCGTATCAAATTGATCGTAATTTTGCTCACTGTATGTGTGTGCATTTCATTCTGGCAGTGTGTGGATTTAATTCGGATGGAATGTTCGAAAATGCTTGAAATTATGGGAGTTTTCTTCGAAAAAAAAGGACGCAAAGAAACACGCTCTGTTCAACATCTGTCGAAATCAAATAAATCAAGCTCATCACTAATACCGACATGTTGTGCATGCATTGGATATTATTGCACACATGACGTTACCACATTGCATTTCCCGGTGATTTCAAGCGTTGCCATAAATTATAGCCACATACTTTGTATGGAGCATAGGTATGCAAATTCCAATTATCGGCTGCATAAATCACCTATGCTCTCCTTAATCTTCCTGTTTGTGCATGGTGTTGAGAACAAGAGGTATAGACGAAGCAAAATTGAGAATGAGATAGAAAAGATTACCACTGGCATATAATATACAATTGTATGTAAATGTTCACTTTCAATCAAATAACCACACACAGATGCTTACGCTTAATGCACACATTTCCACTTATATGCAATGTGTGTGTTCGGTTGCACTTGGCTCAATGAATAGCAACCAACACACAAATATAAGTGTATATTTACTAGTATGCTATTCCGTATCAATCATTCTCTTTCTGTATTTGGTAGTTCTTTGTTGTTTTTTTTTCGTTTCTTTTCTTCGGCCTCTCGGCTACTGGGCGATTCGATATTGACTAAACAGTTTCAGGATTTGCGGAATTTAATCAAATGTTTTTTTTTTCGTTGGTTCGGAATTTCAGTTTAAACGCATTCGTTAAGGAAATCCATATTCAATTTGAATTTGATACAAGATTTGTTTGATTCCCTTTGAAGAATTCAATTCTATTTTTTCCTCGAATAGATTCGAAATCTAATTAATTTAGTTAAATTTAATTTCAAATCTTTAAGCGAATTAGAATTCGGAAAACAATTCGAACTTCAATTCGAAGTCAAGATGGAAAACGATATTCGAAACTCGGAATTCGAATTTTGAAAAATTTTCTTTCCAAAACAACAATAGGTCACTATGAGCTGGTGGCTCAAATTCAAACTGAAACCCCATATTACATAACGTTGTCAAATAGCAATCAAATCAACACATTCAAAATTCGGTCCAAGTTCAATGTTACACACACAAAACCTATGGTGGATCCTATTTCTGGTGGTATCCATGTGCAGAAATGGAATATGTTGCGGTTGGATAAATGGATTTGCTGCCACACGATATACACACACTTCAGTATAGTGTGTAACTTCATGTGTGACTGAATGTTTGGTTTTGAGTTCCACATCAAATTTGGTTTATGAAACGACACATCGGTTCGGATGGAATCAAATTAATCAAATTACATGCACTTAACAACGCAGTAGCTGCTAGTATAGCAAAACCGATATAAAAAATTGAATCAATGTTGATGGCCCTGTTTTTTTATTCACAAATTCTATTTGAAACTAGTCTGTCTTTACATCGATGTCCCGGTAACCGATTTATTTATTTCATTTTTATTCACTGAACCCGGAATAAATTACTTCCGCAATCATCTATTTTGTTCTTCTTTTTTTTTAAATTACACTTTCCTCCCCCAATTGAAATGACAAATCTATCTATGAAAAAAGAAACTATAGTTGATATAAATAAGCCATCAGCCAAATGAAATAAAAAAAAAAAAATTTAAGTAAAACAACAATTTATCGTAGTCGAAAAATCGTATGAATATTTAATATGTAAAAAAATATGTAGAAAAATAACTCAGCAGCAATAGTACGGAGACTGAGTAGGGATAAAAAAAAGCATTTAAAAAACAACTGACCAGTAAAGTGGAGATAGTGTTGGATGCTGGATTTTAAATGTCTATGCGGGTTCGATAAGGCATTTAGGTGAAAACAACCAGAAGCAAATTTTTGCCTCGGGTAATGCATGGGAGCTTCCACGGTGCGTTCACAGTTGGGAAACGTGTTTTCTATTTTATCCTTGGGAAAATGGTTTTTTGGCCGGGGATCTCGTGAAAACCACCCCCAGAGATTGGTAATTCGGTTTCTGGGATTTTGAACATGATCCAACGCACTTAAGCATTTGGAATTTGGCATGTTACACTATCCATAATTGACTGGTGAACTCTAGTAAAACAAGAAAAAAAAATCTATTGAGAATAAAAAATGGTGACAAAATAGTAATTAGTAAAATGAAGAGAAAAACACAAGTAGATAAAAATAAAATGAAATAGAAATTAGAGAGAAGAAGAAACAAACAAACAAATAAAAAAAATCGTTAGCCTAATTAGAGAAATTCGCAAAGTGATGGACGACGAGAGCACGAGCGTCCAGCATGTAATGTTTAAACGTATTTTATTTGCTCCTCAAACTGTTTTTTCTTCCTCCTCCTAATTCCTTCTTACTCACTCACTAACTCACTTGAAAAAAAAACCTTTCGACTTTTTTCCTTCAAAACTTCTCGAATTTGTTTCGGTTCCTCACGAGATATGCAAATCTATTTCATTTCTTAAAAAAAAAACAACAACAAGACAAAAACAAAACAAACACAAGATCTATATATACAATCGTTCTCTTATACAGCTAATTAAAATATAAGTGTGTGTACCAGCGTTGCGTCGCGTGTCGAATTAAATGTTTCCGATGATATAGTAACAATTTAAACAACAAACAAAAAATGGAATAAAAAAATCGATTTTTTTATCACAAAACAAACAAACAAAAACAACACTTTTTCTTAAATCAAAAAAAAAATGTGAGAAGAAAGAAGAAATGACAACATTAAAAAAAAACAATTTTAACGCCAGAAAGCCTATCAAATACTATAATATACTCATCCATCGTATAGACAAATGTGAAATCGAATAAAAGTATTATAAAAATTATTAATTAGAATAATAATTATTAACGATGATATATATATATATATATTTTCCACTGTTATTTATTTATCGTACTCTGTTTTTTCACTTTTTCGACATCGACACATACCAATTTCCGATCTCGTTGAGACGGGACGATGAGACTCGCCACTTATGAGCGACGAGCACAAGTCATGGAATGGAGAGGTATTTTGAAGGGGGAATGAGAATCGATCCGTAATTATTCTTCTTTTTGAAGATTGGATAGAGCAATGGAACGTCGCCGATGGCTTGAGACAGAACAACAATAACATAAAACCAAGCGGTTCAACATTCTCCAATTAAATTGCTCCTTTTCATGCAAATATACGCTTTCAAAGCAGAAATGAATGATTTTTATCTTTGATTCAAATCTGTTTGATTTGGCTGAACTTCATTTCAATGAACTTTGGTTGAATTTCAATTTTTTTCAACCAACTCCATTTTAAAATGTACGATTTTTTTCCCCACTTGTGATCGATTTTGACATGACTTTTTGGTTCAACTCTTGATCAATTCGAACTGTTTTGAACAGTGTTCAGCTGCTCATGAACACTGTACAGTGTTCAACGAATCACTTTCTCACAGATCAATTGATCAATTTCCCAACGGTTTTCGATTCGAATGATTTTCAATGAACAATTTTCCACGTTCACTGTTCAACTCTTGTGTGTCCAACGAACGGCAGTCATATGGTGCAAAAGGTAATCTCTTTGAATTGATGTGTGTATTTTTGCAGAACATGGGTTGTCAATTTCGATGATGTTTGGGCTTTCGTCCAACTGTTTTTTTTAAATAAAGAAAAACTCCAACAAACACGTAAGTTTTCCACACCTTCACACCGATACTACCACCACCACCACCAAAAAAACAGTATGAAAACTTTCCAAATCACCCTCACACCTTGAATAAACTATACGTCTATTCCTAATTAAAGACAATTTTTAAGCAAAATTGGTTGAATTGGTTAAGTCAAATTACGACACAAACTAATCAAAAATCAAAATTCATAGCACTCAATCCATTATAATCCTAAAATGTACTCAAATTACCGAATTTTAACATCAAATTTAAATATTTAAAGTCGAAATAAAATTACATATTCCCACAACATTTTAAAATCTCTAAAATAATAACAGTTCAATCTTCAATTGATGGAAATTGCTTCAGCTGTGTCAAAATGGTTCCCTCAATGTGAATGAATGTTGTGTTCCCTCAATGTTTGAGGAGGTAATTTGAGGATCAATCGCTTTAAAAAAAAAAAGGTGAAAATTTGCACCAAATTGCATAAAAGAGTGAAAATACTGCATTTAATGAGGCACGTGTTTTAAAATTGTATTGCTACGCCTGGTAATTGTCATCTAAAATGGCTCAATATTAGAGAAGAAGATAGACATTAGACAAGCTTTGTTTACCATTGTGTATCATTTTGTCAATGTGAATGGAGCGAGATTTGATGTGGAAAAATTGCGAATTGAACATAAAAAAAAGAATTGCATTGAACAGGAAAGTGTGGCTCCTTTTGTACTCTGTTTGTTTCTTTCTTTTTCTCTTTCTCCCTCTCCCTCTCTCTCTCTCTCTCTCTCTCTCTCTCTCTCCTTTTCTCTTTTCTATCGAACCAAGCGTTCAAATTGAACCATACAAAATCTGAAGATATCACAAGAAAGTTCTTTTTCTGTGCCATCCACACGATTTCGTGAGCGACGATGACTAAGAGCGAGAGAGAACATTTGCAATATTGACATATTTTATTGGTCGCATCATCCGAAATTGCCCATTTCGTTTTCAATTTCCGCCATTCTCATATCACTCGCAAGCACGCACACACACACACACATTTCAAGACTGTACGTCGCCATCTCCGTTTATTTTCTCTCTCGAAGAGTAGAGTTAAGAAAAACGGCCACATTTTTGCACAATTTATGGTTTTATATCACAAGTTTTCCATTTTAAATTTATTTAAATAGCAAATGGAGCGATTTTTTCGGCCGTTTGAATTGATCAATGTTGAGTTTCTCAAATCTACACTCGATGTGATGAATTGCTTGTGGGAATTGCCCCATAACGGTTTGAAAGGAAGACATTCTTGTTAAGGGAAAGGAAGACGTTTTTCGTAATTGGAAAAAATCTGATTTCTCCGAAGCCAAACTCAGAAAATCGAGTATCAAAACAAGCGGAAAAGAAATCGAAAATTTTCATTGAAAACCGTTTAGTTTGAGCTATGCAACCAACCATGTCTATTCATTTCAATTTTGCCGACTGCTACCAAGAACCAAAACTCCATCGGAATCTTTTTTACACTTAGAACATTTATTTTCAATTAAATTAAGCAAAAACAACAACAAAAAAACAAGTTCAATGATTGACAAACAATCAATCGGCTCTATGTTGGCTAAATGAAGATGCTATCAACTCGCCGGCACCGACTTAAGACCGAAAAAAATTGCACAATCAGCATTATATTTGAATGATGGCGCTAACAAATAGAGACATAATGTCTAACAATTTCTAGCAATGTTCGTTAGAATGTTCGTTCAACAATGGTTCTATGACACATCAGGCATTGTATTCTATTTTATTGTACTTTATTGGCCAATTCAGTGCTACATTTTTCACAAAAGCAGCGGGTTGATTTCACGCTCATTGCCCATCGCAGCTCCAAAAAAAAAACCACAAAAAATGATAATCAGAGTTTAGGACAAAATTGTATTTCTAGTTAACTAAACACGCAAAAAAACGTAGTTCGTATGACATTCAACTAAAAAAAAAACTAGGACTATGAACGTAATATAGAATTTAAAGTATACAAAAAAACGGCACAATTATTTTGCCAAACAAGAGATGAAAATATCGAACAATTTGTTTAATTTTTAACAATCTTATGATGTCGACGGCAAAAAACGGGCTGTTCTTTTTTCGTGTTAAACGTCGACCTCATAATAAGACGTAGTTTGTTGAATGAGACACTCTGAGGATGGACAGTGGACACACACACACTCTCAACTTTTATATATATTTGGCCGAAATCCCAGATAATAATGGACGAAGAAAAATTAAAATCTCATATGGTATTTCAGTTAACACTTATGTAAAATTTATGTTTAGAACATTAGAAATTATTTCTACTTAATCAACAACAGATAGTTTACCAACAAATACCAATCCAATTATCCAACAACGTGTAAGCATTTGAAGACAAAACAATATACAACAACAAAAAAGAACATGAAAGAAATCAAAAATATGTTTAGGATTACGCAAAAAAGCCGCCACTTGAGCTGATTCTTTGACCAAACAACCAACACAAAACAATATTCAAGCATCAATTTTGGTTGTAAATTTTCAAAATCGCAATAGATATGAATTGAATTGAACAATTGCCGATTTTAACACGATAATTTACTCCAACCCGGAGTTAGTCGCATGTATAAATTCTTTCTTTTGGCATTCATTTTGATGGATTTTCATGGGTGAAAGCCATTTTTTTCCCAAAAGCCATTAGAATTTAGTTTTCAGATTAGAAAAAGAAGAAATTTTTGAACAACTGTATGCATAAAATAGTGTCGATTGGCTGAGCTCAAATACGCGACCAAAAATTTATTTTAAGCAGAAATGAAAAGCGTGAGATCAATACGTTGATAGATGAATAGAATGCTATCAAAGAAAGTTTCTTTGAAAGGAACCTACGACGAGATGATTTTTAAATGCATTTGCAAGTGATGTTAATTGATGTGATTCATCCTCAATTCTTCAGTGTTATCGGGAACTTTGTTCTGTTCTTTTGCTTAACTCACATGCGGAATAAAATTCAATCAACCAATTCAAGCCAAATAAAATGAACACAAAAAAAATAAAATACCAATTCTATTGTGTGTTGAGCGCACATTAACCAATTTTTAATTGAGGACAATGAAAACAAAAACGTTTTAAAAAAACCTGGGCGACCTGAAACTTATTAGCTATATAATAATAATTTAATTTATTTAGATAATTTCCATAAGTACATCTTTTAGTTTGGTTTTAAATTTATCGATTGATTCTTCATTTCCAATATTAACAGGCAAGCTATTAACCCTCAACTGCATAAGCCCGCCTTTTGGCGGGCATCATTTAAACACCTGTATAATGTGAATCGTAAGGCGGATGACATTGCTTCAAGAGGAATTTTTATTAGTCAATGTTTTTTCTTTATTTTTGTCTTTGGCGTCATTTGTCTATGTCGTACGATTGGTGAGTTATAAACAAAAATGTGCACGAAAACGAAAATTTGACAAAATAAATTATTCGGTTTCCAAATTAGACATATTTTTGACACTTTTAAACAATGGATTTCATTGTTCTCTGACTTATTTCTATCGCATTTCCTGACTAAACCATGGGAAATCTAGGATTATGAATATTTTTTTCGTTATCTATGGCCAAAAATCAACCAAATACCAGTACTCCCAGTCCTAGGAAAAATTCATGCAGTTGAGGGTTAAATAGGGAAATCCCTTTATAAAAGAGTGAATTTTGGCTACATGCTTTGGTTGCATTTATCAATTCAATGTTGTTGCGGCTTCTTAATGTGTTTTTCCTTATATTTTGATTATTATAGACTATTCGTTCGGTTAAATATTGCGGTGCAAATCCCTTTGTAATTTTATAAATGAAAAACAATGTATTAAATTTGATTAGCTGCTCAACACTTAAAGCTGAGTTACTGATTTATCTTAATGAAAGACATTTTTAAAATAACCAACCGAATTCCTATCCATATTTATAAATATTAAAAGAAATCTGTATTGCAACAAGTGAAACCAAAAAGACAAAATGAAAAAAAAAAAACAAAATTTGCAATTGCGATCGACAAGAAATTGTATTTTAAAATCGTGTATAAAACACACTAATGACTAATAATTTCACACACACAATTTACCATATACACTCACACACTCTTATTGGCTTAGAAATAATTAAAAACAAAACAGAACACTAATAGCAAATTAGCTTTGAATATGAAAATGAAATGAAGAAAAATGTCTTTAACTGAAAATGGAGGCGGTCAATGTATTCGGAAATTTTGCATAAAAACATGTTGTTCAAAATGAATAAAATTCGTTTCGGCCTTGGTTTTCAATTCACAACAGGATTGTGTTTTTTCTCATTCTTTTTGTTGAATTTACTCTTTATAGCTTGTTTAGGTACATAAAAATCGATTTTCAAGCAGTTTTCCACGTTTATTACGACTATTTTCATCGCTAGGAGATTTTATTATTACGATTTTTATTACTCTAACCGAATTTTTGTGCTAGAGCAATTATGCTACGCTGGAGTTATTCAATGCCATTGAATCAAAGGTGGAGTTGTTGCTGTTGCGATTGTAGTACGATGGTGCTGTACGGCGATCAATTGTAGCTCACCTGAAATGCTAACGATAAAAAATGTAAAATGGACTGGATCAACAATCAACACCAGTGAATGTTGCAATCCATCAGACGGTGACGGAACTATGAACGAAATTTCAAGTCACAACGCACTTTTTCCGGTCTTAAACATGATTTCAACATATTTGGGTACTTAAGAACGAGCAGAAATTTAATTACGCATACCTCAAATCTTTGTACGTCTACAGCAATTTCCATTGAATGGAGCAAAATACCGAGAAAGAAGGAGGAGGAGAGAGAGTCGAGGAGAGAGGGAGAAAGAAGGAGAGAGAGAGAGAGAGAATGAGAGTGGGTAAGAAAGACGAGAAAAACAACAAAGAAATTTTCTGAGGAAAAAGTAGGGAATGTGAAGGAAAGACAGAAAAACAGAAACATTCAAAGACAAAGCTGTCAAGCAATTTCGAGAAAAGATGGAAAAATGTCCAGTTTAAACGTAAGTACGAAAATCAGATTAGATGTTCTAATCTTAGATGAGAATTGTCTCAAACTTAGCTCAAACTTAATTAAGAACTTTTAATAAAACCTGCGAAACAATGTTCGATTCACAAGCAAAGCGTTGTTCAGATTGATGAACACTTCTTGTGTGCTTTTCGTCGATTTTTATCTTTTAGTCGTTTTTTTTTCATTTTCTATAACATTTTTGAATGTCTTACTCTTGAGTGTAAATTGGTATTTTTAATTTTGTAAGTATTTCCCCCAAGAAATATTATATTATTCTCGATTTTTCCTTGTTCCATCAATTATTTTCCAAAAAGTATCACAAAATTGTTGTGATTCTATATGAAAAGTCAATCTCCGCTTTATGATACGGATCGGTCGGATAGAATAGTCTTCATCTGTTGAAAAATCACGAAAATAATATCATTCTAAATTTTTTTCACTCTGAATCTCATCATTCAAGAAAAAAACACATTTCGTTCTAAATGTTCAACGTTTTGTATTTCATTTTTCTTGTTTAGAATCGGTCAATTTAGTGGCAGGATTTCTGTAGGTTGCAAAGACTACCTCACATGCAGTGAAGAACCAATTAGCTGGCTAATTAGCCGCATAAGTGTATACTGGCTAACGAATGTGTAGACCAGTGAAAAAACTTCATTAAAAACTGAACGCAATCATCTGAACTGACGTTTGTGACTGACATTTAAATCACCAGGTCAGACTTTAAATGAAACCAAACATCGACATTTTTTTTATTAAGTTTTTGAAAAAAAATAACTCAAATTATAAAAATGACTTTCAAATTGAAAATTAATTGAAATATATTAATTTTTTTTAAAATTTGTATGATTTGAATCAGAATACGCAAATCAATAATTATTATACTTTGAATGTACTCATTTCACACAGATAGCTGGCTAACGATTGGCTTACACCAGTTTTTGGTGTAAGCCAAGGCTAAGACAATGCTGGCTAACGAAAAACCATCACTGCTCACATGGCCAAAGAACATTTAAACCGATATAACCAAATTGTTTGCTGTCAAACTTTGTCTCGCTCACGCCAACTGTCGCACTGACTTGTTCGTGTACGAATTGCTGTTAGCGTAAAAGAGACTTTGTTCGCAGTGGACTCAGTTTAGATGTTCTCTAAAAGCAATCGGCCAAGGCATTTAAAACTGATGGTGGCTGAACAAAAAATTACCAACAAATACGATAGATCTAAATTTCGTGTAGTGCTAAAAAGACGGTTATTTGCAATGAAAAAGCAACGATTTTCATCCAAAATGAAAATAGTTGAAATTCAATTGTTGAATCGGAATAAAAAAAAACATCTTATTTTGGCAAAGCAAGTTAGTTTTATTGAAAGAAAAATGTTAAAAAAATCTTCACCAAGAGAAATAGTGAAAATATAAAAAATCGCAAATCCCACTACCGGAATAGCATATGGAGGGGCCCCAAACAACCCATAGCATAAAAAAAATTATTAACAAAAAATTTCCGTTAGGTCATCAAAATTTCATTTCTTGGAAAAATGTGATTGAAACAGAGCATTTATTTTTCGCAGCAATAGCATTTACCACCCAAGTGTGGAAAACTGAATTGTTTCGATGATTCGCCACAGTGTTCATTTCGAACCCCTACGAAAACAATTTCAATTAAATCTTTCAATTTATTTTTATTATTATTTCAACATTCAAGTGTTCCGAAAATTAAATACCTAAATTAAGTACATTGAACGTTCGGAAGTCGAAAATCCCATAAATTTTAATTGTGCAAAAAAAAACTTAGGCAAATTTTAGCTCCTCTTTATCGTTCTGAAATCTCATTTTTTTCTCATGATTTATGAACATTTAAAAAGTGAATAATGAGCAAACTACGCGTGGCAAATAGATTCATTTAGAAAAAAACAAGAAAATATTGGATAAATTTCGTCCTAGATGAGTTTTCGGATTCAAATTTGAATAGCCATTTGCAAAAATGTGGTCAAATTATTAAATTTCGCAGAGAGTGCTATTTCGCTGTTAAGTAGGCCTGAGTTGAGCTGAATTTGCTGACACAGGTGCCTGGAGCGTTTTTTTTTCAACGTATTCACAGGGCAAAATTGCCATTGCTTGCAATGATCTACGATGTTTATCAATTTTAGTAAGGATGATATTTGCAAATAATAAAAATTTTGCAGCGTTAAACTTACGCTTTAGGCGCCTGTGTCAGCAAATTCACCTCAGCTCAGGCCTGCACAGCAGCAAAATGGCCCTCTTCGTAACTTTGTTTGGATATTGAATTTAGAAAGCAGCTGAATATAGTTATATTTTGTTCTAACTGTATACATTTAATCCAATTGATCATAACTCACGAATGATGTCATTCAAAATGAACACAAATCAATACTAAATTCTAAGCAACAATATTCAAAACTCTATTTTATATTTGCAACCGTTTCCTCTTTAATAAAGTTTACTACGTGCGTATTGTAGACGGATCGTCATTATGAACATAATTGTCTACTCATTATTCTCCAACAGTATAATTGGATTGTGATTGGTCGAAACGAACAAAGTTGTTCAGAAAACACTACTCGATTTAAAATACTGAAACCAAATGCCATGTGAATGTATACGTTTTTTCATCTAGTTTCAGTTAAAATTAAAAATCGTCCAGAACATTTAAGAACCCGAAAAACAAACTACTCAAGATTTCCGAACGTTCGCGGTTTATAAAAATAATAACCAAATAAATTAGCATAACTTACGCCAGTTATTCCACCAACAGGAACCAGTACGATTTTCGAGACCGTTTGGACAGTCACACATGTAACCATCAATGACAAACGCAAAAATGACCAAAGTGGCGATCAAAACGAATTGCATTGTGAACTTCATTTTTAATTATGGGTTTGACTGACGTTATGACTTTATTGGAAGTGTTATTTTAGTGTTTGAAGGGAATTGATTCACCAAATTCCTATTGTTGACTGAGAAATACACTATTTTGCTCGGCTTTATATAGGCCGCACTACATCATGTCACTTGAAATGAACTAATCATCTTATCTTTATTTATGTCGTTGAAATCATTTAAAACCCGGCTAAGTTTTTTCTTTAAGCGAATTTTTGAATCAATTTATGACATTTTTTTCACTTTTCGCAAAAACATAGTGATATTGGTTAATTAACTGTTGAATAAATGTCTGTTATTATTGGTCAGAATGAGCGACAGCAATGAATACGTTAACATATTTTTGAAATGTTTTTTTTTTCGATCTTTAGTAATAAAACGCAATGATTGATAAATTTTAAATTTTTGTGAAATTCATTACTTCAATTTGTGCAAATATAATCTTCAATTGTGCATTGCTTCGCACGGCTCGGGCGCTAGGCTACCCTTTTTATTGTTACTGTTGTGTATTAGAAATACGTCTACTAAGATTTTATCGTGTTCGACATCAAGTTTTGATAAAAGCTTTGTTCGGATGTCGAGATCTCTGGTCGATGATAGGCCGGCAACGAAGATGAGACATTTAAACTGGTCGATGGACATTTTCTTCAGTTCAAAATCTTCACAAGCTTTGTTGACATTTCCCATGTAGTCGAGATAGTTCATTTCATCATTTTTGTTGATTTTGAAGCACTTGAAGCGAGTTTTGAACAGGGACTCGTGTTTTCCAAATAGTTTCTTCAATTTTTCGATGGTTTCAGTGAAACTGAATTCTGATGAACGTTTTGGGAGTATGTAGTTCACGTACCTTTGGTGAGCAGACGTTTCCAATTTACGAAGCAATAGTCTCACTTTTGCAGAGTCGTCCAAGTTGGCTGCGTCTCTTTCGAAGAAATCTTGGAATCGACGATACCAGTTTTCGAAGATGCAATCATTTTCGGGGTCGTAGACGAATTCGGTGAGTGAGGTTGATAAAGCTTCGATCAAAAACTCGGGATCTGTGGTTTTTCGAGGGGCTCCAACGAGATTTTCGGTTGAACCACGATTCGATACATTGTTTAAAATGCCGAGAATTTCGTTGATGGTGGTTTGAGTATGATTGTGACGGATTTCTTGCTGTTGCATTTGTTGTTGTTGCAATGCCATGAAATCTTGGAAATAACTCAAAAACTGTGTGAATTCACTCATGATGATTTTTTAAGAATTTTACAAGGTAGCTTAGGTTCTTATAAAAAAAAAGTCTTTGTCGCCAAAATATGTTGTGTATTAGAAATACGTCTACTCGTTTGTACTGTGTGAACTAAACTATTTTTATTAAACTCAATCTAATACAATAAACTCAACGCTATGTTGATAATCAATTTAGATGACTACTTCGATATTCAACAGTTACAGTAGAATATCAGAAAAAAATATTCAAAAAGTCCTAAGCGTACACTTTACGTCTGATGTCTGGCTACTAGACATGTCTGAACATCAATCTATGAACATATTTTACAAAATCATAAGCACTAAATCGCATAAACATCCAGATTTTCAACTGTAATTAAAAAACTAATCACAACAATCATTAAATGAATGTGTTAATTTGTCATCCCAACGGCATATAATAACAAAACCGAAAATAACAACTCAAAATTGGGTAGACAGACAAACAAACATTCAATTTGGTGTGTAGAACAATCACAACAAAAGCAGAGGCGAAATAAATGAATCTCTTTCCAAAGTAAAACCTTTTGTTTCGAAAAATAGGACCATCGTTGATTTTCACGCACAAAGTATAATAAACTAATGTTACCATGTCATTTTGCTGAAAAATCAGTGCTTGCCTACCATCTTTGACCAAAAAATCAGTATGCTGTTCAGAAAATCAGTATAAAAATCAGTATATGCCGAAAAACGCTTAAACCCAAGCAAATATTAAAATTTCATTGATGTAATGAGTTTACAGTCAAAAAAAGGGCTTAAAACCAATGAATTCAACTATTTGTTGACCTTAAAGTATTTATATCAAGACGCAAACCTTCTTTTTCTTCTAATTTTGTTCACTCTAGCGAAAATACGTTCTAGGAGTGGAAGTACCAGGGAAGTAGAACACATATTCGATTTGGTGTGAAAATTTTTGGATGTTACGTTTTGTTTTATACATAGAATAAAAAATAATAATAAGAAATATAAAACGTAATCGAAATTTTTTGGCCGCAATTAGTGTTTCCAATGTCATTGATGTTCTCGTTTCACTCGTACATAGAACTTCTGATTTTTTTTAATCTGTCCAAGTATTTTGCAGCTATACCAAATTTCTCAGGAATATAAATACGAGCTCAAAGAAAAGCATGAAAGCAAAGAAAAAACTAAATTTTCCGTAAACACGTAAGATAAATTGTAAAAGTTCTCTTTCAATTTTCTTATGTTTTGTATGACGTGTATCGGGATAATTGCGTTTCGTGCTTTTCTGAGCTTTTTTTGACAATTTTCTTTAACAGAAACATGAATTTTTCTGCCAAAAGTCAAGTATTTCGGTGCAAAATTTCAAAATTTCAAAAATGAGTATAAAATCAGTACGAAGGTTAAAAAATCAGTATTCGGTAAAAATCAGTATCGAACAAAAAAATTGGCCAAAAATCAGTATAGTACTGATAAAATCAGTACACATGGTAACATTATAATAAACCAAAACCAAAGTAGTGAGTATGTGTGTTTTTGGTCACAGTTCTGTTGTGGGTTTTCTCTCTTCTTACAACATATGCTTACCCATCCGAATCTATGCACAAAATAGCTTTAAATTTTCGGCAAAATGATTTGCACAAAATTTCTACCTGGTTTGCGATGTGAGATATTGACTTACTCAGTTGCAATTTAATGCTTCCTAATGACATGTTTCCTCGTCCTCCTTACTCTATACAAACAATGAGACGGGAATTCCTTAGTTTAGAACTTTTGTTTCTGAAGTCAGTCGATTTCTGGACTGAAACCACGACAGTCATCAAATGGTGCAAGAGCTAAAATCAAGAAATTCAAGAATAAACTCTGTGGCGAAGTGTGAAGCGATTTCAAAATGTAAATTGATATTTCAGGCGCTTGTTGCTGTTCCCAATCATTGTTTGTAACGTACAACGGCATTTCTTTTATTGATTTCACTAAACTGTACCCCATCAAACAACTCTATCATTTAAATTTTAAACTCAATCCCAAACAAAATATTAGCATAGCTGAAGTGAAAAACAAAACTCCATCATATTGATATCAATGTCCATATCATCGTGTGGAATGAGCTTCGAACGAAAAATGCAAATTGATAATGATTGTAATCGTGGAATAAGTTCCTTTAATGTAATACCTTTGCCAATTAAGAAAGCCAAAAATGTTATGTTGTTCAAAAGAAAAATAAAGTCTACATTATTTGAAAAACAATTAAAAGATTTATCGCATAAATCTATCGCATGAATTTATTCAGCGTGATGGATTTAGCGCATAACAAAGCCTGCAACTGTGGAACTTACATCAATCCAACGAAGTGAAATTAGTGGGATTCCGTCTGTCTTTGGATTACTTCATAAGTCAGTGTTGGAAAAAAAGCCCACTAAAAATGTAAAACGTATGATATTTTGAGCAATGGTCATGGTCAGTATTTACTACTTGAACATATTTATGAGAGTCCAAGTGTGCAAATTTCCGCTAGTCCATTCTTCAACCAATCGAGATTGATGGAGCCTGTCGAGATTGGAGTCATTTATCCGATTCGGTCTAGATATGACATTCATACACCATTGAAGAACCGAAACCACAGGAAAAATTCCATTTTAAATTTCAAAAAAATTTCATTCCAAAAAATTCTGTCGTCTTAAAATCGTTCATGTAAAATAAAACCACATTCGTTCTAAATATTCAACGTTGTTTCGTTTATTTCCGTAATTTGTATTTGTCAAATAAATTGTAAAATTACATTGAGTCATCCCTAAGAAAAAGATGATCTGCATTAAGCTTAAATTCTACATCGAAATGAATACTATGTATCTCTTAAGTTTCCTGTTGAGCGTAGACAATGTCTGTTTTGTTTCAATTTTCTTGTTTAGAATCGGTCAAATTAGTGGCAGGATTTTTTGTTTGTGTTTCCGATTTGCGATATATGAATAATTTTTGTTTAAATTTTCAATTACACATCAATAATTCGAATAAAATTTTCGTTCTTATAGCGTACAGACACCGTCATACGTGGTGTGTCTTCCATAGCTAAGCTAGCAAATAATTGCAAACAATTTTCTTTTGGCCAATTTTATCTAAATATATTTCTATTTTCGTTTAAATTTATAATTTAGTTGCATTTTTTTCCTTTTAAATCTATTTTAATCAGTAATTTTATTTTGTTTGAAATCATTTTCATTGAAGAAACCTAGACATTTCTTCCGAATTCGAAATTCCAATGGAAAAGTTGTTTGATCGAGAAATTTATGAAGACTATCTATGAAAAAGTCTTCCGAACTTGTTTCAAGGGAATCTTAAGAAAAATTCGTAATTATCGTCCCTTCAATAGGTAAAGATTTCAGAAGATCGAGGGTTTTAATCTTAAAAAATCATTTAAATTTGAAAAAAATCATCAATAAACTTCAAATGATTTCCATTTGAGTTTTCAGTAAAGCGCAACATTCTGCGGCAGTGATACGGCGCATATTAAAATTAGCCAAATGTGTTCCGATATCGTCTCACATCAAGCATAAGCGGTAAAATTGAGCCAGAAATGGCAAGCTTAAACACAATTCAGTTTGATAAAACTGAAACTGACGGCTAATCTAGATTAGTTATTGCAAGAGATATGTAAATTGAGCGAGATAAAAATTGTAGAAAAATATCTCATCATTTAGTCAATTGTTGTTGTGTCTAAAAAAGACCCAGATTGAACAGTTCAAAATTTGAAATTGATCAATTTTCGGATTTATTTACAATGGACAAGTGTGATTTGAGAGAAAAAATACTCATATTTGAGAAAGTGGTTTATGTTCTGGAATAGAAAAAATAGATGTCGATCTGAAGAATAGGTAGATTGTATATGGGCTGAAGGTGCATGAGATCGATTCTCATTCTTTGTCTTTAAAAAAGTTCAATTCCTCGGTTAAATAGTCTGTAGGTTATTGGTCAATGATTGTGTGTTTCGATTGATTTTTACGGAAAATTCTTTCTTCTTCTGTCTTTACTATTTTCATTTTATTTTTATCAACACGGTTCAGAGCTACCCAATGAACTCATGAACGTGTCACGGCCAAAACCCAGCTGCACCACATGGGCGAGTGAGTTTTTTTTTGCTGCACGCCCAAGTCGAGCGTACCAGTTCTTTTTCAAATCAAACACAAAATATTTCAATATTTTTTTCCATTTTTTGATCAATTTTTGCCTGGTCCTTCTCAATCTTGGTCTTTTTCGATTTCTGTTTTTCACTTGATCCTCTGGTTTTTATTTCTTTCCTTTTCTTCCTTTTTTAATGCTCGAAACCTAGGCGGCCATGGCTTGGCTCATCAACCTTTTTGCCACATATGTCATTTTTCGTGGCTCATCTTTGTTTCTGTGCATTGTTGAGTTTCGATTCGGCGAAATTATTATCGGAATTAAATTCAAATTAACCTAATGATTGCTTAGCTAATAAGAACCAAATCGATTGCTTTTACAAAGTGTTTAAACTAAACAGAACCTTATTAATTGATCAAAAAAAAATAATATTCTGAAATAATGCTTAAAGTAATTTTTTTGAGATATTATTCAAAAAAATGGATCGGAAAAACCGGAAAAGTTCGAGAAAAAAAAAATCGGTTTGAAAAAATCGTGTAATTTGTCGCTCAACAAATTCAGTCGACTAATCGTAACTTAGGTCTAGTGAAAATGCATGAAATCTGTGTTCAAATCGAGAGAGACTTTCTCTCGCAAATGCGTGCTATCGATCGGAACATAAACTAGTGATTATAATTAAATTCTTCATTAAAGATTATAATCATTTCTATATTCCTGAATGAAAACTAAAATGCTGCATCGGTAATATGTCATCGGCCAAACGATATTAAAGAAATAAACTAAAACAAACAGAAATAAACACTATCCGTAAAAAAAGGTTGTGGTAAAAATGAATTAAAATTGCTTGAATACTCCTAAATTGGACGGAATGCTTATCCTTGATATTCGTCTTTGTCTTTTGTTGCAATTTTATCAACATGTTGTCTGCATGAAACATGCATCTGTTTTTTCCATTTCGCCCTCGTGTTTTTTGGACGAATTTTTTTTTAAAAAAATCTCTTCTATTCGAAACATTGTTAAGTATTCTTTTGCTATAACCGAAAAAAAAAAATCATAGTATTCTCTCTCTATTTGTACGTGTGTTGGTCGTAATGTGCGGGTTTGGTTCCGGCTTAGAAACGTTCCTTTGACGCGGCACTGTATTCCATGTCGTTGAGATTTTGGATTTCTTGCAACTCTTGGAATTTCTCGTGATCACGGATGTGCGCATAATTGGCTGACAGACACATCAAATAATGGACCAAACTCAAAATGATGAGCAAACATGAAATTGTTGCCAATATGAACATCGTTTCGGCCGGTTCAACGCCATCCTTGCAAAATGCCTTTATTTGGAATTTGTCACACACTTTCATGTCCTGCTGTCGCGATCCTTTCGGGAATAGGAAATCTGTAAAAAAGAGACAAATTCGATGAGAAAATGCGGAAATTGAGGAATTTGAGAGAAAATTTATGACTTTTTTAAAGGCTTATTTTTATATCTTCAATTGAAGAGTCACTTTTTCGTCTTATCTTTCGTTTGAAATACTTTTTTCGAACGACAAAAGTCCAGCACAAAAAAAACTGAACATCGTTCAGTTCCTATTGATTTCTGGATTCTACTGAAATTGAGCATATCTGTCTTGACAAAAAATGGATCCAAAATTTTGAATGAGATAATTCCATATCTAATTTTTGTTTAAGAACCCAGCCTTTTTTCACGAATCAACATTTGGTGTAGATTTTGAAAACAACAATTCTTCCATATGTGTGGGTATTTGTATCTGAATTCCTTCCTATCTGATTCGCATAAATTCCATTAACGAAACATTTTGATACAACATGTCAGTTGATTTGCTTTTTTTTCTACTGAACTTTGAACTACATACCCGAAAAAAGCATCTCCAACGATAAACACATCTTTCGTCACATGAGATGAAAAAATGACTCTTCACTAATTGAAGAATTAAAACCAATTTTGCCATTGACACAAAAACGCGTGTGAAACTTTGCGAAATTAGCTTTCGCTTTGTTGATTAAAAATGATTTTGCTTAAGCTTAAGAAAATTTACCAGTAAAATAATATATTTCTCCATTCTCCTTAACATGACCCATATTATATGGGAATAATTGATTTAACTATTAATTGAACCAACAAAACATAAAAAAAGAATACTTACGAAATTGGACCAAATCGATGAGACACTCGCGTGGATTGGTTTCAATGTCTTCGGAGCACATTTGCCAGAATATCGTGTAGACAAATGTCACGATGCAGAGGAAGCAAAACATGATGGACCAAATGATCGTCAGTATATACGTAATCGCCATGAACTGTGAAGAGTTTTTAATTTTATTTTTTTAGTTTTTAATCGAAATAATAATTGTTCAAGTGCAAAAAAACATATGAAAACTAAACGAGTTTCGGCTGTGTGAAAATTATGAATAATTGCAAAAAAAATCAAAGGTCAATAAAATTGAAAATGAAAGAGTGTGAAAAAAGACCATAAAAAGACATGTTTTTGTGAAGAAACACATAAGTTTCTTATAATTATAAAAAGGGACTTTTGTGAATGAATGTAAAATAACATATCATTTAAAATGGTCTTTTTTACTCTTTTCTTGTTACTTCAAAGTCATCTTTTTAATCTAAATTTTTTCATAATAGAAATCAAAAATGAATCAGTCATTAAAGCTTTAAAACGGCCAACATTTGATTTTCTTTTTGTTTGTCAATTGTTGCTTCAAACCAAAAAAAATAGATCAAAGTTTCCATTAAAGGTAACATTCAAATGTCATTTGGCGCAAAAAAAAACTAAGCTAATCCGAAAAACGTGATTTCAATGGAAACAACCGATTACTCATTTTCAGCTATACTTACAACAGCGCACGAAATGCGGCCACCAACGCGTGATCTCCAGGCGCGATAGACTTTGTACCGTGTCGACCCAGTGGCTAGGCATCCAACAAAGAGTATCATGAATCCGAGGCCGGCCATCGATGCGCCAATCGTAACGAATATCATTTGTACGGCTTCGATCCAGAAGAGACGGAATCGGAATACTCGATCAAACATGATGATCATGAGCGATGCGCCACGATACATTGATGTGCAGAATATCGCCACACCAATCAGGCACATTACCGTCGCAATCATTGTTGCGTATGGTATTCGTGTCATACATGATCGACAGCAATTTCCTAGACCGAAAAAAAAACCAGCAACAACGTTAATGAGTGATAAATAATTTAGAGATGGAATGATTGAAAATTTAATGCGATATCGTGACTGAATAAGAGGAAGAGACGGCAAACACAAATAACAAAAACAGAAAAACACAATTTTTAGACAAAGTGACTGATGATTGCAAGTGATGAGCGATGAACAATGAATTCAAACGAGCCATGGAAATGATTTGATTGGACACAAACAGGAAGCCGTGTGAACATTGATCCAATGTATATGTGTTGAATGGCGAAATAGTAAACAATTTGGCGAACAAAATTGAAATGATCTGGCGAACTGATTTGAAATAATTGGTTTGACAAAATCGAATCGAAATCATTTGTATGAATTTAAATCGATTTTGTGTGATTTTTTTTCCCTTTTCGTAAAAAACTTTTTGCAAATATATTTTGATGCTATGATTTTTGCAGACGCAACGAAAAGTCCGTATACAAGCCCTGTTCCCGAGGTGAATGACTAATTTTGAAGCTTATAAGATGTTTTTTCCTATAGGAATTAAAGTTTAATGACTTCATAGCAAGAGTTTAAATTCGAAGAAGTTCTTTTCCGAGACAAAACGTTCATTTCAGAAGAGAATGTCTTCAAATCCCGATTTGTTCTTTTTCAAGTTCAAATTTTTGAAGATCTTTAATGTTGAATTTAGAAGCTCATAAATTTTAATTCTGTCTTTTCTTCCTATTTCTCTCTTCTTTTTGCCTAATTCCATTGAATTTTTCAAATATCTTCCCTCATTTTCACCTGGTGATAAAATAAATCAATTTTTGTCTCTTTCGCAACATGATTCGCCATCACCTCAGAAAACAGTTCTTGCGACAACTTCACAATTAGCATTGAAATAAAAAACGATGAATTATTTTCAATAACAAAACAATTTTCCAATCCGATGAACAATATCTCTCACGAGTCGTGTCGACTTTTTTTACAGTACGAAAAACAAAAAGCGGCGAGATAAAAATTTGAAGCAGAAAAAAATGTGGTTGCTGTTGAATGTGGGCTTCACATTCATCAGTCCAACATAGTGGAGGCACACGATGTGTATGTGTCTCTGTGTCTAACCTGGGTCACGTCGTCCGTGTAGCGAATACTCGGAATATCGATCGATTGATGTGTCGGATCGATAGATACTACGCCGTGTTCGTTGCAATAATGGATTTTCTGTGTTTGTTATTCTTGATCGCTGACCGATCGCCGGTTGATTGGTTGCATGTGCCAACGTCAAAACGCCATCCTCATCGAAATTCGTTTCCAATAGAATGTCTTCGCGTACATCGTTCGCACCACCACTTCGGCTGCGCATATCCATCACTGACGCTTCGTGTTCACAGAATCGGTTTAGTACAATCTCGTTGAACTGTTTTGATTTTGATGGAAAGTTTGCAAAAATCGAGTTTTTTTTTATTCTTCAGTTTTTCAGAACTTTTTTTGTTTTTTTCAGATTTTGTTTTTTCTCGAGATGTTTTTTGAATTAGTTTGGCTCTTCAAATTTGTTAGAGTCTTCTCCAAAATAAACTAAGCGTCAAGTATGCTTCAGAAGACTTCAAGATCTTGAAAGCTCTTTTCGAATGCTCTTTTTCGACAGCATACAAAAATGTTTTTTTTTTCCTTCGTTGAACATTTGATATATACCAAAATGAACTGTAGCCACTCTAATTTGCTCCGAATTACAACGGATGGAATGTGTGTAGTCGAACTTTAACTGTGAAAATCGGTCTATTTTCACCTTTCTCCCGTCAAACTGACGTACTGGATTTACTGTGCCATTGCTAGTGCGCTACACTCATTGTGTAACGATTAAACTTGAGCTTGGTGCAATTAAACATTGAGTTGTAACAATCGAAATTTAGGCTTCTTAAATCATTTGTCGATATTTCTCTGTTTTTCGACTGGACAATTTTATCTGTTTTGAAGAGAGCTCTTGTTTTTGTTTCTGTTTTTCCCCTCTTTTTATTTATTTTTCTCTTCAGCTCTACTTAAGTCAATAAACCTTCTTGTTCAGCTGAAGTTCGATCAATAAATATAATTCGATCACACAGTTCTCAAACGATTGGAAAAGAGAGATAGAAAAACGGTTGAAACACGAGCAAAAATAGAGACTTTCATTTCGTTTCGCTCACAGTCAGTCAGCGTGTGCACAAATCAATGATGCGTCATATTATTGTTCGTTCTATAACTATTTCCACACTCTGAATAAGCCACTGTACACATCGCTGTAGTTTCCGTTCACTTTGTTGTACCATATATGGATACGATTGATTTGATGCACGTTTCTTTCCAGATATGTTCAATTCGAATGAAAAATCAACCATTTAAAACAAACACACAAAACAGTGTACTGGCTTGAATTCGAGAGTAACAAAAAAAATGGGGTTCTAGTTGTGTTTTTCGGTGAGTTCTTCCGTAGGACAAAACGTAATAAACCCGTTATATGCTATCAATTCATTTGAAGCACTGTGTGTCGATAACTCGTGTTATCGTTCTTTTTTCCACTCTTATCTTTTTCGAGGTATAGATATTCGTCGTTGATTTCGTAATGTGTATGTTTTGTGATCTATTTCTTATTTCGACACTTGTTTGCTCGTGTGCGTTTTTTGTCGATGATGAATCCACTTTGAAAATGGAATAAAATCGAATCCACCTTTGCAATTTTGAAATGTTTTATTTAAAATAGCAAAGTTTTTTTCTTTCGCTTGGTGATCGAACGATATGAATGACAAAACGGTCAGACAGCTAAATTAACTTAATTACTGTCATTGAATCCACACAGATCAACATTGCTGCATAATTCGCTTATCGTTTTGTTTTTCATTCACTCAATATGCACACTGTCGAATAATATTCCACATTTGGCCAATTTTCACCAAAAAAAACCTAGGATTTCTCTTGCACAGCGATTTAGAACACAAAACTGATTTTTTTTATTGTTGTTACTGTTGTTGTTTAGCTGACGATCAAGCAAGAAAATAACAGAATCGTTGTGTATATCGTTTCGTACGTGACCATTACGTTCATCGAATAGAACGGCACTGAATGTCGTTAAACCGCACCGATATTGAACTATTTGCTGTGTGTACGTACTCTATGCCATGTCTATCACGATCGCTCTTTCGCTCGCGTTAGACACTCGTTGGCTGTCTTTTTTGCTCTGACTTAGTCATTCGTTCGCACGCTCGCAATCGTTTACTCTTTCCTATTTAATTCGCTTTCTCCCCGTCTCTTTCACACTCGCACACGCTCTCTATTGCTCACCGTCCGTTCGCTATTTCCATTCTCATTGTTTAATGCATTGTTGTTTGCGGCGCGCGCGAGAGCGGGTCCGTGTATTACACGTACGTGTACACAACGGTGAGTCCGACATTTGGCTCATAATTTTTTTACGAGCAACCCATTTTACTCTACTATTATTCTATTCCAATCGCCGAAGAAAGTAGTCCCAATGTTAGACTCTCAAATTCATTCATTGCCCGAATTTCCGAGCCAACGTCATTAGAACGACTTGTAATCGTCGATTACCTTTATAAATCCATTTTAGATTTTTTTTTCTTCGTCCGTTTTTGTTTTGTTCCATGTTAGAAACATGCTTGATTGCCGATTCTACAATACAATCATAGAAAACACTTGAAACGAGCGATCTCTATCTAGCACTGTCTTTCTCTGCTTTTCACTCCCTCTATCTATTCTTCTTTCTCTCTCTGTCTCTCTCCGTCTTTCTCTGTCTTTCTCTCTCGCTCTCTCGGCTTATGAGACCTCATTCGCTTTTTGCCATTCCGTTTCAATATGTTTCGATTGGTTGTTCGTCGCGCATTCCACATGGGCCGTGTTCATGTTAATTAGTCTTTGCTTGCTGTACACTGTTCGACAACATAACAAACCATATTACCGATGTCGGCGACAATGAATTTTTAATCATCTGACAAACGCACACGCATGAAATGACAAGAAGTCTCTCTCTATCTCCCTCTCTCTCTCGTGCCGATAAGTGCAATCGTTTTCCGGTGTGTACAATTATAACTGAAATTGACTTCATATGAAAAGAGATTGGATTCCTTTATGTTGTTTTAGTTTATCTTGAGAGTCATTCCAGGGGAATTATTTGAAATTGGATGGAATTCAAACATTCTTCGTTCAATTTTATTCAAATTGTTCAAATTGAATAAAGTCGAGCGAAAAATGTTCAAAATTGGTCCAATTTCAAATACCAAACACCACGACTGTCTCGAAAAACATATAAACACCATGCGATTGTCTCGAAAGATTTCTTGAAGAAAACCGTCTTCAAATAAAATAAAACTTCAGAAATCTGCAACTTTCTTGAACAAAATGCACATTTTTCATCGCTTTGTTTTGCGTTTCGAGCGAAACGATCACGAGTTTATGCGCAATAAGTGGGGAGAAATTATCATCACGACGCTGTTTTCTCGGAATGTTGTTGTGACGAATATGAAATGTTACGGTAAATATTTACACAAAAGAGATAGATATGAAAACAAACGACGAACCGTCAAACTGCGAACATTATGTTGATGTTGTCGTCAGCGGTTTTTTATGTAATAACAGTGAGTCGGTTGTCAGTGGCAGCGAGTCTAGCAACGCATATAAATTGAAGCAAGCAATCACAATTCACTTCATAGGCTATGAATATAAACGAATCATAGCTAAGACAAATGTCTTAGCTGACGGCAGCATTCGTCTTTGGATAATATTTACTCGTTGGTAAAAATGCCGAAGCACATATAAACACGTTATGGCTTGCAATCAACGCGTTTTTATTAAAAGTCATCACTCTTGTGCCAATTAATTCAAATTCAGAGCGATATAAACAAATGATTGTAATTTTGATGATTGAACTTCGACACTCAAGTTTAATTCAATTTAATAGCATCGATGCTGAGATCGGAGTTTAAAATCAATGGTTCGTAAATCAATGAAAAATTTGTATTACTGCAAACAGAAATGTGCAGTTTCAATAGGTCGACAAACGAATAAACAGTTTTATTGGGAAGGGTTAATGACAGCTTTATTATAAGATGCCAATCTCATGGATGGAAATTACAAACTTTTGGATTTCGTATGGAGATTTCGAGATTTGGTGATTTGAGAAATTCGGAAATTTTGGGGGAATTGTTAACTTTGAGATTGTTTTGAAGATTTTTTGGATTTAAAGCATGATTTTAAGGTTTTGAGGAAGATTTCACGGTCTTGTGGATGTTTTCACAACTTTGAGACAGATCTTCCATCAAAATTGAAACTAAAAGAAATCCCATTGACGAGTTATGGGTTTAAAGTACGATTTTAAGACGATTTAAAATAAAAATCCTTAATTCATCACAATTTGCCGTAAAATCGGATTATAGCCCAAAATGAAGCGAGTTCAAGTCAATAAAAAGTCCAATTTGGAAGAAGTTGTTCCCAGAAGAGCACAATTTTAGAAAAATTGAATTTAATTCCGATTCAAATCTCGATGGGCATTAATCCAGAAATACTTGAATCTCGAACAAATTTTCTTTGAAAATTAAATTGTTTGTCTTGAACCCCAAATAAATCCCAAAGAAGTCGACATGCACCAATTCAATGCCAATTCAATCTTTTTGTCACTAAATTTCCTAACGAGACTTCAACCTTTTTTTCTATCCAAAACCTTTTTTAAACCAAAAACTCGACCTTTCTCGGTGAACCACATCTTTTTGTTCTGGTGAAGCTCAACTTTTTTTCGGCGAGGCTCAACCATTTTACATGAAACCACTGACATAAAGTATAAAATCTCTTATTTAAAGCATGAACACTTAATCATCTTTGCTACAAAATTGCCAAAAATCCGTGCGCCCAAAGTCACGGATTAACAAAAGATTTCGGCGAGCGAAAGAAAAACACCGTGCATCGTTCACTTTCATTTTTGTTGTGTACGTTCAATGAACGTTGTACATCTCGTCACGGCGTTTTTGGGATAAATTACGTTTTAAAGTCGGAAAAAATGGAACCGAAAAGAAAAAAGAGTTTGTAATTATGATGAAAGTCAACAATATATCTCAATTAGAGCGACCATATGAAATTCACGTGAGGCTCGCAAACTCTGGAGCCGACACTTACCCATGTTGTTGTGTAGAGTGTTGATGCTATTTAAATCGTATCACTATTTTCCACAACTCTTCCACTATATGCTACACTTTGGAAACAGAAGAAAATAGAGTAAATTAAATGTAAAACATTAATTCTTTTCTTCTTCTTCTTCTTCTTCTTCTTCTTCTTCTTCTTCTTCTTCTTCTTAACAAAATGTCACTTGATGTTGACTGGCCTTTGTGCAGAACTATCTTTGAACCGAATGCGTAAAAAATTCACTTTAACATTCAAAACCACTACATTAGCATTTGGTCCGAAAAACAAAGATTCATTCAAATTTAGGCAGTTTTTTCTGTCGTTGTTGAGACAATATTTCACAATATTCTTCGGTTGCTTTCTTACACTTCTCACATAAGTAGGTGTGTTTCGGTGTGGCACCTAAGTATTTTGTATTTGTTTGGCACACCAGTTGAATTCGTATTTGAAATGAACCAAAAACACTAACCCCTTTTTTATTATCAAAATTGGCCAATCCACCGTGCAATTCGTTGTTCACACGTCAATTTTTTTCGACAAATTAAAAATTATTCGCACAAAAACAAACCAAAAAAACTGTTTCGTTACACTATACTTTCATACGAACATTTATGAATCGTATCTAGGTTTGAATGGAACTGGCTCGAGCCACGCCAACTACAATTACAACTCTATTGAAAACATGACGCACACATGCACAACCAGCCCAAACAGAGACGATGAGAATGTCGATGACGTATTGTTATGGCAACAGCACGAACAAAGCGCCTGTCAAACAATTCAACGAGCTAATGATGTAGTTGGTGTGAGTGTGTGCATTTGTGGTTTTTGGGCTAATATATCCATTTCACGATATGCAAAGAAAGGATTTGTCTTTTGAATAGACTAAAATTAGTTCGGAAATAAGCTTAAGGAGAAATGTCTCTTCATTTCTTGCCCAAAACTATAGAAAAATCATCAAAATTCCAAATTCTTTCAAAGAATTCCCACTCTTGCCTTGGACTAAACTCATTTTAATGACTCATTCTTTCTACATCATCCCATGGCAATGCCGACAGATGTCTCTGAATGTTTGAGTTGCTCAGAAAAATGCAGTAAATCGAACAACGATGCAGTAGATTCATTGTGAGTCGTGCAGTTTGCCTGAAAGTTGTCGACATTTCTCAACTTTATAAGGTTTTTTTCTTCTGTGTCGCGGATTTTGTCGGAGTGTCAAAGTGAAGTTGACAGCCAAATATCATACACACACACACACACACATACCCACAACGAGCTAGCGCTCGTGGTAACATTGTAATAAACAGTATCATTCGATTTTTAGTCGCATTTCATCACACACAAAAATCGAAAACAATCCATTGAAAATGTTGAAGAAAAGCTTATCGACGGGTCAATTGAATCTTGTGCGAGTAAGTTCAACCAAAGTTACACCATTAAAAACAATGTTTCATTGACAAAAAAAATTCTCTTTTGGCAGCAATGTTCGAGTAATAAATTGGATAAAATTCGCGAGCGACTGGCAAATGGTCCAAAATTTCAGGAATTCGTACAGGATCCGGATAATATTCACAAGGATTGGGACTATGAAGGGAAATTGAAGCGTGAAAAAGGCGATGATAAGCGGTTGAGATTGCCACCATGGCTGAAAAAAGAGATTCCAATCGGTGCAAATTTTAATAAAATCAAATCACAATTACGTGACCTTAAGTTGGCCACTGTTTGCGAGGAGGCTCGATGCCCAAACATCGGCGAATGCTGGGGCGGAGGCGAACATGGTACACAAACTGCCACAATTATGGTAAATATCATGATCTTAGATCAGACAAATTCAAGTTTTTGATTATGTAAGACGTCATACGACATTGTTGTTTTTCGTTGCTTGTGTGCGTCAGGACGCGAGATAAGAAACAGCTGTGACTTTGGCACACAAGCTTAATATCACCTCATCGACGAGAAGCATAGAAAGAACCGATGTGATCGAATTGTGGGATGTTAATGGGTTTTAGAAGATTTTCTTGGCTTCAATTGAACATTTTCAGAGTTGAATGAAGTGAAGTGATGGATTTTTTGTGAATACGAATTTGGTTGAAACCATACAATGTCTCGCTTGATTATTTAACTTGCTTGACTATTAAGCTGGACTCAATTCCTTGTTGGCAATGTTATTCGATGACATTTCTCCAATTGGACTGAGATTTGATCAGTTTTTTTTTATTCTAGAGAAGAGAAATTTGACGATTTTTCTGCACCTGAAACCAGTCAAGAAATACTAGAAAAATAATTTCTAATCATGATCAAAAACTTAAATTTTTGTTTTTAAATATCAAATTCAAGCTAAAACTAGAACGCAATTTTCTATCATATTTCAGTTGATGGGCGACACATGCACACGAGGCTGTCGATTTTGTTCGGTGAAAACAGCACGAGAGCCACCACCACTCGATCCAAATGAACCAACGAACACTGCATCAGCAATTGCATCCTGGGGCCTTGACTACATTGTACTCACATCAGTTGATCGTGATGATTTACCCGATGGTGGAGCAAATCACATCGCCGAGTGTATCAAAGAAATTAAACGACAGTGAGTTCTATGGCCTCAACCTTCAAATTCCAATTATTTGTTTTATAAAATTCTTCTATGAGTCAAAATTTGAAGTTCTTTGAATTTAAAAAAAATCCATCAAATTTTGAAAAAAAAGTCCTTTTTTCGTTAAAAAAAAGTTTTCTCTTTTTGCAGAAATCCTCGAATCTTCGTGGAGTGTTTATCGCCCGATTTCCGTGGTGACATCGATTCCATCCGGTTGATAGCTGAGTCTGGTGTGGATGTGTTTGCGCACAATATTGAAACGGTTGAAAAATTAACGCCTTTCGTTCGAGATCGACGAGCAGCATATCGTCAAACGCTCAATGTGCTACGCGAAGCGAAAACTATCAATCCAACATTAGTAACAAAATCGTCGATAATGTTGGGCTTAGGTGAAACAGATGAAGAAATTGAGCAAACCATGAAAGATCTGCGTAGTGTTGGTGTGGACTGTTTGACATTGGGCCAGTATATGCAACCAACGACACGACATCTCAAAGTAATTGAATACGTTGAACCAAGCAAATTCAAGCATTGGGAATTGAAAGGCAATGAACTTGGATTCCTATACACCGCCAGCGGTCCACTCGTTCGTAGCTCGTACAAAGCAGGCGAATTTTTCATCACAAGCATTCTACGCAATAGACAAAAATACCAAATAGACCAAAGCAACGATACTAAACAGTAGCAAAATGTTATGTAAAGAATTGTGTATATTTGTGTTGAAATAAAAATGGAATTAAAAACTATTGTTCAGAAAAAAAATGCTTTTTTGTTTTAAAAACGGTGTTCCTTGAAGGAAATTTCACATTTTTCTACTTCAAAACATTTTTTTCTTCATTCCTCTTCGTTTCTCTTCGTTTCTCTTCATTTTTCATGAATTCATCATAATTTTCCTCGATTCTCATATTTTTGTTCGAAAAACGTCTTTGAAATTCGATCTTCTGAAGGAAAAATGTCGGAAAAAGAGAAGAAGAAATAATATACGACATTATTTTTTGAATAAAAATTATTCTTAGTAGAATATTCGAAAATTATCTTATTTTTTGAAAATAAAATATTGAATTTACTGAATCGATTCAGTTTATTCCCAGTTCTCAATTTCTTAAATGCCAAAAAAAGGCATTCAAATCAATTCCAAATGAAATCTAGATGTCAGCACTCAAATTCACGTGAACTAGGTCAAATGATGGCCCTCTGTGAACAACAGCCGCAAAGTATAGGCGACAGTTCAGTGACTTGATGAGTTGAAAACAAGCGGACTGAGTGAATTGGAACAAAAAAAAAAGAAAGAAGGTTGCTCGAACATAAACAAATCGTGATTGAAAAATTCATTGCTCTGTGTTTTAGGCAATGATTTAATAGCAATAAATCAAACAAACATTTTTTACAGTATTTTCAATTAAGTACAGGTAAGACGAAGCCCCTGACATATTTTAATCGAATTTGTGTTGTGTTATTTTGTCAATAAAATATCGATTTCTCTCTGCTTGATTGGATTTAGAAAGACAACAAAGCTTGGTGTGTGTGTGTGTGTGTGTGAGAAAGATGGCAACGCTCGAGGATAAAATATTGGGTGATGATAAGCGTGAGAATTACTGCAGTTCGGACGAGGGTGAAGCGGATGATTTCGAGAGTGCTGATGGATCGCCGATAGGTGCACAATCGGCAGCCGCATGTGAACCATCGAATCAAACGTATTTCACGCGCGAAACCGTCGACAAATGGTCGGGTAGTTCAACAAACACCGGTCCAAAGGGTGTGATCAAAGACTGGCAACGCTTCAAGCAATTAGAAAACGAGAAAAATGTGGGAAAAGAAACGGAAAAGTTGTCGCTTATGAAAAAATTGTGTATTACGGCAAAAACGGTGGCCGAAGATGGGCGGCAAGCCGAACAAGACGAGCTTGACACTGAATTGGCCGAATTGATGAACGATGACAGTATTTTGTTGCAATTTCAACAGCAACGTATGCGTGAAATGCTCGAACGATGCGGTAAACAGCAGAAAATTTTTGGCACCGTTTTCTCATTGGCCAATGGCGATGAATTCTTAAATGCAATCGATAATGAAGACAAATCCGTCCCGGTTATTGTGCATATCTACGAGAATAAGCTGTTGGCATGCAAAACAATGAATCGATGCCTTGATGAATTGGCACAAAACTATAAGAGTGTGAAATTTTGTAAAATTTTCGGTTCAGTAGCTGGCATGAGTGCTAACTTCAAAATTGGCGGCATTCCGGCGTTGTTGGTGTACAAAAGTGGCAATCTAATTGGCAATTTCGTTCGATTGTCAGATGAACTGGGCGGCGATGAATTCTTTGCATCGGACGTTGAAAGCTTTCTCATCGAACATGCTATGCTGCCGGACAACAGCCATGTACCAATCATCGTCAGCAAAACCATCAACGGCAACGATGACGATGATTAAATTCGACCTGTTTTAGTTCAACAAGAAAATAACACCACATTCAACAACATGCTTTCATCGCAACACACTCTCATTCTCTCATCTCTAGTAGCATTAAGTTTATATGAATGACAATCGATTTGATAACGCCGCTGATATAAAAAAAAAAAATTCGTGCTAAAAAAACGTCACCCTACGCCCCTTTTATTGCGATCATCCACACAAATTTTTCTATTGTTATTCGGAACGAACCAAAATTCTTTTCTGTTATTCTGTATCGATCATCTTCCATTTTATGCAATTGGCTTTGAAAACTCATGATACACATCCAATTGAACGCACATAAAAAGCGAAAAAAATGCCATTTTTTGAGTGAGAAATATAAAACAAAACAAACATGTGAACTTATTTTACATTTTTATTGCCTATTTATTTTAATGAAGAAACAAAAATATACACTTGTGGAGTTGTGGGTGGCACAACTCAGCCCCCCACACACACTACCCATGCGCCAATTTAATAGAGAAAAAAATTTAAACATTGTAAACCGAAATTTGTATTCAAAAATAAATGTGCTCGTTTCCTATAAACTATGACGTTTGTTGAACTTCATAAACTAATCGAAATTGTGTTCCACTTGTTCCATTTGGAGCTAAATTGGTTGGTGTTTGGCTATTCAAAGCGAATAGGTTGGTATATTTTGGAAAAAATCTGTTTTGTTATTGCAACTAAATAGCTTAGTTCAGAAATTCATTAAAAATTTCATTTTTCAGGAAACAAAAAGCGGTCATAATTCAAATGGCTACAAAGTAAACTAGGATTCAATGTTAAAAGTTTATTTAATTTAAAAATTTATTTAACACAAACAATTTCGTTAAACTAATCATTTAGCGACACGTTTCTCAATCTTTTCCAGCAGTAGTTCCATACGTCCCTTCATCACCGGTTGTCCTTTGTTGTTTTTCTTTGAAAAAATCTTCTGCTTTCGTTTTTTGTCCTTCTTGGCGATTAGTAATTTGGCTTGTTTTTCTGCTTTTCGTTCATTTTGCAGCCGAATTTTGTCGATACGCTTCTCTTCGGCGAAGGTGAACTGGTTTCGTTTGCCTGCACCTTGCTTGTTATTGCCTTTCTTGTTCGATGGGTTTTTCTTGAATGGTGGCTTGTGTTGAACCTTATTCGCTGGCGATTTACCACCTTCACCATCGTTCTTTTTGGTTGCCTTCATTTTGGTTTTGCTTTTGTTTGTTTATTTTGGTCTATTTAATTCTTTTTGGGTCTTTTCAATTTCAACACACTTTGATCTAATCAACGAAGCGTGTGATGCACTGAACACGGTTTATTTACAATCGTGATTGTAGCACATGTACCAAGTGTCAATGATTGCATTCTGTCAAATTCGTTGTACACATCAAACAACATAACCACACTTTTCGTTTGAACACAGTATTGGGTGTATAGTTTGGATTTATTTTTCGTTGCAATGCTACGGAATATTTTTGCACAAATAACGCCACATCTGCGAAGACGAAACGGTTTTTTGCAGCCACAACCGTTGCCATTGATTCAAAATCATCTGTTTGAAAGTATATATGTGAATAAAACCGCGGAGGAATGGTTAAAACAACTTCCCGAAGACCAGATGAAGCGAGTACGGCTGATACAGAATGAGGTGGGTTTTTTGATTTTTGAACCAATTGATTTTCAGGGAGAATCAAAAAATGTTTCATTTGAAAATATAAACAAATTGAACTCGAAAAAGTGATTGAAAATTGAATTGTTTTGCACTCTTTGTAGATCGCCTTGAAAATGACCGAAATGAAGAAAACACCAGCCCTTGACCGATTAACAATAGCCGATTATGAAGAAATGCTGGAGATGTCGACCAGCCGGAGGCAAAAATATTATCACTATTTGTTTGTGACACAAACAGCGGATACACGGAGTGATGTATGTAAATTTGTCCCAAGCAAAAATTTGGATCAGTTTTACATGAGCATTGCTCATTGAGCAACAAACAAATCAGCCAAAGATTACATTGACAGAAATTCAATTCAGCTTGAGCTGAGAAATTTTTTTGGCTTAGAATGAAAAGGGATTTTAAGAGTGCAAGCATAAAAATACTTTGGTATTTTTGGGATTCATACGATTGATTTTTTGGCGGATTAAATTTTTTTTTGCCATTTGGAATTTTTTTTGTTTATTTTCAAAATTTTCTCTATTTTTAATCATTTCGACCAAATTTAAGGATTTTTCCTTTTTTCGTTTATATTCAGATGAAGAAAAAGATTCGGGACCTGATATTAGAAGAGAAAAAGGCTAACATCGCCGATGAAACACCAAAGCATATCGATTATGGCTTAGGAAAGAATACACTCTTATTGAAAGTGACTAACAAATCGGTAATCACTTGGAGGAATCGAAAGTGAGTTTGCGTTGATTTTTTTATATTTTTGGTGGGAAAATTTTCTGTTGAATTTTTTTTTTTCATTTTCATTAACCTTTTTCTTGCGCCTTTTTCAACATCTTCACGAGAAAGGAGGGAATTCTTCTCATTCTATTCTTTGGATTTTTCCTCTTTACCTTAGTCTCTCTTTTCTTCTTGTAATCTTTCCGAAATTTGTCTTTTTTTCCATTTTCAAGAAAAAAAAAATTGCCTCAGAATTCATTGTGATAACAGTTGTGAAATAAATTCAAAGAAAAAACAAAAAGAAAAAGCAAAGAAAATATTTTCCCTACCAAAAGTTCCACGTAAAAAGTGCACTTAAAGCACTGAAAGAAACAGAACTGTAAAATTTAATCCTAAAAACCCATTCACTATATTCAGACTACATCGTGCTTTACTATTGAATGAGCCGCCATTGGTGTTTGACTGTGGATTCCAAGATGTAATGTCCAAATATGAGATTCGTGATGCGGCGCGTCAGTTGAAATATGCATTTTCAGAGAATCGATTGGATAGACGACCATTTGTGATGCATTTGTGTAACATGAACAAAGATTCAAAGCTTTGGCACGAGCTAGCAAAAGAAATGCTAAACATTGAAAAACTTCCGATCAAAGTCCATTCCGAAGACATAACGGAGGTTTTTCCCAGCAAAAATTTGGTTTATTTATCACCCGATGCCGAAGATGTTATCCAGGAATTTAATGAGGACAACACATATGTTGTGGGCGGTCTTGTTGATAAAGCCACCCGCACCCCAGTCACATTGGCCAAAGCAAAACGATTGAATATCCGTTCAATGCGATTGCCACTCGACAAACACATCAAATTTCATTCACACAAAACATTAACGCTCGATCAGATGATATTGATTATGCTGGAATTGAAGCGATCACAAGATTGGAAGAAAGCGCTGCAACGCGTACCAAAACGCAAAATTTTTGGATAGACAATTGTTACGTTATTTTGAACATTAAATAAAATCAAATGAATTTAAAACCAAATTAATAGTAAAAAATTGTGTTTTTTGGCGATTTTTGTTTCTTCTGAGGTTGAGCAAATGAAAATAGACTTTTTTTTATTCCAAACAATTTTTTTATGATTTAAAAAAAAAAATTCTCTGCATTTAGAAAAAAAATAATTTCTTTCTAATTTTCAAAAAAAAATTCTTTGAAGAAAATTTTTCTCTTTTTCTTTCAAACATTTTTCTTTTAGTTTTTATTCCTTTTTTCTTCTTCTTACAATACATGAACATCGATTAAATTTTTTGTGTCGAGTATGAAATACAAGCTGAAAAAAGTCGTTCCTTCAGTTGAACTCAATTTATCTGGCAAAACCATTGAATATTCCAAGTAAAAATGCACTAAATTACACCTTGGAAAACGCTAGACTTGAACTAATCACTATCTGAATGGCTGTGAATTTCTGCCTCTTCTTGGTCTGCCTTCAGCTTGGCCATGAGTTCTTTCGCTGGATTGAATACGCCATTTGTTTGAACGGAGCAAACGAAACATCGACTCGATTTTTTGTAGTGATTCAACGCGCACTTTTCGCAGAAGTAATGTTTGCACCTGGAAAAAAGGAAGTTTTGCATTAGAACTGAGTTTTTATCTTTTCGCTGTATCTTAACATCTAAACAAAAGACTAAAAGAAAGAAGAATATTCTTCCTAATAAAGAAATTTCTTAAAAAGATCTCAAAGAACATTCAAATTTAAAAAAATAATAACAAAAAAAAGAATGGCTCCCCATTTCTATACATTCAATAAAAATGTGCATTACACCCAATAAGTAAAAGGTATTTTCCCACTCAAAAACTCACTTGGTAACAATGGGATCGACGAAGCTCTCTCGACAAATGAAACACTTAAACGGTAGGTCTTCATCATCTGAATGGATTTCGTATTTTGAATCGTCACCATCGTCTGAATCGCAGCCACGTGATCCACTGCCATTATCCTGCTCCATTTGCCAGCCGTGTTTGTAGTCACTGCGATCGTGTAAAAATTTACAACTGTCACCAAATCCACAGAAGCCCGTCTCTTTGTAGTCCTTGCAAATATCTGGTTGGTAATCCCATCGAACGGTGGCACGCAAATGGGCCGGTGCTCGAATCGGTCCTTGCCGAACCATTCCGGAGCTGGCATTACCCAATACGGAATCCTTTTTCTTGTAGTATTGTGCATAATTATTCAGACCGCGGTAAATTTTATCGTCTGCTTTTCCCTCCAGTTCTTTGTTGATTTCAATTGCCTTCTGATGAATGGCCTGTGCATCACGATCGATCGCTGTGTCAAATTCAAAGGTTGCCGTCGCACCCTGATCCTTTGGCCCATCGATTGTACTCGTTCGCGTTGATTTATACGATACCGTCACCTTTTCAGTTTCATTCTCACTCTCGGACGATGATGATGAATTGGCCTGCTTTCGCTTTCGCATCAACTTTGCATTCGTCTGTTGAACATTCGGATTAGCCTTTTGCTTATGTATCTTTCCACGAACCACCGATGATTCTGGCTCACTTGCCGATCCTAGGTAGAAAAAAAGAGTGATTTATGTTATAGAATATAAACAACGACTTTGAAAGTACAGAGTTAACAAAGATTTGTCTTCGTTAAATTCAAGAACTTTTTCTTTGTTTGAGTTTCGACCAATTCACACTCACCCGACTCAGACGAACTGTGCTGTCGTTTTCGTGAACATTTTCCTTTGTTGGCCACTTTTTTAAACATGATTTTCTATTTGATTTGCTGGTGATTTCCCTTGTTATGCTTTGCAAACGTTTGCATTTGTACGACGAAAAATAATATTCAGATGTTTGACAGTTTGAACTGTCACAGTGGATTGGTCTGAAGTTTGAACGATTTGGTTATGGTTTTGTGTGCAGTTGAAATGGCGCGAAAATTTGATTTTTATTAAAATTGACTATAGCCTTCATGGCTTTACTTATAGCTTTTTCTGTCTATTTGAAATAATTGTTTATGTCACATTCTTTACTTACCTTTGAATTCAAATAATTCTGAAAAATGTATGTTTCCATCATTGTTTGGATTTAATGCGACTATAGGTAAAAATTTACTTTGACATTTTTGTTTCAGACTCATTTTACGTAGTTTTTATTATAAAAAATACGGAATATCTTTTTTCTATTACCAACCCGTATGATAATTTTTTGACTGTCTATCGGGATATTTTGACTGTCTAATGGCTATTAAACGTGATTATCTCCATATAAAATAGTTCATTTCAATCTCAACATAACCAGTTTTAGTTCTGTACCACTACAAACAGCTGCATAAAACTGAGTGACTGTTATTCCTTTCATTTCCATGCTGGGATTTATCGTGTGAAGTCCAGAATGAGTCATCGTCATCTACAATGAAATCTGAATATAAATCTGCAGCAGAGATTTCTGCTGCAACGGATAACGATTAATTGCACTGATTCATGATCAGTTTCCAAAGAATATATTGGGCTGAGTTGAATTTTTGTATGAACCAGATATTGGCCATATAGACACAAACAGTCCAACGGTTTGGTACGTCAGTTATTTATACTAGTTTTCATGATTAATTCACATAAATTTCCATTTGTTCAGTTTTTGATCCTATTTATTTTCTTTTCATCCAAAAATTATCCGATAGATCGCCCGATGAATATCGTCCAAAAACAATTCCCGGTAAATATTCATAGAACATACTTGTAATTTAAACTGCCATTTCGATAGGTTCCGTATATGATATGCCAACCGAAGTATCTTTCTGAATCGTAGAATCCAAATCCGTCCGACAAGAGCTTCTCATAGAAAGTCGTTTCGGCATCCCCTTCAATACAACCATCGTCACAATTGCATCCAAAAAAATTGCAGCTCCCTTGGCCACAATAATGACGCTCATCATGTTTGAAGCCATCTCCACAAAGTGGTATTTGACATATAATATCGCATGTTCCGGACTTAGTATTGCACATTTCACCGCCAACCATTGATGCAAAAACTCTCTTGCACAGCCTATCTACTTCTGGCTAAATGATGTAGACACAAGATTTTTTTCAAATACATGTCTTATTCTAATCGACTCATATATACATTGACCCACAACTAGCAAAAAAAAAATATAACTCGATTATGCTTGAAGAGAAAAATTATATTTATAACTTTTTTTTTACAGAAAAAATTTCACTTTTCTTCGGAATTTTGATAGCAAAATTCTCTGGATGAAAGTGAGATAGTTTTTTTTTTTTTCAAAAAAATCACCCAGATTTTTCTCTCACATAAATTTTATATGAATTCGATTATATTCGATATTATTAGTTTATTTTAATTGACAATTTACTTTACTTTATTACTATATGCTAGTTGCGGCGAAAATTTTCATAAATTTGCAATCCTCCTACCTGTATTCCTGGTTTGTATCTTATTCGAAAAATTAGGTTTGTATGATAGCAACACTCCGTGTAGATAAATGTTGGTAATGACAGAAATATCAAGTGCAAAACGAATCTCATGTTTGTTATTTAATGAACGCAAACTGAATGATGTGGCAATTTTGTGAATGGCCCTCTTTGTTATCATTGCGACAACGAGATTTTTTGGTTGGCGTTATTTCCGTTCATAACTTTTTTGTTTTGACATTTAATTCGCCAATTCACATATTCATAATTCATTCATGAATGTATTGGAATATTCGTAAAGTGGAAAATTCGGGGAAACCGTAATTGAAGATTTGAAGAGTTAACATTTTATTTAAATAAATATAAAAAGAATTCAAAATATTTTCTAATTTTAAAAATATATTTTCTCGTATTATTTATTTAGTCTCTAGTGCATTAGTCTTTCCCAGAGCTGGGTGTACTGGTTCTTGGTTGATTTTGAAAAAAAAATATTCGAGATGCTGGATTCCCCATGGTAAACCGAGGAAACTGCGATAGACATAAATTACAGAACAATCAAATCCATTGTAATAAGCAATATGATCCGAAGTACGGTTTACGTTATATAGGCGTTCAAATGATACCCATTTAAAAACGATCGTATGCACTAGACGGTCAAAATAAAATTGATTTAGGATGATATCACTTATTTCTGTTTTGGAGTCAAAAATATTCATCTTCACTTTTTATTCCCGTTTCTTTTTGAATTGACATTTGCTGTCTTTTTTCCATGCTTCAGTTGAAGAGTTTAGTTGTGAACTTTGAACCATAAAAGAAAACCCAAAGAAACTGAAATGTCAAAAAATCTCAATAAAAACACCATAAAAATTGGTATCAGTTTGTTTCTCTTGTTTTAGATTAGAACTTTATTTATAAATAATCATTTATTTAAATTTTATATCTAATGATCATTACACACTTAGTGTCCGAAAAAGCCGCTACGAACCGGTTATTTTTACAAGTTGGCCAAAATATGCTAGTTATTATTTTGTTTTGCTTTGCTTTTTCGTTTCGGGTTCTTTTTTTTTCCTAAATCGATTGAATCGCTTGGGGATCATGTTTTTTTTCTTGTTTTTTTTTTTCATTTTTGTTCAAAATTTGGTTTGAATGTCACAAAATGTTTCGATAAATGTATAAAAAAAAACCTTGGACTTGAATTAGAGATGTGATATTCAAAGATGTTGATTCGAAATGCTGTGAATGCGTTTTGTTTTGGAGTGTTTGGGCAATGTGTGATCGCACACATATTTCAACCATTGCGATAATAATTTATCATTATCCGTGTACATTTTATCAGTTATTGTGTGTGTCTGTTTTTTTTTCTCTCACATTTCCGGAAACTACAATCTGAACGAAAAAGGCATTTCGAAGTGGTATATACCCTTATGAATTTATTTAAATTTCGTTTTAATTTGAATGTTTTGTTAGAAATTTCGGTCGGCTCAAATCATTCTCTGTTTGTTTTTCTTTCCATTTGATTTTCTATAAAAAAAAAGCCTCGAGCAAATCGATTGCTTAGAGGAATTCACCAATTACTAGTAATTCCATGGAACTTTAGTACCTTTAACAATGGTTCAAAAAGATGTGCACAACTTTGTTTTTTTTATACAGTTTTGGTTTTTTTGTTTTATTACATTAAGAAAATGTCGATTTACACACGCGGCACAAAAACAACTCTCTCTCTCTCACACACATACACACACACAAAATCTGGAGAATTTTGGCAAATGTGTAAAAATTTCTGGTTTGCATAAGAAAAAAAATCAAATCAAATCAAAAACGGTCGGCGCGCGTTTTTGTTCATTTCCTTCTGGGTTCTGTTTTTGTTTGTATCTGAATGTAATAGATTTTCGGTACAATCTACTTTTGTTGTTTTGTTGGCCCATCGATTTGGTCATACGCATAGATTTCCGGGCCACGTTAGCAAAGAATATCAATAAAACCCGCGTGTGTGTGTGTGTATGTGTGTGTGTGTCACATCGTACATTCAACTGACACTCTATTCGTTCGCCGCAAACGAAAAAACAAACAAAAATTACATTAATCAATTATATTAGGGGGATTCGGGATTCACATTGTAAGCACAAATGAAGCTGTCGGTTGTCGCTAGATAAATCATGACGATATCGAACAAAAAAAAATTCGGGGAAACTATAAAATTAACAACAAATAAACAATATTCTGACTGGGAGGAGAATTTTTTTTTTTGGAGAAATGATAAAAAGAGAGAGAGAGAAAAGAAGATTTGTGAATGGCAACCGAATTACGTTTTAGCACAGTGAATCGGTGGTGGATTTGATCACGAATCGCGATTCAATTTACTACTGACCGATCCATTTCACTTTGAGTGCTCTTGTTTTTTGTTCACTGATTTTTGACAATTTTCCCATTTTCTCTCGGTGTGAATTTTGCGCGATGGATGAAGGATATTGTTTTTTTGCTGTTTTGTTCGAGTTCCTGGAGATTTGTTGTTGTTGTTGTTGTTCCTTCTTTCTTTTTTTTGTTGGTTTTTTTTTCTGGTTTAAATTTAGATATCGGTTATGTGATTTGCATTGGATGATGCATCAATGTCAACAGTCGATGCAATAGCCACGCTGGCAACGGCAGCGGCTGATGACATACTAGGCGACGATGTGGTCTCGGGTGACAGCATTTGTGCTTTTAATTGTCAATTGGTTTGAGGTACACTTTGATATCGCGGTTTATTTACCGTGAACGGGATATATTTATATTTGATCATATGCTGAAAATAGACAGAAAAGAATGAAGTGATTAGATTTGGGAACTGAGAGTAGATTGATTGGAAAAAGTTCGCAAGAAAAATAAAATCAGAATAAATTATGAAAAAATTATAAAAATAAAAGGCATTGATTCTACTGAGTTTGAAGTCATCAGGCAGGAAAAAAAACGAATTTATATCTAAAAAAATTGGCAATCTGCTTGAAGTAGCTCTGCACACCAATGTATTTAGAATATAATTCCATTCTTTAGAATATATCTTCAAACTAAATTCTAGATTTAATTAATTTTTGCCGAAAATTCAACGAAAAGGAAATCGCCGTCGACTCAATTTTCATTTCCATCTTACTTTACATTTTCATTATTTATTTTACATTTATGAATCATTTGTAAATCAAATAAAACATTTTTGTATTGAGCAGTCCAATTCGGGCAAACTCATTTTGCATCAATTCAATAAGATGGAAATACAAATCGATATAACAGCCCGTGTGGAAAATTGTTGACTGTCTGAGTCAGTCGATTAATTTGGGACATTCAGTGACTATTTGACTGACTAGCAGCAATTGTCTCGAAAAAAATAAGCAACTGCAGTTAACTTTAATCACAAATCACTCTTAAAATGTCAAAATGTCCCAAATTAGTCGACTGACTGACTGAAAGAATAACTAAACGTGATTGTCTCCATACAAAACGCATGATTTCAATCAACTTAGCCAGTTTTAGTTGTGTATCACTACATACAACTGACTGACTGTTATGTTAGTCATTTTATTTGCACACGGGAGCATTCGGACAAAATCCGAATCAATATACAAAACATTGAATGGAACTTTGTGTGAGATTCGGACACTCACCTTGATTTGCCGCTTCATTGTTATGCAGAATAGCGTAATAAAGTACATAACGAGGATGGGCCAAAATACAGGAATGTTGAACACTTCGAAAAATGTACAGATAGTACCGATGACGGTGCTCTTTGAAATTGCGTACCAAAATTTAAATTCAGGCAATCGCCGAATAAACGGCCGAAACTCTTGATTTGATCGTGTTGGCAATTCGGGTCCTTGATCATCTGCAATTTTAATGACATAAACATTAGATATAGAGTCACGCATTTGGTCAGTTTTATCAAGACTTTAAAATATTCTTAAGTTTAAAATTATGATTATAAGAATATCATTTTTACATTTTTTCTGTATAAATGAATAAATTTTCAATCAATAGATTCGAGGACTATTTTGTGACAAAATTTGGAAAATTATTCAAGTCATAAAAAATTCAATTTTCGCAGTATTCCAACATGAACAGTTTTCGGAGAGTAGAGTAATTCTGCGAGTAACCGAGTATTTCATATTTAGTAGCAGAAAGTATTTTCCACTAAAAGAAATTAATTGGAAAAATGCAGACGAAAGGTATCCAAACCATAAAAAGGGATCAAAATTTTTTGATCAACAAATGGATATTCAAAAGAAAAATGGGACAAAATCGGAAAAATAAAATCTTTGAAAAAATTTATAAAAAATAAAATATTTTAAAATAAAAACCTACAAATTAAAAGGGTTAAACAGTTGGAAAAAGTAGAAATGAACGGATTGAAAATAGGTTAGAAAAATAAATAAATCCGAAACATTCGATTACTTTCACTGCCTGTAATGTCACAAATGGTGAACATGTGTTCACGGACACAATGAATTCCGTGGAATTTCACATGAAAAGTTAATGAGCTGTCACGAAAAAAATAGTGGTTAAATCAAAATTCCTAATAACAACGATGGCAGCACATGTAAAAATGGCTGGGATTAACACAATTCCTATCATATTGACATGGTTTGAATCGCGACGGCGGAGAATGGATATATAAAACGAAGAAAAATGAAAATCAATGAATGAAACTCAATACTCACCATCCAGATCAAGTGCTGGATCGATCTTTGGCGTAAGAAATGCTATGAACAAATTTAAATGATATATGCCCAATGCATAGCACACAATATACCATCCTTGGCATAGGAATACACGTAACAAAAATAAACATACTAGACCGCCGGCAGCAGCCCATCGTACTCTAGTATGTGGTGTCCATTTATCTAGTAGTCCTTGGTAAATCTGTATTGCGATGAAACCAGAAAAGAAAACAAAACAAAAATGAAAAAAAAAATTGTCACACGTTGTCTACTTTTTTTTCTAGTGTTGGCTAATTAAATTTTGGGGGTGCAAAAAAAAAATAGAGCGAAAAAGAGACAGAGTGTGTTCTCTCACAAATGGGTGCGTACACTATGTTGATTGTGTATTGGAATACGCTCAACACTCTCGAGATTAATAAAAGCAAGAAAAGAAAGACAGTTGAGTGTCAATCATTCGGAGAGAGACGGGCCGTGCACAATGCATATGGCACCTGTCGTCGGTCATCGGATTTATCGAACAAGAAACGGAAAAACTATGTCATCAGTTTTAAATGGATTCACACATCTATTATTATGAATTAATGAATCGAACGAACCTGTGATAAACGTTGAAAAAACACTGAAATCGGATTACGTGATGGTGTCGTTGACTCTTCGTTCATCATTTTTGCTATTTGATTGTGTTTATTTTCGGTTTTCTGTATATTTCGGTTCTGAATTTATGATTTGTGGGGTTTTTTCTTGTTGCACACGAGCTGGGGGGACACAAAGCCAGTATCGTAAAGGAGTTAATTAGCTTTTAATGTGGTCTCTCTCTCTCTCTCTCTCACTTGTCACATAGTCACTAATTCACTTCGAAGTCATTTAATGTTGTTGCAAAGCGTATATGGTTGTGTTGGTGATGTGCCGGATCTAGTTGTCGTCGTCGTCGACGTTTTGTCTCGACTTGCAAAAACTGATGTGTGTTGATGGTTTTCCAAAATTCTATAACTGCAGAAATTATGGAAAAGAATCGAGAAAAAAAAACAAAAGCAAAAATTTTATAAATCACGATTGTATATTTTTATGTCTTTGCTTAAGATGTCACACGATTCCCATACACGCACAACATTTCAAATACACTAAATATTCATACTAGTAATATCTTATTTCCGAACATCCATTTTTCATTAGGTTCTGTTTTTTTTTCTTCTCTCGTTACATTGTCACCACATTTTTTCCACACGGACTTATCAGCCCGATCTGAAGTCCAGTAGCCACGACGTGAAATGATCGAAGAATGATACCAAATTCGGCTGACCAATATCAACGACGAAATGTCATTGATAAAATCGGTGGTTTTGGAATATTGGCGTTGATACCCCAAAAACTATAACTCAATACTCACTTTCATTCGAGAATCGCGTGCACTTGAACACCACTTTGATAAGAAAGGCGCGCGCGACTGGGGCCGACACGAAAAATTTCACAATTGAAAGCACTTAGCAAAAAAAGAAGAAGAAATAGAACAACCGACACACAACAATTTAATTTCAAATTCGATATTGCTTCGTGATTATTTTATTCCCTGTTCAATTTATTTCTGTTCAGTTGTCGTCGTTGTCGTCGGCCGGTTTTGTTTTGTCACCACAAAATTTCGACCCCGAAAACACACACGGCGCCTTTTCCAAATGAAACCTTAACCAATGAAAGAATAAAAATTATGATGTAAACACTCGATTCCAAAATGAATTTACTTCATTTTTCACACATCTATCGATAGATCGCGTGAAATTAAACGAAAGAGAAAAAAAGAATAGATGAAATTAAATTCCGAGCAAAAAATTGATCGATGACGACAAAAATTTTTTTTATGGGAATGAACCACTACGAGAAAAGTCAATAGAATGAAGGAAAAGCACCACGTCAAAAACAATATACATTTATACTACAGAGTTTTAAATTGACAAATGGAGATTCTTGCCTTTTACACACGCATACATTGACATACGATTACACACATACTCTGTGGGATACACTCAATCACATCATCCTCACACGATACGACACGACAACTCACATCAGACAGCACATTTTTTGACACATACTCGCAGCTCCATATTTTTTTTTCTTCTTTCACCTCTTCTATCCAATTTGACAGTGTATTGACGGTTTTGACTGAAATACGACAGATAGCGCGCACATTCATTGCCTTTTTATTTTGATTAGATAAAAACACGCACTTTTGAACACTCATAGTTTTGACGGGATTGGGTTTAATTTATTTTTTTTATTGTTGTTTTTCTGCGGTCAGGATAAGCAACTACTTCAATTGATTTCGTTAAAGAAGAAAAAAAAATCAAATAAAGGCAAAAATACGTGAACTTTCTCTTTGAACAAGTGTTTTTTGTTTGAAAAAACCAATTTTCGGCTTAAAAAAGTTTCCATCAAAAAGCTGATTGTATCGCTGCTACAAAAAGATGTCAGACATTCCAGAAAATGCGGCTGAACATTGCCCGGGGACGCAGAGTAATGATGCGGGCAAGGCATCAGCGTGTGCTGGTTGCCCCAATCAGAATTTGTGTGCAAGCGGAGCGACACAAGGACCTGATCCAGCCATTGAACTGGTGAAAGAACGATTGGCCGAGGTGAAAAACAAATTGCTTGTTCTGTCGGGAAAGGGTGGTGTCGGCAAAAGTACGGTCACATCGATGTTGGCCCGTGCCATGGCACTGCGATATCCAGAGAAAAACTTTGCCGTTTTAGATATTGACATTTGTGGACCGTCACAGCCGCGAATGTTTGGCGTTTTGAATGAACAAATCCATCAGTCTGGTTCCGGTTGGTCGCCGGTGTTTATCGATGAAAATCTGTCATTGATGTCGATTGGCTTTTTGCTGGGCAGTCAAGATGAAGCCATTATTTGGAGAGGACCCAAGAAAAATGGAATGGTGAGGCAAAAGTCGAGACAATTTAATAAAATCCTTTGGTATCAATGGAACAAGTGTTTTTGAGATACCAAACGATTTCATTGATAGAAATAAAGTAAAAAAAATATAGTCGATTTCTATTTAGATCAAGAGTTCAATTATTGGAAGAAAATCTTAAGTTCAAGTGAACCATTTTTACTCATTTAATCCACAGATTCGTCAATTTCTGAGTGAAGTCGACTGGGGTAAATTGGACTGTTTAATCGTCGATACACCACCCGGCACATCCGATGAACACTTGGCCGCTGTTAACTACCTCAGTCAAACCGGTAACTGGGGTGCTGTTGTTGTGACCACACCACAGGAAATATCATTGCTGGACGTTCGAAAGGAGATAAATTTTTGTAAAAAAGTTAAAATGCCCATCGTGGGTGTCATCGAAAATATGAAAGGTTTTGTCTGTCCGAAATGCACAGCCAAATCGGACATTTTCCCAGCGACAACTGGTGGAGCAGCTGGAATGTGCAAAGAAATGAATGTGAATATGCTGGCCGAATTGCCACTCGATCCACAAATTTCGCGGGCCTGTGATCAAGGAACAAATTTCATTGAAGAATTTGCCAAATCGGACGCCACCAAAGCCTTAAACCAAGCCGTTGACGGAATTATGAACTTTTTCCAGGAATAATACGTCTTGTCATGAATTACTCATAGAACAGTCGAAGACAGTTTTTTTTAGGTGTTCGATTTTTTCGACAAATAATTTCACTTTTCAAGAATTTATTTTTGTTTCTGTAATTAGATTTAACTTTTGGTTAATGTCGAAAGACATGTAAATAAAAACATATAAATTTCGTTTGTATGAAAATATCGTCTAATTTATTATTATTGACTTAAAACTCTAAGACTCGGCCGCTACTTCACACGCTTCGCTTTTGCTTGGTGGCGGTTCAAGTGTGCTGTCGGGCAGAGTTGTGCCATTAAATTTGTGACATTGCGCCCATGGGTCTTCGAGCATACTTTGATGGACATATTGCTGAATTGGTGCATCTTTGAAATTATGGCCACCGCCGCCACCTCCACCTCGGTGATTATGGCCACCGAATTTCTGCAATGAAACAATTAAATTAGTATCAAATGAAACATTCAACAAATCAATATCAAACACCAAATCGATTCATTTTCAAATTAATCGAACATTTTCATCGAAATTGAACATATGCACCCAGAATTCAGGAGCTACATGAAATGCCGATGACATTATTCAGAGACCAAAAACCGAGAAAAAAAGTCCAAGAACATCCTGAATAAAGTCAATAAAAACCAAAAAAAAAAAAAAAATAAATTGTCGATCCATCCTCTTACTCACTTTGAACTGATTAAAATTGCGTTGATTCTGATACTGGTTCATGTGGTTGGGTCGACCGCGAAATCCTCTGTCGAATCTCTGTTGATAGCCACCGACTGGGCTGCTAAAATCAGCTGGTGAAAATCCGGCATCGCCATCGTTTCTCGGGCCGCCCATAAATTGATCGCGTCGAAAATTGTGATTTCTCTGGTTGCGATTTCGATTGTACGGACGATACTGAAAGTTGTTTCGCACATTTTGACCATCCTCATTGTTTCTATTCGAATTGAATGAGAGAAAATCAGAATTTTCGCTTGTACTCTGTGATTCGGAACTCATTTTGTTTTAAAATTCACTTTAATGTTTAGCAAAATGTTCAACTTGAACTTCAGTTTTGTTTTTATTTGCTCGCCGAAGTGACACTTTAGAATCGGTTTGTCAGAGTGTCGACTGTCATGCGCTCTCGTGCTTCGAATTACCATTATTAGCCACTACATGTTGCCATTACTTTTCTATAGATGGCGATAGTGAGTCTGCAACATTCACATCGATTTGAAATAATTTAATCGATTAAATTGCCTTAACATATGATACTCAAGCAAATGCGATGCGCTTTCATTTTTAGAATAAGCTTCAATCCGTTTTGTGCGTGCACGACATCGATTATGATTAATTTGAGAGCTCAAACGATTAATTTAAGAATCATTAGACAAGATATTTTGAAGGTGAAAAGAAAACAATTTCGGATGTTTTCACATATTTGGAGAAAATTTGCCTAAAGCGAAGGAAATTTTGAAGGAAAAAATACGAAAGAAACAAATGCGAATGAACCGAAATTTCGAATTTAAAAGAAAGAACTGCAACTGAAACTGACATTTGTAAGTAATTTAAGACGTGGTTGCGAAGAAATTCAGAAGGTTATTTTTCTTTTCAAGCGATTTGTTCATTGTCATTCCAGAGATTTTGTCTAAATAGCAACGATAATAATCGGTCGAAAGAAAATGTAATTACTTGGGTCGGGCTGAATAGCGCGTGTTTTTCACTTAAACGGTCACCAACACAATGCTCGTTCGTAGCGTACTTGCCGTATTCAACTGTTTGTTGTCTATTGTCGACCTTATTGAATCATCAGTCTGATGTGGATTGAACTTGTCGAGTGATTATCAACAAATAATTATACGACTGATTCAAAAGAATGATTAAGAATTCAGTTCCTGGGATGTCTGTATAACAGAAATCACTTGATTGCAAAGGAAATGAACGGAAATTTCTTCTAGGCCCCTCGTAATCGATACAATAGAATCAAAAATACTGAATACGAAACTAAACGGTGTAGGAGTAGTAAACAATAGATTCGTAGCATATTGTTTTATTCATTGAATAGTTAAAGTGTAAACCTTAGACGTTGCTCAAGCCAGGCAACAGAAAAAAAAGTCGATGGGAAACACAGATACGATTATATTTATTCAAATTCTTAATCAGCTTCAAATAATTTATCAAAACGATTAGCATCGAAATGCAAACAACTTTTAACACGCTTTTACAGCTATTTACTAACTAATTCGAACCATTCAACAAAGCCTGAAATATTCATTGCGAATTATTCACTATTTTTATACTGTTTTGGGATTGTCGATGACAATTTTATGTGAAAATTGGAAATCGATGCGGATTTTAAGGCGGATCGATACCAAAATTGAGTAATAAATTAAGAAAAATGCGGAAAAAAGGTGAGAAAAAATGTTTAACGAGAAAAAATAAACGGAGAAAAAGAAGTACAAAGGTCATTTAAGGGATCAAAAAAAAAACCTTGAAAAAGGGAAAGAATCATAAATAAATGAACAGAGGCTGCATATTTGCTGCTCAGCAGGCCTGAGCTGAGCTGAATTTGCTAACTCAGGCGCCTGAATCGGTATTTTAACGCAATTACGGTGCAAAATTGTCATTGGCAATGGCAATGACTCATTGCTAGCTGGCACCCACCTTATAATAATTGATAAGCAACGTGGGTGCCAGCTAGAAAAGACAATTTTGCACCGTAAGTGCGCTAAAATACCGATTCAGGCGCCTGAGTTAGCAAATTTGGCACAGCTCAGGCCTTCTTAGCAGCAAATATGCAGCCTCTGTAAATGAATGAATGATGATATTGTATTCAGAGACTGATGAACGTAGGAATAGAGGTAGACCTCGTAGACGTTATATAAACTCAACTCTGTTGTTGTTATGATGATATTGGAATTAGAAAAAAAATTCATTTTCAAATGAAACGTCGAAGGAAAATTCCAAATTCAGGAGCATTTCAGCTTTTTTCCCAAAACAAACTTGGTTTGGAATAGAAATAAAATTGTTTCAAACGATTCGTTTGAATGCTTGAAAATTGAGTTGAGAGCATACGGTATGCTGCAGTGCATACCCAAGAAAAGATTTGAAAATTGAGGCAACTCCGAAGGCGAGTTTGGAAAAAATAACAAATCCAGCCCACACTTATGGCATTTTTTATGCATTTTACCGAATTCCCAATTTTTTCTCTTCAAAAACTAAGGCAGTTGGGATTGATTTTAAGGCGTTTCTCCATTTTATAATTCGAATGGCAATCATTTACTAATAAAATTAGAAAATTTTGATCAGTTTTGACAAAATTTGAGAATATCGTTGATTATTATAAGTAAAACCATCATAAAATCTCTTTGTAATAAGCTTCTCATTCTTCGTGATCGTCGCAAAGCATAAATCGAAGAAGCGCCCAGCAATGCGGGCGCCTTCCCGCTAGTACAATTACAAAATTACACGATTCTATTCATCATTCTCAAGGTCATTCGCGTAAAGTGACAAGCACAATTTTTCAGAATTAGATTCGTTAGTTGGCTGAGATTCACCAGCAAGTTATACTGTTGAAATAGAATCAGCATCACAATTGTTGTGCGTATAGGTACGACATGCAGGCATAACTGGTGATCGTAACCAACACTTTAATTATTATATTATTTATGAAATAATATTCTTGTGCTCGGACGTGTTTTTTTTCTTCTAATTTTTAATGTAAAATTTTTGTTAAAGCTATTGTAAGTTTCACGAGTACGGTTGTGAGTCATCATCCCCATGTTTTCTTAATATGATCAGCTGCCTTTTCGGCAATCATAACAGTTGGAGCAGTTGTGTGTCCCGTAGTAATGGATGGAAAACTAAAAAATCGAAATGAAACAATGATTCAAAGCAGAAAAGAAATGAGACATCTATATATTAATCTACAAATGCAAAGTTGGTGGTACACTTTTGACCAACTTATGCTCAACCGATTTGGATGACATAGGTACCATTCGAAAGGTCTCCGAGCGTAGATGTGCACAAAGCCATAAAACACTCACTTTTGACATTTGAGACATGAGTTATGGCCGTTTGAGTGATGATGAGTTTTCCCCATATAAAATGTATGGGAGTTCACTCAAACGGCCATAACTCCGGTTGTATGTGTCGTATGTGAGTGTTTTTTGGCTTTAATCGCATCTACGCGTGATTATCTTTCGAATGGTACTTATGCCGTTCAAATCGGTTGAATGGAAGTTGCTCATTTTGTGAAAAAATAATGAAATGATCGTTCTACGCATACAGCACAAGTCAAGTGCTGTTTGAGCTGTACTGTATGTATGAACGGTGCGGCCGTGTGGGAAAGTCTTTTGCGTGTTGTTCTGAGGGTCTGGGGTTCGATTTATTATGTGGTCAAAAACTTTTTTTTCTTTTATTTTTAATTTTTTATGTTTATTTTGAAAAAGTATTGCTATTTTGTGTATATTTTCATGTTAAATTTTTTTTTCATTATTTGAAATGGTTTAATTGTGTTTTTTTTATTTTGAAAATGAAATTCAATAGAATCTATGTTTTTGCGGTTGTATACGCTGAAATGATTGATTCTTTTGTAATTTTGTTGAAGAAAAATTTTTTGTGGTGTTTTTCTATGAAAAAAAATTAAATTTTGTTATTATTTAATAAAACAAATGGAAAAAAAGCAAAAAAATAACTTCCACCCGCCACTCCCCAAGCTGTGTTCCGAACCTCAAACCTTTTAATTTCAACGTATGCGTTATCCATACGGCCACACTGCCGTTATATATTCGTGGGTCCAAATGGTATTTGATTTAGCTTATAGAATGAATGCGGTAGCATAGCAGAACAGCATTACACAGTAGACATGTCTGTACATGTTTATTTGTTCGGCTGTTCGTTTTGCTGTTGTGTGGTTGTGCTGTGATGTAGAAAAGAAAACAAATCCACATAGTTTCGATAACTTCCACATCTTCACAGTTTCAAACATCTTCGAAAATCTTCACAGTTTTTACGTGAGAAATTCCCCTAGGGAGATAGAACAAAGCTAAACTTAAAACCACAACAAATACATGCTTCTTATTGAGCCGTAAATAGAGATACAGTGTGTAAAAGAATGAGAAAATTATGGAATTGAATGGAAATACTGTATGTGTTTTGTCTGGGAAATGGAATGATTTTTTTTTATTGAAATAATAAGAATTATAATTTCACTTTTTGTGATGTTCCATTTTGAAATATTAATGAGCGACTATGGGAGCCAAAAGTCGATGATGTGATCCAAATCACCCAATACACATTGTAGAAATTCCACCATTTCTCTTCTTGACAGTCGTGTAACGTAGGTTCTTTCTGCTGCAATTGTGATAGCAGCAACGTGGCAAGGAACCCTCATTTGCTCTGTCAGCGCAAGCACTTCCAATTCATTTTGTTGTTGTGTCAACAGTGGTGCAACACGGACCGTGAATTTGAGAAATATGATTCGTTTTTCCATTTCATCGATCAGTTTGCGTTCATCACTCTCCCATTTGTCCATGTCTGTGATTGAAAATACGTAGCTGGTGAATCGAGTGGAAACACCGCATTTCTTTGACACAATTCCAATCGGTCGTTGCATCGTGCCTAACAAGTGAATAAAACACGTGATACGAACAACGAAAAAAATGACTTCATATTTTTCGATTTGTTGAAGGAAATTTTAATTTGTTTCCATACTCACTGAATAATTTCACCATTTATTTTCTGAAATTTTCGCTGTGAAATTCGCAATATTCTTTCGTTGTTTGTTTTCGTTTTTTGTTCATTTGCTCTTGACAGCAGTGATATATACAATGTTTCAGTTCGGTCGCTGAAATGTACAGCATATAAACTGTTGAGACAGTCGAATGAGAGAGAGTATTGAGAAAGAGTTCGATTTGTGTGCACTGCAATGAATAACGTTTTTTGCTCCTCTTTGTGTGCGTGCGCAGATATACAGACTAAACAGAGAGACAATGTTTTGAGCTGCACACGAATGTTCTCTGTGACACACTGTGACACATTCGTAAACACTATGAATCACAAAGAGAAGCATCCATCTCCGACATTTTTTTCATTTCGCATTTTCTACATCGCTATCGTTTCTATTTATTGTGTGACGTCAGTGTTTCACACAAAGTCATTTCTATTCCTGTGAATTGCACGGCATTTTATAGCATATGTATGAAAGGAATGGATGAATTTTTTACTTTCCTTTGTGTGCGTGCACAGATATACATGATTGAAAGAGTCGAATGTTTTGTGTGGAGGGAAAGAGAAATTGGCGAAACTATTAATAATTAATTATATAAAATATTAATAGTAATTTTTTTGTTTGTGTGGTCAAATTTTGACCACGGGCGAGCCTAGTAATTAATTAAACTTACACACTGGAATCAACAATTCGGAGACGATCAATACCCTTGACGCGGAGTTCTGGATCAACGACAGCGGTTGCATCGTTTGCCGCTCCCATTTTACAAGTGCCAACATGATGGTAACCTAAGCCAATGATAATAATGGTTGTAAATCAAGCAAAGAGCAGGAATATATTTTTGAAGTGTCATGCATACCAGCCGCTGCCAATTGTTGGATATAGCATTGCCAATAATCATCTGTGTTGTATTCGTATTTACTATCGCATGCTAGCAATGGGATTCGAACTGGTTTTGCTCCATACTTCTGGAAAGCTTTAGTTTGAGAGTAAGCATGTTGGTCTTTAACAGCCTTTGCAAAATTGATAAGATCATTTTGTTTGTCAAAGTAATTGGGATCGATGATTGGATGGTTGTATGGATTGGTTCCATTCAATTTGATTGTTCCATGTGATTCTGGTTGTAAGTAGAAGATAAATGTGGCAAGAATGTCGTGTTCAATATTCGCATCGAAAACTGCTTGAAATGCACTTGCATTCAAGCTTACAACATGAATAAAGCCGGCTAGATCGGAAGTATTTTTAGCGAAAGTAATGTAAATATTCTCATGGTTTGGATATTGAACCGTTGGTTCTGTGTTCAAAAACGAAGCTATTCCAAGTTGATTGGCATACGGCCCACGTTTATGAATGGCCAATTGATAAGTATAATCGAGAGCATCGGTAGCTGATGCTTCGTCGGCAACACCATCGGCTTGGGTAAAAACTAGAACACACACATGATCTTGAAGATTTTTACCAACTGGTAGATTTTGTTTAACAGGAATATTGTGTGCATTCAATTCTTCAGCCGGTCCGACGCCAGATAGCATCAGCAACTTTGGGCTCTGAAAGGAAAATGAGAAGAAATGAATGAAACCGAACATTGAAATAATTGTTCTAAAATCTAAGCTTGGCTTTTTTATGAATAATCTACTCACTTCAATTACACCGGCTGATAGAATCACCTCCTTGGATGCAGTTGCTGTATATGATTTTCCATTGTAATCGATATTAACTCCAGTCGCTGTATTTGCTGGATCGATCAAAATCTTCGTAACATATGACTCCTTCATGACAAAAAGATTTGAACGATTTTGTACCGGATTGATGAAGGCTGTGGCTGAGCTTTCACGTCGTCCATTTGCTGCCATGAATTGCAGACTAGTAATTCCCAACTCGTTTGCACCATTTGGATCTTCATTGATGGGCACACCTCGTTCAATCGCCGCATCGATGAACAGTTGATATGCAGATGTTACATTTCCCAAGAAGCTCACTTGCATCGGACCTGAGCCGCTGTGGTATTGCGATGAATTACCTTGTAAAAATGGTTCATGCAAATTGTGTTCCGACTTTTTGAAGTATTTCAATACGCTGTCATAATCCCAACCAACACAACCGTTGGCTGCCCATTTATTGTAGTTATCACGGTCACCGCGCGAATAATACCTTTTACAATAGAACACATTTAATACATTAACAAACCAAATTAATTACAAAATCCATACATTCCATTCATGCTAGTAGTTCCACCCAACATTTTACCACGGGAAATTGGACACAAGCCTGAGTTGCTTAGACAAGCACGCGTCGCGTACGATGAATACAGATAATCGACCTGCGAATGTGACAAAGAACCAAAAAGACCAGGTACCTTTTGATCGGAATGGATTAATTAATTTTGGAACATACAAAATGACAAAAGTGCTCACATCCGATTCAAGGGGTGGATTTCCGCCAGCTTCAATTAGCAACACTTTATAATTTGGATTTTCACTCAATCGACCAGCAACCACGGAGCCACCAGCACCAGAGCCGACAATAATGAAGTCAAAATTCAGAGCGTCTATATTTCGATAGAAAGAAAAAGTTTATTACACCGACATTTCATGAAAATTCATCATTTTACCGCCGTCAAATGTCGGAGATTTTGCATAATTTTTGGGAAATTTATCATGGTCTGAATAAATGGCACATTGAGCGGCTAAAATTGTGCGGACCAATGAAGCAAACAATGAATCGGCAGCACCAACACTATTGGTTACACAGTGTAATCCTTCACATGCACTCATTTTTTTGGTATTTTATTTGTATCAATCACAAAATTGTTTCCAATAGAACAAAATCTGTGGAAGAATCGAAAAAAAAATAAAAAATCATTTTGATAAAGAAAATTAGACTTGATTGCACTTTTTGTGTGTAAATAAATATTTGTGTTTCAATATGTTCATTGTTCAATCAGTATCAATAAACGGAAATTATTTATTGCGCATATGTCTATAGATTTACAGGCATTAACATACCAATGTTATTAATTATTAACATATTATCAACGGGGCGTTAATAACTCAAACATAACATATTATAAAATTAATAAGATTCTACGATATTATTAACATATTATCTTATTATTAATAAGATCGCCATTTTATTAAAAAGTTAATAATAAGATGGATCATTAATAAGATAATCTTATTAAAATATTAATAGGTTCCAGTTATTAAAAAAATAATAACGATATTATTAAAATACTAATAAGAAAATCGGATTTTATTAGCCATCACCTACTAACTCTTTTTTTCTTCTCTTCTAATAACCTTAAAATGTAACAAGAATTTGATAAAAACTGTATAATGAATATAATGAAGAAAAAGCCAATTGCAATCGACAAAAAAACAACAAATTTTTGGTCCTAAAAATGTACATATATGGACTGGTTAATTATTTATATACCATAATATGTAATGATTAAAGAAATAAATCTTTATATTGTTCCGTGTATAGTGTGGTCATAAATTGTAAAGTCATTTAAATTAGTAAATCTCAATCATTGTACAATATGTAAGCATGAAGAAACCAAATAAATAATAATAAAAATAATTAACGAATTTTTTTCGGTCCGAATGTTGATTTTTTCTTTACAAATTTTTTGAAAGTTTCATACTAAAAATATGTCAAATATTGTCAGATGCATTTTTCTTCAAGATTTCGTCGTCTGACGATATTTGATATGTTTTTAGTATGAAACTTTAGAAAAATTTGTGAAGAAAAAATCAACATTTGGACCGAAAAAAATTCGTTAATAAAATCCGATTTTCTTATTAATATTTTAATAAGATTATCTTATTAACTTTTTAATAAAATGACGATGTTATTAATAATAAGATAATATGTTAATAATATCGTAGAATCTTATTAATCTAATAATATGTTATGTTTGAGTTATTAGAAATTTTCCGATATTTTGGTTATTAACATATTAATAACATATCGAAAATGTAAAACTATACATATGCCTATTTGTCTTCTCAAAACTAACCGTTATTTAAAGAATAAAAATCCGGCAATCTCTCCTAAGTTGATAGACGGAATGACGATTGTACAAGAGAATCAGTTCCCTATAAAGCTAAAAATTAAAATTCATTGTTCGGAAAGCGTTTAACCCATTTTGGACCGCGATCCTTATTTTGTTTTCAAAATGATTCAAACTTTCAGATATGAATAATATAGTCGAAAAAAGAAGTTTCCACTTTCCAGATCGATAATTTTTTTTCGCACTTAGCCAGAATGAGCAAAAATGTGCTGGTCGTTTTTCCGACCAACGGTCCCTAATGTAATCAAATGTAGGTGAAATTTTGAATTTTTTTAATCCTCAAGAAAGAATGAAAATACATTCATAGAATTAATTTTTACCACGAGGTCGATATGGAGAATGATGACATTGACGATCCTGATTATGAACCTGATGGACTGGTAAATGACGCAGTCAAAAGTCATCTCATTGAACGGTCACCAGATGGAAAAAGTCGTCGATGCAAGCACTGCCACAAACACACAAACCAGATTTGCAAACGTTGCAACATTCACCTACACGCAAAGTGTTTCACACTCTACGAGGCCCACAAATGAATGGAATAATTTATGATGAATTCATTTTTCACTTAATATTAAGTTGAAATAGACATTTCTATTTATTTTTTATCGTTTTATGACTAAACAAATGATTGTCATATCAAATATCAATGTTTTAAAAAGTATCTAAAAAAAATTGATTTCTTCCTCTTTTGATCACATATAGGACCAATGGTCGGATTTCCGACCACCCACGTGCGTAAGCACGTGTACTGCACACAAATCACGAAGTAAATATCGGAAGAGGAATTGTATCTAAAAATATGGTCTTTTTATGAAAGATCTGCATCATTACTTTTGCATTTTTTATTTTCCAAATTTTCTTATCTACTGAGTGAAAAAAGGTCCAAAAAACATCATTTTTTCGTAGCTCGATTTGAAAAACTTGGATTTTTTTTTCCATTTTATTTTGACTCCCAATGGATAGTTCGTCTTTCAAACTTCAATTTAAAAAAAAAAGTAACCAAATTTACCACCTAGGAACTGAGATATCAGTCTGGGAAGCAACGGTCGTTTCACTGGTCGGAAAAACGACCAGCGGGCCAAAATGGGTTAAGCATTTAAAAACGATTTTATAGGCGGAGAGTCTGACACATATTTTGCGACACGTAATATTTGTTCAAATAGACATATAGTTGGAAGACAACTAAAATTACACATTTATTTGAAATGGATTAACTTCTATTCATCACTGTCAAGGTCATTCGCGTAAAGTGACAAGCACAATTTGTCTATCCGAATTGTGTAGATTCGTTGGGTTGAGATTCACCAGCAAGTTATACAATGAGAATAGAATCAGCATCACAATTGAATCATTGCGACAAACAAATTCCCTCAGAATATTTTAGTTTTAAAGTGCATCATAAAGTTTTTTTCATATGGAGTTGTTGTTGTGAACTCTATATGTGAAAAAAAAATCATGTTGCACTTCGAAACTAAAAGGTTCAATTGTTGTGGGTATAGGCACGACATGCAGGCATGATTGTAAAATAGGTACTACCAATAATTATTTTATTATTATTAATAGTTGGTTATTAATAATATTTCAGAAACTAGCTGTTGAGAAATGAGTTCTTGCTGCGGCTGCTTTAGAAAGTTCGACGAAAAACCAACACTCCTATTCAATTTGAATTTGACAACTGATATTGAGTGGAAACACCATCTGGATAAACTAAGGCTAATGATAAAACAATCAAGTAAACTCTCCATTACAAAGACATAGTGAATTCGCATTCGCTTATGTTGGGGGCGCCACCATCGCTCGAGTTCCAAACAAATACATAGAGTTATATAGAACGAATTCCACGCTTTGACGTAAAGGTGTCTCTTACTACGTCTAGCAAAGAAAAACAGAAATATCTGAACGACATATTGTGACATTTACTTTTGTTTTGCTAAGCAAATAGTCAAACTGTTCGTCTCCGGATTTGCCAATTGCGCAGAAGCAATTACTATCACAAAAGTGACAAATTTCGGATCTGAAAAGCCTATTTCCATGTAAAATTGTCCGCTGAACATTTTTGTAGAATTGATCATATGCGTAAGACGATCAGAAATGGGAGTAAATGGCATGCAAAGTAACTTTGACAATAAGCTGAACACTGAAAACGCCGAATTGGTGACCGGTCATATTTTCCCCGGTCATAACTTCTCCCATACAAAGTGAATGGAGAATTTATGGCCAAAATATGGGGAAAAATAATTCCATTTCAGATTTGGACATAACTCCCCCATCAGAAAAAATTTGGTTTGTGAAAATATGTCCAAAAATGAAAAGAAATTATGTCCAAATGCGTATGGACATAATACGACCATCTAGCCCTTTGACATAAAAATCCTCGTTATTTTTATTTAAAATCTATCAATTTTAATTCATTTTCATGATACACCTCGGTAGAGAACGAACCGACCGGAATTTTGGAAATCGGAAAATTGATTTGAACTTTTGTGATAGACATCGGAAAATTGATTTATTAAATTGAAATTTCGACGTCCAGTATTCTTCTGTGCATTTAGCGCCATCACTTTCGTGGGCCTCGACTCATGGACAAATTTGTTTCAATATTTTTTTGATGACCGCTCCTAAAAGAACTCACCAATTGTTGCACTTCAATATTCAAATTTTTTTTTGAAGGTGGCCGAATACTTTTTTGACTGACTGTAGAAATTCTGAATTTTAAAATTTGTCTGAATATTTCAAAACAAACTATATTATTTTCTCACAAATTCAATAACGAATTCAGAAAAATAATAATAACACAAAGCAAATCTGGTTTTTGGAAAAAAAAAAGTTCGAAAAACAATGAGAAAATATAACTTTTTTTAAGCGGTTATAATTTTTTATTGGAACGTCAGACACACATGGTGAATAGTTATAAACCTTCCTCATGAGGTCCCAAACACACCACAAAAAAAGTAATAGATTATCTCCAGCCAATAGCTCAAACATTCGTCACATACTATATATTAACTAACTTGTCTTCTATATATCAAGATAGATATATTTTGTTTATGGGAAGTACAATTTCTGACCAAGATTTGAGTTTCGTTGAGCTTTTCCGAAAAAACACACGTCGATTACTCAAAAAATGTGTTCCTACATAAAAA